AGTTTAGATCTATTGAGACAAAACTATTCTTATATTTGTGTCAATCTATACTGTATCTTTGTCTGCCAAAGTTAGTGGTAATACTTAGACTGCATCTATAGTATTATTGACTTTATTCTATAACCAAAAAGATTGGGTTTATTAACTTGTAATTGGATCAGTTCTTTTATATTTACATTTGAATTTCTAAGAGAGATTATTTTATTTCACAATAAAATTGATATCTTAAAAATATTATATTCATGTTCTCAGTGTTAGGTTTCACTTTTGTTAAGTCATATTAAATTTTAAAAGTTCTATAATTAAATAAAAAGTTTTATGCTGTGTAGATACAAATTCGTCATAAGTAATAAACAAATTGTGTTTCAAAAACTGTCTTTTTCAAACGTTTGCTCTCAAGTCAAGTTTAAACGCTACTAATTTAAATGTACTCCCTTTCCTCGGAACATAATTTATTTGATTACATTTTCCTTTCGAACCTATAAACGAGTCCCATTTACATACAAAATGCTTGCTTTTTGTAATAGAAAAATATGATAAAATACACTCAAATGAAAATCTTTTCATGCAACAGTTTTTTTATATTTACAAAGCTACATATACCTTTTTATCTGTATTTTTTCTCTCTTTTTATTTTATAAGGTAGATTAAATTACTAGCTTTTAAATTATGGTTACCATAAACACACGACGGTAAAAGCAAATTATTCTTAAATTAGGCATCTTTATAAATGCATAGTGTTGTCATACTCTTTATAGACTGATGTGTGTCTAGAGTTCACATTTGAAATAAAGATTGAAGATTAGCTACGAGTCTTTATATAAACTGTTACTACACTTAAAATAAAATAAAAATCCTTAAAATTGTGCTACAATAACTTAATTCGCATTAAAGTTATAAAAAACTTACCCGTTTTCTTATAACGTATGAATTTAAACTTAAACTTAATATTACATGAATGACCCTGAAAATTTAATTCATATATGAGTACGAATATTCATTAGGACATAATAATATGTTTTTAAGTAATATTCCTCATTAGAGATCTTACTTCATTTGAAATATTGATTCATACTCGGAATCCTTCCTAGATTGACATTGTCTTTTCCATAAATAACAACATTAGTATATAATACATGTAAAAGCGATCTTATTTCTATTTTAAATAGGAATGATTTTCGTATGAGCACCTAAATAAATCGCAATAGCAAACAAGTCCAACACTACCGGAATACAAGCAAATCGAAAAAAAGATATAACATATGTACATTACTATAACTTATAAATGTTTTAAAACACATTTAAAACAAATTCCTTATAAAAATTACGATAATTTTAAGAAATATTATTCAAACATTATTTCATAAAAGTAAACAACTCAAGCTGTAAGTGCCTTAATATGACGCATTAAATCCTCGCGATACATAATAAATATTTGTCATGAATATTATAAAAAGTACTTTAGGGCTGTCGCTTCTAACAGAAATCCAATGAGGAACTTTCAATTTACTGAGTGCTTCTACAGAGGAATACTCGCAACCCTAAAAGCCTTATTGACTATGCGTGAAATGTGTGATATATTGCCTTTCAATGGACGCATTACCATTATAAATAATAATAAAGAAGAATTTATCGGAATAAGGGACTAATATTTTTACATAATTTAAAATAAATGTGATGAGAAAAATAAGATTAAATTAAATTGGAAAATCTCTCCAAAAACTAGTATCTAGAATCTAGATATTAATAGAAAATTACTTTAAATCTGAACAAACATTTAATATTATAATATTATATTTACTTTGCCTTTATTCACATTGGAATCGTAAGATATAGTCCAATGTGAGTGAAGACATAGCCTTAAGCAAAAAGAAACTAAATGAATAATACTTACTGAAACTTCAGTTGCTGAAAAGTAACCGAAACGTGGGGAGTATGTAGTTTTTTACAACAATAAAGCACGCGTAGTATCCGAAAAATATTAGTTTCATTGAAATGAATACTGGCGTAAGTACAAGTAAGATCTCATTAAAAGAATCTAAGAGATATCTTAATAAAAATGTTGCAAAATAATTTTTTCAATGTGTACAATTCTTAGTACGTCATTTTGATCAATCACGTAAAGTTCAGATTGCGTTTGTAACATAAACGGACAAAATTAAACTATTTTCGACATGAGATTAAAAACATCAAAAATAACAATATTTCTCCACTGTTTAATGGATATTATTATACATATAGACCTTATTTTTCAATCACTTTATTTATTGAAAAAAAAACCGCATAAAAATCCGTTGCGTAGTTTTAATGATTTTAGAATACATTGGGATATAACGAATATATATACACAGATATACAGAGAAAGCGACTTTGTTATTAATTTAATTTTAATATGAAAGTAAATGTTAAAAATGTTTGATATTTTTATCAATAACATTTCAGTTATTTTTATAAGAATAGGTAATAATAATAATGTGTTCAAAAAGATAAAACATATATATTTTACATATATGTATTTGCAAAAATCTTACCATCTATTAGGGTGACCTAAAGTTTATTTTATTTTATTTTCTATCCCGGTATTTTTCACGGGTAAATTTTGTTTATCTTTTATTGAAATCAGCCAATAAAAGGTTAAAACAAAATTTACCCGGGCTTTAACAAGTTCAATGATTAATTATAAGTTAAGAGCAGTTAAAATAAATTTTGGGCCTTTTAGTAAATTTCCTGGAATACTTAAGATTAAACTTTCAGGTTATTGTAATTTCCGATAAAACCAGCTAAGTTGTTGAGGCTTAAATGAAAGTGCAAATAAAATTAATATATAAAATAAATAATAATTAATATATATTAACATTTAAAATAAATATATTTTGTAATAAATGTAGTAATGAGCTACTTTTCATTACAAAAATCCAGCGGTTTTTATTTTACGTACGTATTCACAAGACTTAAAATAATAATATAAATTGGGAATTAAGTTTTTGGTAACATTGTAAGTTAAAAAAAAGCAATCAGTATTGTAAATGTAAAGGAGCTTTTTGACTATTTCTGTTTTATTTACTCTACTAACTTAAATGTGCCGAAATAGACACAAAAATTCCAAGTCAAAATCAGTAAGATTACGCCAAATAATATAATATGGAAAAGTTCCTTCAGACATAAACTATTAATGACGTATGTTAGGTGTTAATATAATCTTTTGTTTCCAAAATATAGAATAAAGCCCATATTGTTACATATAATACATATATATTTTTTTAGTAGACAGGTAATGTAATGAATGCTACATATATTTTATAAGTACTTATATTTTATTATATACTTTCATTTAAACATTATTGTAATTTAAGACTTCCGCGAGTATTCATTTAAATGAAACTACATAATATATTCGGATTATACTACGCGTATTTTATCATTTTGAAAGTACATACTCCCGACGTTTCGGTTGCTTTTCAGCAACCATGATTACTGTAGTATACACGTAGAGCATAATGCGAAAAATGTTAGTTTCATTTAAATTATTTTTTGCATTATTCAAATATTGTCATTTAAATGTATTATCTTTTCTAATGTGTGTATATGTTACCGGAAAATAACAAGACTCGTAAGTTGATCTATTTTCTATATATCCTTATACGTGTCTGTACTAACTATGATTTGACTGAATAATTTAAAAGTTTATTTGTTTGTATGTCTTCCATTTTATATCAAAATTATTTAGGGTATTTCGCATAATTACCTTAAATGTTATCGTTAAAATTAAGTTCTACTATTATAACTTTAAAAAATAGTACAGAATTATTATAATATATACGTCAGGAGATGTACTTTCGTGATTTTCTCTCCGCTCTAAAAAAAAGATTGCAGTGCAGGATGAATGAAGTGTCATCGGCGTTTCGGTACCGAACCGTTTTTTTGTACATAGGTTCCCTTCTCCGGTTCTAAAACCATAAATTGGTGATCCGACATATTTTTTTAGATAAAAACTATTCCGAATGACTGGGCTATAGAACAAAAAAAATCAATCCGATGGGACATTCGGTTTCCGAGATCAACTCCGTTGATGAAGGATAGCACTCCGCTCGCTCCTCTCAGTAATTACATATATATATATATATATATATATATATATATATATATATATATATATATATATATATATATATATATATATATATATATATAACCAGTCACAAGGCATTCATACTATGCAAACAGGAAAAACACGAACAATTTTAATGACTTTCTTGTATCCAATACTTCTTCACAACAGGAACAACTTATATTCATACTCTCTCACAAACTTTCGATTTTATATTAATTGATATAAATATTGGTTAATGTATGGTTGTAGTGTAGCAATTTATTATGCCTACATTTGTAGAACTTATGCTTTACAATTAATATTTTAAAGCGATCTGTTTTGGAGTTTAATTTGATGAAAATTTAGCATTCCATAGGATATAACAAAGAAAAAACGAATGGATTATTTTTTGTACATAGAAAAAACATCGCAGATTTTTTATTTCTATTTGCAATTTCCTGGGTTTATTGTTAGACAGCAACAATATCCCTTGCATTATTATTTTTTACGATACTTCAAAAATCATGATACATAACACTGATCTCTTTTTCTAGTTTATTAATTAATATCATCAACGTTTTTTTAAATATTTATGATGCTAAAGGCTTACTTCTGCCAAGAAACTACCCTATCCTGGATATGTGATATATTGAGAATTACTTTAAGGAAGTTGGGAAATATTTGTGTTTGTGTGGGTAAAAAATTGTTCCTAATATTAAAAGGCTAAACAATATTCACACGCTTTGCAATTGTTTTTATTTGCTTCTTTTTATTATAATGAAAAGTGTAAATTTAATAAAAATAAAACATTTCAACCACAATATTTATGTAATTAAAAACATTTGTTAATGCGAATCAGAAAATGTTTCAATATTAAAGTAGCAGTTATAAGTAACAGAAAAAAATAAAGTTAATATTCATGACCAAACTTGGTTAATGTTTTTCCGGAGTCTACAATATAATCACAGCCAGTGATACTTTTTGCTTTGTCACTTGCCAGATACACTGCCATATGTGCTATATCGTCGGTCGTAGTTAACTGTTGCAATGGATGGTCCTCAATCATATCATCCCAAAACTTTTTGATATCTACCGAAGGTGGTAGTACATTATTCAAAACATTTGTCTTCACTGACCCTGGTGATATACAATTCACACGAACTCCTTTGTCTGCTAGCTCCAAGGCCACACATTTTGTAAATTGTAACACCGCAGCTTTTGATACATTGTACGCTAGTGAGCCTTTACATGCTTTGACTGCCATTATACTTGCTATATTAATAATACATCCTTTACTCTCTATTAAAGCCTCTGCAGCATAGTGTGTTAGAGTTACGCCAGAAATAAGATTTATATTAAAAACATTATCAACGTCCTCCAATAAATTAGCACATTTTATATCACCGGCACGAGCAATGCCGGCACTATTTACAAGTACATCAATCTTCCCGAACTCTTGTTTTATTAAATCAACGACAGTTTTCACATTATCACTCTTTCCTAAATCTGCAACCAATGTAAACACTTTAGATTCACTCAATTCACGACATTCTTTTGCGACGGATTTCAAATTTTCTAAGTTGATATCTAGTAATGATAAATTTGCAGATAATTTAGCAAACTTAATGGCAATTTCCCTTCCTATACCAGAGGCAGCTCCACTTATTACAATTACTTTATTTTTAAAACTCATTTTCTGCACTAGTAACAAAGCGTTATCACTATTAGAACAAGTAATACAAACTCAACGGCTTTTATAGATTAGTCTCAGCTACAGACTTCATAACTAATCTATAATTGCACGTACTTAATTTATGTGGTGTTGAAAATACATTCGTTTTATACATTATGTTATTATGTAGTATACTGTTAAGTATTTCATATTTCCCTATTTATATTCAATGATTTAATTCATCTCTATTTGTTTTATTAAAAAATATATACCTATGTATATACTTATAGTATCCTATTCTTTCTACAATATCTTAGGGTCGTATTTCAATCACGCCTCAGATGCATTTAGTTGCAAATTGCTAATGTCTCGGTTCTCGGAAATTTATTATTTAGTCGAGATGGAGAACTACATGGGGGAACAGCGTGCCTTCTGTGTAAAAAAATATTACAAAAATGTTGATTCGTAAGTTATTTTAGTTAGTAAGTTATTGTTCGACGTTTATTTTGCTCTGACTATGGATTGTATGACTTAAATTAGCGTCCGAGTGAACGTTTGATTAGGGTGTGAGTAATAAAGTTTGAGGCTACCGGTTTGACTCTCAACCAGAAACCTAAGCGATCCCAAAGGACAAAAAGGTCAGTGAAAATATAAACAAAGTTGAAGCATCCGTACTACGCAATCCTAGGCAATCTATTCGCAAGCGATCAGCTAAACTCTCTGTATCTCTGTATGTAAATGCACTCCTATTAACTTCAAATAGTGCAAGATTTGAAGCCGAATGACCATAATTTAAGACTTGATTTCTTCGAAACAAATCCTTTACCAATATTCTCTTTTTAGACGAAACCCATTTTCCTTTCCATTGGCACGTGAACAAACAAAGTAGTCGTTATTGAACCTTAGACAAACCATATTTCAAACATTCCATATTTCAAACACCAAAAGCCATTGCATTCACGAAAATTTATAGTTTGGGTGGCTACTTCAGCACACGAAATTATCGGACCCTTTGTCTTTGAAGAACAAAGAGAGAATTATGTGACAGTTAATATTGACCGATACATAGCCATGTTACGCAATTTCTTTCTCACGCAGCTATCAGTATGTTAAGAGTGCAGCAGTCCGACATGGTTTCAACAAGATGACATACATCCGTTGAGAGTTTGGCAGTCGTGAAGGAGATGTTGGAGGAGGGGGACTTGATACTCCATGGACAGACTAGGAGTCCGGACCTAAACCCACTCGACTTTTTTCTTTGGGTGTACATGAAAAGTAAAGTCTACAGCAATAATCCGACTAAAATTGCTCCCTTGAAGACTTACATCCACGGAAAAATGACCGCTTTTCCGCATTCTATTTGCGATAGAGTTATAGACAATTTGAGGTCGATATTCGAAGAGTGTTTGTATCGCGATGGAGCGCATTTGAAGATGTTACATATTTTGAAAAGGTGAAATTCCCAAATGTTTACTTTAATTTAAATATGTTTAAGTATTATTTTTAGTTTTTCGTTTATGTATTTTCCAAGAACTCCGAGGCCCACCCAGGATATCAGTTCAATACCGCCTCTTTTAAAAAAATCTGTTTTATTGAGAGGTTAATGAAGCCATAATTGTTATACAACATATTTCCATAAAAAATAAATAAAATTAATATTTCTGAATCAGTTTTAATATCTAGCAAAAATGAAAGGTTAATGTATTGATGATTATTTATTTTAGATAGTGTAATCAGTCACGATAATTTCCATGGATACATCTTTATATATGTAATTCTACTGTCCGTGTATGTCACTGAAATCCGAAAACGGGTGGACCGTTTTGAATGGTTTTTGTTGTATGCATTTGTTTAGCGTTCCGGATGGTTAAGATTAACATATAAACCCGTCAGATGGCGATGCACTCGGTGTCTATGTTATTTAAAATTAAACTTTATACATTTCTCTCTGAGCACAACACTCATGTTTACAAGGACGGAGTCGCGTACAAAAACTAGTACATTGAAATTTTATTACATATTGACAGTTTTTATACCTCCTACACAAAAGATAAAGCGCAACAAAATATGGCATCAAAGATATAAAACATTTGCACATTGACAACAGAGTCTTATGAAGGAGTATATTCAAACGCATAGTATCTATATCTATAACTGCGATAATGAATTTTACTAACAAAGTAATTTTTATAACTGGTGCTGGATCAGGAATTGGGAAAGCAATCGCCCTTAATTTTGCAAAATTATCTGCGAGGCTGTCACTAATAGATATAAATTTGGAAAACCTTAATAAAATTGCGGAAGAATGTGAAATGTTAAATGAAAATAAAGTTTTTAAAGTGGCCACAGATGTGAGTGATACCAATAACGTTAAAGATGCAATTATAGCTACAGTAAAAGAGTTCGATAGATTAGACGTGATGATGAATTGCGCTGGAATAAGTGATATGAACGGAATTACAAGTGAACATTTGATAGAAAATCTTAGTAAAGTGCTGAATATAAATCTTATATCACACATTGCTGCCACACATTACGCTGCAGATGCGTTAATCAAAAGCAGAGGGTGTGTTGTTAATATTTCAAGTATATTTGGTACCACTGCTATAAAAAATGGATTGCCATACGCTGTGTCAAAAGCCGGAATGGTGCATTTTACTAAATGCGCAGCTTTGGAGCTAGCTGAGAAAGGAGTGAGGGTAAATTCTATATCACCTGGACCAATTCGAACAAATTTATTGTACAAAGATCTTAAAAACCAGGAGCAAATTAATACAGTCTTTCAGAATTTTGAAGAGAATTCTCCTCTGAAGCATTTGGCAGAGGCACAAGATATTGCCGATATGGCTGTATTTTTGGCAAGTGACAAAGCAAAGCATATTACAGGAATTGACGTTATTATAGATTCAGGGATTTCAATCCCTACGATCTCTAAGTCCCTACCTCCCTGCGACAAATGAAATAAAAGTACGATGAATAAGTTTATTATTTATTAAAACTCCCGACGTTTCCGTTACTTCACAGCAATTGTGATCACAGTCAGACGAGATGAGATACTAAAATAACGAGTAGCAATCCGAAAAAAAAATCATTTAAATGAATACTCGCGAAAGTCTTAGATCTTATTCAGATAATTCTTGTATATAATGATCACTTAGCTAACGATTTAATTTTTAACAAAAAAAATTTATATGACCCAAATCCTTATATTATCTGAAAGTAAACATTATATGTCATTATCTTGCATAGTTTCACTCAAGAAAATGAAAGACCGCAAGTTCTTTTACAATGTCTTACTTCTTTACTTACCTATACTACATATATTAATGAAATAAATCATAGTTACGTACATGTTTTAATTGAAGTCAGGATTTTTTTTAAATAAATAACAATGCATATAAAGTATGATGGTAAATTACAAATAATATTTATAATAAAACTAGAATATATGGATGATGGTAATATTTATACTTCATGTATAATGTATATCAAAAATAAGTATCGATAGATTTTATAACGACGATAATAATAACAGGTACCTATCAATACGAATATGGCTTTGTTATTTATCACCTTATCTGAAGATGTATATTATGAGGATTGTTTATAATAAGTACCTACGTATATTATAGCAGATATATACATTGAGATAATCTCAATTATTTTGAAGTACAAGTAGTTATCAATTACTTATTTTCAACCTACCAACCATATTCCTAATCAAAGAACTCTGGGTCCGTGACAAAACGTTAGTTTGAAACGACGGATGTAAAACGTCATCAGCACTGTGGAAATAATCATTAATTAGATTCACAAATTACACACCTAACGGCTAACATTATTTTTCTGATAAAGATATAAATGGTCATTTGAACACCATATAACTAGAACGAGATATTTACCTTGTAATTCCGTGATATTAAACGCAAAGAATTAGTAAATAATGAATATCAAATTATGATTATTACTCAGATTTCTCTGCATGATGTAAGTACAAGAGTTGTAAACCATCTGAATGTACATTTTGAGTTGATATTAGTTGTATAAAAATACTGACAGAATTGGTATTTAAAAATTAAATATTTTTAAACTAACCAGGTATCAGATTATGTAGTAAGTTTGTGTTTCAATTGCCAAATATACATAGCACTATGTAACATTAACAGTATCTCTTAATAAACGATTCTTTAAGTACATTGTTATTGTTTGGCAAATATTTGTTTCCAGTTGCAATATTTACTGTTATCATTGTGTATCGCACAAGATAAGATAAAACCAATAAATGGCATTTGTTGTCATGAAGGTTATAACTTTGAAATGAACCCCACATCAGTTTTAAATTTTAATGTTAAAGATTTTGTATTCAAAAGATAACCAACAAGAATTGTCAGCTTTAGCTAGATCATATAAATGTTACATTATTTTAGGCCTCAAGTTGCTTTTTTTGAGGATTTAAATTTATTTTGTATATGGAGAAGGTTTTATATAAGGTAAGTTTACGTTTGTAGGGTCACTACCCTTTTGCACTGGTAACCACCCTTAAAAAATGTGGACTAAGAGTTTTGAAGATATATTTTCTAAACGAACAATTGTCATAATATTTTTAAGAAACGTAGAAAATTAAATCATCCCCAACTTTATCCCCGTACTAGGTACCTGTGATAGAACAAATAATTTTTAAATTTATTAAAAAATATAGAAACTGAAGAATTTTATAGGTTTCATACCTATTTCAGACAGATATCAGAATAATTTTAATCATCATTTTGAGAAAATTTCTCATTTATCTGGTTTTTATAACTCTTCATTTTTGAGGGAGTTTAAAATACTTTAATTCTATTAAAACAAACCATTAAGCTTTGTTTTCATTTTATATACATTTTCTTACTAATATACAGAATTTATCTTTTTATTTTTCACATTCATATTAATTTATTAATAACAATTATCCGCACAATCTGTAAGGTAAAATCTGGAAGCGTGATTTCAATTTTCATTACGTGTTTATTCAGAAGGTACAGCTAAGGAAATATTTCAAACAAAATAATATTTAACATTATTATAATAATTGCATAAAAATAACAAAGCTACAACACACTCTAAAATTATATTTTAAAATATAAGAAGGAAAGGTTGTAAGTAAAAAAAAATACATCCCGTAAAATTTTCTATTTGGCAAGTGACATTGACATGACAGCGCAATGCGACAATTGATTTCTTATTTTATTTAATGTTTTAGATTTATTTTAAACTAAAATCTACCTACATATATGTTTAATAACTTCTTATATCGTGATATTGTGAAAATGAAACAAGTTGTGGCCATTACTCCGCCCGTATTATGGTAAAAATATTTAACAACCGTTATGAATAGATCACGCTTATTGGTTAAACAAATCATTCACAATTCTGCTATTAGGGTATTGGCGCCAATTTCTTAGCAGCTTTTTTATTTATTTCATGCATTAATAGAGCCACTTATCATTATAATAAGATCAGGATTAATAAAACAAAAGCTTGTAGAAATCATTTTTATTCAGCAACAAAAATCAATCATAATCTCATTTGTTATGTCTTTTATATTAAATAAAATAAAGATATAAAAATAATTAATTTCTTTGATTGCACATTTTAGTCTTTATTTTTACTAAATAACCAATTTACTTCGGTTTATAAATGGTTTATAAAATAGCACCTCATTTAAATATATCTGCCATACTTTAAAAGTATCAATCTAGACAACAATTTAAATACAAGTAAAATATAAACTTCATATAATATAAAAATATACATTTTGATATAAGAGTAACATCTTTTATAGTTATAATTTACATAATGTTGACCCAGCATCAATAAGAAAATCACTGCCAGTAATACTCATTGCTTTGTCGCTTGCTAAAAATAAAGCCAATTCAGCTATTTCTTCCGCTTTCACTAAATACCCTAATGGAGTTTGTTTTCCTATATTATCCCAGAATTCATCACTTTTTTCCTGATCCTGAATTATATTTAACAATATATTAGTCTTAACCGGCCCGGGGGAGATAGAATTTACCCTCACACCTTTTTCGGCTAATTCCAAAGCTGCACATTTTGTGAAATGTAATACACCCGCTTTAGCTACGATGTAAGGAATTGCTCCTTTCCCTACAAAATGTGCCAGCATACTAGCTATGTTTATCACACACCCTTTGCTTTCTATTAACGAATTCGCCGCATAATGTGTTAATGCTATAACAGATTTAAGATTAATATTAAGAACTAAGTCCAAATCATTTAATAGTTCTTTACTAGTGATGGATCCATTGCCTGAGGTCCCAGCACAATTCACAACCACGTCTATTCTAGCATATTCACGTAATGTACTATTGACGATATTTTTTATGTTTTCCCTAACAGAAATATCAGTAACAATTTTTAAAACTCTCTCTTTACTCTCATTTTCACACTTTAGTACAACTTTATCAAGTTTATCAGAGTTTTTATCAACGAGAGACAGTTTGGCAGACGATTTTGCAAAACGTATAGCTATACCCATCCCTATACCGGATCCCGCGCCAGTAATCAAAACAACTTTTTTCTTGAATGACATTTTTTCCTAATAATTTCGTATTTAATTTAATGATTGAACTATAATTTAAATAGGACGTAACTTAAAAGTAACTGTTTTGATAGAAATTAGAAAAGAAAGTTAAACTTTCACAGTGAACGTTAAAAGTCAAATTACGAAACGTCATTTATGCTACTTATATACAACAGATAAAAATTTTATTTACAAGAAAACAACTTATTTAGGTGTGAAAGAATTTATTAAAATAAATTGTTTCAAAACAATTATTTCTGGCCACCAATTAATAACATTTTTCTTTCTAAATTACACAACAAATATGAAAATTGTAAGTCTAAAATTATAAATTTCGCAATTTTGTTGTACAATATTGTATAATTGTCTACAACTATATGTAGAACTGTCACATTTTAATTATTTATTTTAAATTTAATAGTAATTTCTTCCACTAGCTTGGAGAAGAAGTATAACTGATTAGGATAAGTTTATTTCTTAATTACTGGAAACAAACACTTAAAATTATATCCAAATTTTATCAAAGGTATGGTACCTATCAATTATACTTTTTACCTAGCTAGATGTGTATAAAAAAAATATTATAAATTGTGAAAAGTGCATGTTAGTATATTCCAATGACCATAAATACATAATTTTGTAAGTCTAACAACTTTGCTTTGTCATATAATTATTATACATTTCAACATTAAACCATAAATTATATGAGAACCATAACAAAAAACCTGATGACAATTTAGTAATTAGTAAATTTATGTGAACAACTTAAAGTGTAAATCTCTTCAAAGACATCCCGGAGTCAATGATATAATCAATTCCAGTAATAGTGGTGCCTAGGTCACTTGCTATCATTGCGGCCACTTCACCAATCTCTTCTGCGGTAACTAATTTCTTCAATGGACATTGGGCAGCCAAATACTGCCAGAATTTATCACTTGTCTCTTGAGACTTGCCGGAATTCACCAATATGTTGGTGCTAACAGGTCCAGGAGATATACTAGTAACTCGGACTCCCTTCTCACCTAACTCTAAAGCTGCACATTTTGTGAAATGTATCATACCAGCTTTGGCAACGGCATACGGTATCCCATTTTCAATACAAGTTGTTCCAAAAATACTTGATATATTAATAACGCATCCTTTGCTTTCAATTAATGCATCTGAGGCGTAATTTGTTAATGCAATGGGAGATATGAGGTTGATATTAATCACTCTATCCATACTATTCATTAGAACGTCACTGGTAACTCCACCTGGCCCGCTTATCCCAGCACAATTAACTAAAACATCTATTCTACCATATGCCTGCTTTGTGCTGTCTACGACGTTTTTAGCATTTTTGAGATCACCTAAATCTGCAGTCACAGTAAAAGCTTTTAACTTACTTATATCTTCACATTCTTTAGCAGCGGTACGAAGATTGTCGGGATTGATATCGACGAGTGACAATTTTGCGGATAGTTTTGCAAAATGTAAAGCAATTCCTTTTCCAATTCCCGAACCCGCTCCGGTAATTATTACAACTTTATCGGCGAGACTCATTTTTGTTGACTGGAATATGATTTTTGTTTAAACAAAGCGAATCAAATCTGTTGTAACGTACACGCACTTATCGAGTACCCACAATATATTATTATGAGCCGCACAAAGTTTATTTGTCAGTTCTGAACCTTGACGATTTCAAGGTACAAATATGCCGTGGATACAAGTTTCGTAATATTAGTAGATAACGTTATGAAGGCCAATCATGGAATGATTTAGTTTTAACACATGGATTTATAGTTATACTTATACCGCTCTTTTTTTAGTAATGGAGGTACAGAAATAGTGATTGCCCATTGTTCATTAATGACGTTTTTATCATCTTTATAGGCATTTGTAAACCTAAATTACTTTCAAATATTACCGCAGTATGTTTTTGCAATTCCTTTTGAAAATTATTTTTTATACAACATGGGAGATCATAAAAATGTTAATTATTTATTATAAACCGGTTGTGAGTCGATATTTTAATACGTGTATATAATTATATTATAGCTTCTTATAATAAATATATTCAATAGGACAGAAATTATAAATCGGTGTTAAATTATGTATATATATTTTTGAATTGTCTGAAAAATTTATAGAGAAAGAAATATTTATGGAAAATATTTCTTGATATACTTTTGTCACAGAAGGAACTCCTCTCTTAAAACTAAGTATATATATTTAATATAGTGTTATCGATTTATGAAAATTTACGAATATGCCCAAATATACTTGAATCTAAAATTATTTTCCTTAGAATTTAACATTAAGTAAATTTGGTCAACGCTAAGAACATATTCGAACCCGTTTTTTAGTAATTAAGACAGTGTTGTCCCTTAAGGAATTCAAATTAATTGTTTCTAATCTGTGATGTCTAAATTAAGAGTCGGGCAACGAAGATGCAGCCACTCCTTTTCACACATTTGTCAGTCACATTTAAAATATAAATTTCTTTTTAAATATAATATTTGCCCATTACTAGTATACTATAAAATAATCAGTAAATAAAAAACGCCTTGATTCCATTCAAAAAATTCCTTGGTGTTTTCTCCACATAATACATAACATAATAATTTGTTTAACGAATAAAAACGTTGACATTGGTAAAATATTCCATGATTCCGGTGCGAATGAAGCCATATCATAAAAAAATGTTGTTCGAACATTTTTCGGTACCTTTGTTCACTATTGACTTTGTTTGAATCATCCACATTCATAAATTATTTTTATATTCTAATAATTTAATGCAATGCGTAAGCTGACCCACGCTTAGTTTATTTTTGTTTACCAACGTATTCTACGACAGTATTAATTTTATGTTAAAAAAAAGTTTACATATATGAGGTTTTATGTGAACGTATACCTTAAAAGGACTAAAATATTGTTTTGGTTTTTTGTAACAAAACAGTCAGATAGATTTGGTTATGAAGTTTATTTTTATAAGATTACGACTACAATAAGTCCGTAGTTCAGATTTCGAGTTAACAAAAAATAGTTTTAAACATAGAGTAGAAGACAGATGTGTTTTTTTGGAAACTAAATTTTATTTCTACCGCTTTTTCTATAAATTTTCTTCAATATAAAAAGACACAATCGTTTATAGAAGTTTAATATATGCATTAATTGAATATTCTTATCACATATAAGCTCAAGTTTTGTTAAATAACAATTTAATCAGTGTAGTTCATTCATAAATATATCCAGTTAAGTTTAGATATTGAAATAAATTCATATACAACATTTTTTTTCTATTATTTTCTAACTAAAGTACTTTTAAACTTAAAGTACATTGACATGTAAGTCTTGATTTTACATTATATATCACAGTAAATTTATTACTTATTTTCTTTGCTTTTCTAAAATTAAGCAATTTTAATACTATGTATGTTCAAAAGTACAAATAATATTCTATGCAGTTATGTTCTCAAATAAAGGGGTTAGAAACATAAACTAGTAGGAATAAAACTCAAAAGGTATTGTTATATTAATTTAATATTGTGGTTAAATGAAAACTGCATTTAGTTATGACAGTGTAGAAAATACATATATTTGTAAATATACACTTATATATGCATTAAAAAATCTTTTATCTATTTAACAAAATTCAACAAAATGATAATTAACAAGAACAACTAAATGATTATGAAAAACTTAGAACCTAATTTAAACATTTTCTATATGTATATTACTTAATTAGTAGCAAAATAAATATAACAAAATAAAGTTAACATTTTTGAAGGGACCATCCACAATCAATAATATAGTCTGTTCCGGTAACACTCCTGGATTTATCACTCGCTAAGAATTCTGCAACATCGGCTACTTCATCCTCAGTTACTGAATGTCTCAAAGGAGCCTCCTTAGCCCAGGTATCCCAATATATATCATTTTCTTCCTTTGTATCAAAATCACCCATTACATTCTGACTTCTAACTGGCCCTGGTGATATACAATTCACTCTTACCCCCTTGTCTGCCAGTTCCAAGGCCGCACATCTCGTAAAATGTACCAAACCAGCTTTCGACACGCTATACGGCAAGGCTTCCTTTATTACAGTAGTCGCAAACAAACTGGCAATATTAATAACATTTCCTTTGTTCTCTATAAGAGAATCGGAAGCATAATGGGTAAATGTTATTGCTGCTTTTAAATTGACGGCAATAATTTTTTCCATTTCCGTCATCAGATTTGGACTGGTAATACCAACTTTGCTGCCAATTTCAGCACAGTTTATTAGTACGTTTATTTTCCCATACTGACTGATCGTATCATTGACAGCATTTTTTACATTATCTCTGACCGTAATGTCTGTGGACACTTTGAAAACTTTTATTTTACTTATATTTTCACACTCTTGCGCAACACTGTTTAAGTTTTCAGGATTTGTGTCTACAAGCGAAAGTTTTGCAGATAATTTGGCAAAGTGGATAGCTATACCCTTGCCGAAACCCGATCCTGCACCAGTAATTAAAATTACTTTATCGGAAAAACTCATATTGACGCGATCTGTATAGTACTGGTTTGCGTTTATACAATTTGTGATTCAAACACACGTTGTGTCACACAGAGCGGCTACTAAGTAATGGCAAACGGCAATTATAAATTGTAATTTGTAAGTCACAGCAACATTGACCTTGAAAACTTCGATAAAATCTGTGTTCTATGGTTGTCATAAATGGAAAATAGACCACAGATAAGATATTCCTCTCAAGAGCTTTAATATCCTAATATATTTGATTACAATATTTAAATATTATATTGTTAATCACACTACCACTTTCCTTTTGAAATATCCTTATCGTTCTTATGGTAATTACTTTTTACTTTAAAGTATAATCAATATAGTTATCATTTGGTTTATTGACAATATAATTAATAATATTTGTTAAATAATAATAATTTTAAGCTGAAGCTGATTATCGTGTAAAATTTAAGTAATTAGAAAAAATATTTCAAATTATTCATTTCTTTAGTGCGGTAATTAGACCACGGATATTTTACTGCGTAGAAACATGGATTTCGTTTATTTTACTTGTTAATTTACCTTCGCTATAAATATAATAGTATTTTGAAGTTATTAAATCACTTCATTTATTATTTTTTTCTGATACATGTTTCTATCAGTGTGAATTGAAGATATTTAATTTGACCGCTAACGTGGAATTCATAGTAGGAAAAGGCGTAGCATTTCAAGTTTTTGTTTTACTGAGAATATAATTATAATACGCCACCTCTCTATAACCAACAACCGAAAACTTAGACCTCGGCAAAGGTGAACCGGTTTTAATTTATGGGATTCATAGTAATAACTAATTTTACTACGTATTCAATCCGGCGGTGGTCACAGTTTGTAAAAGCTACATACAAGTGTTTTTTACATCTATTTGACGTTTTATATGTAAGTATATGAAAATTGAAAACAATTCAAATATAAAAGAAATTGCTCGAAAGAGCATAACAGATAACTGCAGCTGTTTAAATGAAGCCTGTTATGTTATATTTATATTAAAGTTATGTATAAAATTGCTGCATTTTATAAGGCACCTTATGATTTTTCTAATGGATTATATATGGAATAAAAATAAAGCGACACGAATAATATAAATTGTTTTATTTTAAATTTTTTAAAGATTTTTATATTTAAGTGTATATTATAGTATATGTCCCCAAAAACAAATGAAAAGTACCCACATTCAATAGCTTTATATTTTCTTTTGTATTTTTTTGTAATAATATATTAAATATGATATTAAATGAGTATGATTCAATTTAATTTTAAAATTATTAACTTTCATGTTCATATCTCACTCTCAGCCTGAGCTTCAGAGAAATGCACAGGCGCATCTCTTATTATATACTCAGAAAATGCTAACGCTGCTTTACTCTCATACCTTTATATATTGTATAAATTATCTATTTGTACCTACTTATGTGTATAATATTCCAAATATTTATATTGAACCAAATGTTGAACGGATTGTAATACAATTTTACCATTCACGTGAAAGAGGAGTGATCTTCAAACTCTAGGTTTCTGTATAAATCTATAAAGTTTCAAATAAGAGTAAAATATTTATTTACATCGAGCAAATATTTCTGAAAATGAATGGTCCAAATTAAAACTCATAGACGATTTTGCATTAGTCGTGAGCTGAAATAATTAAAAATAACCAGAACACGATGTATGTTCTGATATGAAATATAATTTTTAAAGATTTTTGTCAAATAATAATTATGAAACTCGACGTTTTGTAATTTGTAGAATTTTCTATTTATGTAAAACACTTTTTGGGTTTTAAACATGATAAAAAAGAGTACCTATTTCCAATGGGATAGTTATTTCACGTGTAATAGCAAATACATATGTGTTTCTATAATCTATTTGGTTCTCAGACAACATTGTAATTCCAATTATATAATAGTATAAATGTACTTATGGTTTTAATATTTATTTGGTATAACTTCAAGAGTACAATTACAGCATGATAAGCAAAATATTTCTAAAGGAAAGCAAAAATGCATTAAAAATATGTTAATTGTGCATTGTTAACTATTTAAATTAATAGAAACCATTCATTTGGTTTACAACGGACCTATTTTCTTGGAAAAAACGGTTTTCATTCAGTATTTTATGTAGAACGGAGATATTTGTCTATTTAATACGATATTTATTTCGATGTGACTTTTCAAATGCAACTTCCACAACAAGCACTGTTGCGTTAAACATTCAACGCTTCTGGGGAGGGGGAATAGAAAGAAACAGAGTGAGACCAAATCGGTGGCATTAGAATGCACGCCATATATTGTGAATTGTAAAAAACATGAATATTAATTAAGTTTATCCTAAAAACAATGAGTTCACTATAAATAAATATATACCTCTACCTGTTTTCATTTTCACATTTGAAGTTACACTTCTTCCGCGAGTCTCTCACTCCATTCACTATTTTGTTCTTTTAAAATTAATTTTTCAATTACCGTAACAAATAAAATTCTGTTAAACTGTTTTATTATCTGAAATTAATTAAAACAACCTAAAAATTTTATAATAGCTATGGTCGTGAATTTCCAAATATTTAATATTATTTTAACATTATAGCACCAGCAATGTAAGCTGCTATTTAATTAATACTTTAAAATACTAAAAAAGCTGTCAGTAAATTTTCAAAAAAATCATTTAAACGTGGATAGTTATAATTGCACCTTTAACATTATCGTATTTGTGTAAAATAAAAGAAGACTGTTGTAGCAATGTTTTCCTATAGTTACGAAAATAACAAAGATTCCCAAAAAGTTACAACGACACCATTGGAATACTGGCTATAACTAGCGCGCCACAAATGGAAAAATAATGTCTGTCATTGATATGGGATCTATTATTGAAATAAGTACAACCTATAATATATTAAAACTTGATTTTTTTAATAATTTTTGGTTTTGTATCAGTAATAATTGTTTTTATTTTAAACTTATTGTTTTTTTTTATCTCACTAGCTGTAAGTATCTTTAATCATAAAAATCAATTGGATATTCTCACTAAAACAATTATTACAATGATATCAAAGTACCTATGTGTTCAGGCCAGTTACTAGATGTCTAAGGTGCTGGGGTGTAAAAAAAATTGGACCAATATGGCACCTGGCAATATCCAGAATCATAATCTGCATGGTTTTCTGAGTTCAAAACCATTCACAGAATGCATACTCAACCCCCTCCAGCGCCCGATCTACATGCAAATAAAATCACTTTTAAATATAATGCAGTGTTATTTTTATTTAATAAATAGAATAAATAGCTTAATATAATACTTGAGTTACACAGTCTACGATTAGAATTGGTTACATTTATCACAAAATACATAAAAGTTTTACAAGTAGAATTCGTTTTTAAGTCTGTGAAGTCTCTTGTACATTGTGTGTTTGTCCGGTGTAAAACTCTGTTTGGGTTTTTCCTGTAACAAAAAACATACATACATATAAGTGAGAAATCTCAATCGTTTTTTAAGGAAAGTAAAACTATCTGTTTACATCTGTTTTTTAAGATAATGTCTAAAACAAGTACATAATTAAATTTGGTCTTAAGCAGGCTATTTTTATAACCTTTTTTTTTGTATTATTATCCATATAAAGAATTATTCTGTAAGGAAAAATTCCCGGATAAGTCTTGTAATCAAAACAATAACAAAAAAGTTACAATTAAATTAAAGTGTGTAAACAAAGTTCAATTAGGAGTACACACATACATATATTTAATAATAATGATAATCTTATTATTATTAAAGCTAGAAGTAATATGCCTAGAATTAAGAACTAAATAAAAGAGTAAATTTATCAAGGGATTACATAAAACACTGTAATAATATACAATATATTAAATATAAACTTAAATTTTATGGTCAAAAATTAAATTATCTGAACTGCAGTGCACAAGATATTCTTGCAAAAATTGCAGATAACTATTAATAGCAACTAACTCTTTGATCAGATAGAAAATATTCAACATCATCTAGCAATAGTTAATAAATATATTTATAAATAGCAAAGCTGTTAAGAAATAACAAAAACACTCATTATATAATTTCCATAGAAATATTCTACAATCAAAATTATTATATTCACTCTTTTATGTATAATTAAAATCTAAAATAAATAATTTATGTTCCTGCTTATACATTTATATTATAATATTATATATAATAGTATTATATATAATAGTATAGTGGAATTAATATAATGATGGCTGGTTGCTCTGTTTTTCAACTCTCTTACTGAGAAAATTAATTATAAACATATTTACTTTTAGGAAAAACTTTCAGAAAATAGTAGGCAATATTTTTAATCATCAAAAGAAAAGATTCATATAAAAAAATCATTAGCCAAAAGAAAGTAATTGGCTATTGTTACAGAAATAAATGTGAGTTTTTATAAATAATTGATTTGTTTTATGTATTTTTTTTTTAGAAATTCCATTAAATGCAGTCTCAGATAAAAACAATAGTATTTATAGCAGTCTCTAGTATGCATAGTAATTCAAAGACAAACACAACAGATTATTCACAGAAATAAAATTACAACTTAATAGTTTACCAATACATATAATAAAATCTTGATATAATATATATGAAGAATCAATGAAAATTGTAAGAAAATGATACTTTTATGATACTTACATTTGGAAAGAATTTGATTTCAATCAGGTAAAGCTCAAAAGATGTTGATGCGGCTATCAAAGGTCCATTTTTTCTTTCAACAACATCCAATTGCAAAGGAATTTTCCCTTCAGGCAGAACGGCGATCGTTTCGAAAATAGGTTTCATAGCTTTCTTCTGACTTGATAATTTATATAGAAGAATCTCCCTACTTCCGGTGCCAATCAAAATTATATCGACATAGAAAAACAAAGCAGTTATCGGCGGAAAGTCTAAATAGAGATGCTTATATTTATTAGTCTCGACTTTGATTAAATTTCTTGAATAGCATACAAAGTTTTTATCATTGACGGCAGATATATGTTTGATCTGTGGAATCCATTCTGCAGGACAACTGATCGGATTGACTTTAACTTCGTTATCTTTATTAATAGTTACAACTTTACCACAATCTGTGAATAATTGTAATGAGCCGTTGTGATGCACCATAGTTTTGATGTTATATTGACAATGCATTATCAGTTCGGGATCTAGATTTTGTGCATTGAAATCACATCGGAATACATCACGGTTTCTGTGTATGTAAAAATGATCTTCGGTGAGTATAAAATCGTCTGCTCGTAAGTATTGCTCATCTTCAGGTGTAAGATTAGATGATCTTTGTACTATGACTCCTGTTCTGGTTAAGATTATAGTTGCATGATCATTATTACTCATTTTCGAACAGAAACCATCAGGTATTGACACTGGAATATATTTAAGAGTACTCACATCATATAAAACCAATCCTTTAAGATCATTGAGTGCTAATACGCCATAGTCTATTTCAAGGAGATGTGTTTTGTTGTGTATTGAAAATTTATAAAATTCTTTAACGTCAGTTTCAAATCTTGATATGTCTGACCACATTGTGAGATTGCGATAAATGTGGTACCATTTGAAACTGGTCCCGCTTTTTCTTTTCGCGATCCTAGAAGATTCGGGGAAATCTTTTTCGCACAATTTCTGCCACAAACTGTCTACCCCATCTATACATTCCTTCCATTTTCGACATACACGACGACATCGACCTAATGATTTCCCATCAATCTTTGTTAGTATTTCTATTATTGTTTCTAAAGGCAGCTTTTCCACATCCGTCATTTTTTTAATTTCACTTTATCTGAAAACAAAATCAATCTATTAAATAATTTCCATAAAATGTCAACTAATTCAGTGTTCATTTGTGAATTTTACCTTAATTTGTATGAAGTAATGTTTATTTACTTAGTTATGACATAAATTAATTTCTATAATCTGAAATCTGAACTCGTGATTTTGACATCTTGGAGATACTATTGATTATTCATTATCAAATATTGGCGGTTAAGTTTATCAGATTGGTCAAATTGAATGTCGTGTTTAAAAATATTGAATACCACTAAGAAAATCTTTTAAATTAGAGTATAACAAAAACTTTATTGTAATCAGTGGCTCAGTATATAATGTGAAAATATATGGCCACAAGAGCTATTGTAATTATTAGATTTCGCTTAAATATATTAATAATATGATAAGATTTGATATGTATTCAGTCCATCAGATATTATTGCTGAACGAAGTCTTACCATCATATTTGACAGTGACGACAATATATTCTATTTGAAATCTATGGCCAGAAAAAGTACTAAATCGATTCCCGAATGAAATATTCAGTTGATTGTAATTTGTAGTATACCTACAATCTAAATAGTCCTGTTTTACTAATATTATATATATAATTTTAATGATAATTCATGCTACTGGACATTATTAGATGAAAAGAAACATTTCTAACGTCACAATAATTTATTCATAATAATTTATATTACTGTTAATTCGAGTTTAAACGAGATAATTACATTTTTAAACGGAATAATGGATTTTTCTTATATTGCGTTTCAAGTAGTGGTAATTTTCCTTGCACAAAAATTGGACTCCCTTAATCAGTATGGATTTTATATCATCTGACTACGCTTTAAAGCAGAGATATGTATGTAGTTAAAAATTAATGTATATTATGACACTAAGATTTTGGATTATGGCCATTGGTGTGGAAAGGGATTATTTTATAACATTTCTGGATCATCTCACTTTTAATACTGGGAAGAAAAATATTGTATTCGATAAAATTTGGCATCGTACGCAATTTTAAAGAATAAATTAAAGCTTATCAATTTTGTTTGTGGGACTAGAGCCATTTTCAGATTTGTCAACACCAAAGGTACTTCAAAATCTTTCATCCATATTGGTGTTTTCAAGATTGTACAAATCTATATATACCTATAAAAATGATAAGTTGGCTTCTGTATGCTTCAAACACTCAAATTTTGACACCGATTCTGCTGAAATTTTGACATAATATACAACACGCTTATAGGCTTGTTTTTATTTATTTTTCACGATACTAATCTACTCCTAATTGCGCCATCTATCGGAGGCGCGGGGAACAATCACAATATTAAGTTACGACAAACGCAAACTTTTCATGTTGCTAGAGTTGGTTTGTTACTAGACCGACATTTTACGGTTTACAGAAAAATGTGATTAAAAAGTTTTTGTTTATTTGTTCAGGAATCATGCAGTAACCACCGATTTGATTACGATGAAACTGTGTATAATTGTTCTTTAATATATTTGTAGGTGGTAGAGCCTAGCTGTGGTCAGTAACTGCCGCTCGAACACCAGCTCTCGAAGTACCACCTTATCACAGAAGGTCTATCTAAAAGAACGTTTTCAATTTCTTAGTTCTTCACATAGCCATAATCTTCGTTCTGAAGAGAATTTGGTCTTAAAAATACCACCCCATTCAACATCTTTTTACACTCACTCTTTTATTGTCCATTCTATTCGTCTTTGGAACTCTCTTCCACTCGAAGCAAGACGTGCACCAAATATGAATTCCTTTAAAAAAATGATAAAAGAGCACTATCTTGCTTCATGAAGAAATATTGCAATTAATTATTTTATTTATTATATAAGTATCTATAGTATGTAAATGTATATATCTATAATGTGTAGGTATATTATATTATTATATAAGTATATATTTATGGAATATTTATTTATGTATCGTATATATACATATATATTGTATTTATTTTTTATGTATTAAGTAATTTGTACACCCCTACCATCCTATTTCTCTCCTCTACCAAAGGTTGCCTGGAAGAGATCGCTGTTTTAGCGATAAGGCCGCCTATTTGTACATTTTCCTTTCTTTGTTTTTCTCTTGTTATTTCTGTCTATATTGGTGTACATTAAAGAGTAAATAAATAAATAAATAAATCGGCGTGAAGTAGTCTTTGGCTGCATTTCGCCCAAAGAGCGAGACAGTTGGTTGCTCCTTTCCTTTTCCCTCTCACTCCTCCCTAATTAAGGGTGGCAACACATCCGCAAAAATATGTTTCGGTTGTCATGGGCGACGGTATCTGCTAGGTTGCCCTTTAACATAAAAATGGTTCTGGGTTCCACATTATGTTTATTAATTAAAAGTAGGTATACACAATAAAAAACAAATTTAATTTTGCAGGTCAAGCCTTAGACCCGATTAATGTACTAACCGCAAAATAATAAATTTGTAACGTCAGCCGCAGCGGAGTTCACTAGAGGGCGCTGCACATAGCTAAGATACTTTAATATAAAACAGACAATTTGATTTCTAAAATGATTGTTTACAGTCATATATTTGATAGACCATGGAAAAGGCGATAACTAAGTGAATTCTGACTATAGTCTTAATTCTACGCGGAAATAGTCACGGGCAAAATTTAGTAATATATAAACTTACGAAATAATATTGATAGATGCGATACATTGATTAATTAAAAAAATAATATGACTTTACCCTTATTCCCTTCAAAATCTATTTTTATATAAGACAGATAACTTCACAAACAACTTTCTTTTATCTATATTCCAGAATCTTTAATGTGACTTATCAGGAACTATTATCAGAGCAAAAATATTTATTTATTGTCAATTTTGATATAAAATTTCAAACCCATAGAGAACTTTCACAAAAGCGTCGCTTCAAAACAATACATCTATTATCAATATAATTTAGAATCTTTTCCAGTCCATTAGATTTTTATTAATAAGAATCATGTGGTTAAGAGTAAGATCTAAAATTGTTTGACCTTGTTAAGGCCAATAACACGATACTAAATTTATTTGCACTCTTTTGTATTATGAGTGGGACATTACTTAGGTTAGAACTGGTAAAAAAACAAATAAAAACGTTGACATTTTCAATACATTACAGTGTGAATGCAGCCTATGGCTTACATAAAAAAAGACAAATTTTATTATGAATCACAGGTATTGTTTACCTGTACATTGTATTGAATAGTAAATAATGTATTAATAGTAATGCTAACGATATCGTATCTATCATAATTTTACTTTGCTTATAAATAGATATGAACTAAAAATACAGGGGTTTTTTAGTATTCCAAAATTATGTGTGGGTTCAACCATCCATCTTCCTTAGAGACGTCAATATAATAGCATAAATAATAAACATTGAAATACGAATATTTTATTAAGATCCTTGTTAAATAGCATCCAATCTGAAACCTTGCAGTTTTTATTCATAAAATCTAAGAATTTTACAGTTTATTTCACCAATAAATCATAATAAAAAACATTACCCAAAAAACCGAAATGCAAAAAAGCTATAAAAAAATTACAACACTAATGAAATGTCAAATATTTACAAAACAAATGTCAATTGTCATAGGAATGACTAAGAAAATTTTTAAATCTAATTTAACTAAAGGTGCCACTTCAATTGGAGTTTATTTCTTATTTTCGGTCAAATAAGACCATGTGTAGAGGATTTATTCGTCTTTATTCGCACAAATAAGATACATACATTAATAAGCGAAAACGCGTAAAGACGTGTTGTGATGCCAAATGTGGATGTCGTGTTTGCGTTATTTGGACTAAGTACAAATATTTGCACAAATATGGCGAATACGCAACACCAAGTGAAGGGCCACCTTAACTCTAAATAATTTTTTAATATTTTAACATTTTTGTCTAATTGAAAATAGATGCAAAATATTTAAATTTTAATAATAAGCAGGAATCTTTTCATCAACATGATTAACCTTTTTTATGAATTCTAATTAAAAAAAGACACATACTTTTTGTGAAAATATTTCAGAATAGCATTATACATTTATATTTCTTTGACTATCTGATATAAAATTAAATCCTATTAAATCAAAACTATTTAATATTGAAGATTTCATACAATTTGCATTACATCACTAGATTTTACACTGTAAATATTAATCAACAATTACTATTTAAAGAAATAACAAGAGAATTGTTTTAAACATATTAACTAATATTGCACTTGAAATAAAGATAAATTGATTATAAAATTAAATGCATTTTTCATTGGCAAGATAAATAAAATAATTAGTATAAAAATTTATAGCAATGTATATATAACTTGTAAAATTTGAATTGAATAAAATTTTAATTACGTATTTATATACACAAAAATCTGTCTTAGAACATAAATTCATCAAAATAAAATTTCTATTGATACTTAAACATAATTCTATAAATAAGTTAACAATATTTATTTTCATTTTTGATTTTTCATTCTATTTTCATATACTTTAATAAAATCATTGATTGAAACATATAGCTATTTACAAATTTTGATCATTTATATCTTAGGAGTAGAATATAATTGAATTAATAAATAAAAGCATAATATTAATGTCATTTTGGATATAAAATAAATTACTTAGAAAAGTCTTTATAGAAATATCAATTGTTATGGAATTTCTTTCAAATCTGCCTTAAACTATAATCTATATAATTCAATGGGTTAATGCAAATTAACACTTATAGCTTATGTAATAAAGTTCAAATAATCATCTGTTTTTAAGCACATTTGATACAACTAGCATTGTAAAACTACCAATTAGATATAAAGTAGCCGGAATCGATGCCAATAGCTTGTATCTTTCTTCTGTAAAAGAAAATAAAATCATTAATATACAATAATAAAAAATTTCTACAGCAATACATATCAAAATGGACAAATAAGAAGTATGTTTGTATATTAAATATTAGCACAAAATTTTTATTAGTTACACATAAATACTAGCGCTAGAAATTAAAAACATAATTAGAACACAAAACCCAAAAAAAGCTCCTTTTCCCAAAAAGGTTTACTTCTATAAATGAAATTAACTTATCTGAAATTCTTATTTCTTATTTAAACTCTTGCTTGACGTGCCTTGAATCACTTAGAATGTAAAAAATATTGAGAAAAAGAACTATATAGAAAAATATATTTACATAAATAATATTTAGATACTTTAAGTATTACAAATCACGATTTACGAGTATACAAAAAAAAAATTAAAAACCCTTATTGAATGGAATAATTTTATTCATCGGTCAAATAGTCTTTTTGCAACAATAAATTATAAGTAATACTGTTATTACTAATACTTCTATATTATACGCATTCGATGTTCATTAATACTGTATCAATTAAGTTTCGATTCATCGATTTGTTTACAAATATCGATTAAATCTGGAAAAACCATGGGACTATTTGTGACGTCATCTTGAGAATTCTTTACTACAATTGGTACATCATCATCAAATATGATTTCTGGATCGTTTTCTATAATTTCCTCTATCGTTTTCCAATCTGTATGCAATTTTCTCTTCTGACAACACTCACACATGCCATAATCGCATTCCTTTTTATTCATATAATAGTCTATATCGTCTAATATAGTTCTTTCGTCTATCTGTGTTTCTTGTGGTACGAATACAGAAAACTTTCTAGCAGACGATTGTATTACTTCCTCTATATGTTTATCATCCGGCATTACGTCCGTTAAATTTTCTATATCTTCTGAATTTTTTCTACTATTTGGTGGACTTATTGTATCTATGCTCTGAAAAATGCTATTTTTTCTTTTCTGACCTGTCATTGCGAATGATTTCTTCGTTGTAGCCCAGCCGAGTGATCTTTGTACAGCCATTTTCCATTTCGTATATCTGGCATCGCGATCTATAATAAATAAATATATCCATAAACATCTTATACATTACTTATAGCGTAAATGTTAATAAATAAAATAATTCAACATGATATTTAGATAAAGCCAAGCAAAACCAAACAATTCCACCCATATTACAATTATATTAAGAAAGATTCTATTTAAATGGCTATGGCTATGTTGGTTATGGTTATGGCTATATTACTTGTGCATTTTTGTTAATAGCCACCACAAAATCCAATATATTTTTGGATAATTGTCAAAAGAATGAATGTTCTATGACGGTAGTTTTATTTAATCCTAGTTAAAGTAGATATTAAGACTTATCATGATATGATATGGTATGATATGATATGATATCATTAAATGTTAAACTCTATTCAGTTCACTCCACCCAACTCACCGTCTTCAAACAGTGGGAGTAGACCCGTCATTCCATCGTTATTATCCGAAGATATCACTAAAAAATTCCTATCGTCAGTATTATTTGTGTACATACTCTATATATACCATATTGTCTGTCTGATAAGACAGATACATATACATATATATATGTGATATGTATCTATTAAATTGTATTTTATGTAATGATTGAGAATTCTGGAAGCCCTAAATGCTAATAGTAAGGCAACAAAACCTCAAAATGTAATAGAGTGCGCAATACTAAGGGTAATTGCATACAAAGGACGGTGACGGTAATAATAAACTACTTCATAGATTCTCGACACACGTCAATTATATTCCAGCACCAGATGTAGATAGATGATAGAGAAAGCGACATAAGTCTAACCATAGGTGGGACAGAGACAGAGATAATGACCTACTTCTTGAGTTCGATAGAAGCATCAAGTACCCTCCAATAACCAAAGTATGACAGAGAAAGTGATATTAGCCGTACCATAGGTGTGACGGGGACAGAGATAATGACCTACGTCTTCGGTTCGATAGAGACATCAATTACTGTGTAATACCCGGTGTATGAGAGAGAAAGCGATATTAGTCGTATCATAGGTGCTATAGGGACAGACAAAATTACCTACGACTTCGGTTCGATAGAGACATCAATTACTGTGTAATACCTGGTGTGTGAGAGAGAAAGCGATATTAGCCCTACCATAGGTGCGACAGAGGCATCAATTACTCTCCAATAACTAATGTGTAACAGAGAAAGCGATATTAGCTGTACCATAGGTGCGACGGAGGCATCAATTACTCTCCAATAACCAATGTATGAGAGAGATGGCGATATCAGCCCTACCATAAGTGCGACAGAGACAGCGATAGCGCGACTGACATGTACTATAGAGTAACATTTCACATACCGTCATCAGTAGTGGTAGGGAGGAACGTGTCGGCCGGTGTCGGATGTCCCCTCCACTTGTCGACGCTCCACACGCCGGCCGCTGAGCCCGCAGCCACCGCTACGCCTAATGCTGACATGTCCCACGTGTGGGAACGTACTGGAAACATAATAATTATACATATATATGACGGCACATCGATTTTGGATTAGTTTGAATGTGATTTTAGATACAGTTGTAAAAAATTGAGTAATAAGATATTGGAGAGTACAAAAATGCTTTTATTTATGAGTTTCAAACGTTACAACGCTCATGATCGATATGAAAAGCCAAGACTCCTGACGCTCCTAGATACATATATATCTTTATATATTTAATTCTTCTGTGTGTGTATGTCACTGAACTTCTCTCAAAAGACTGGACCGATTTTGATGATTTTTTTTGTGTGTGTTCCAGGGGATCTGGGAATGGTTTAGATTCACAATTTTCTCCACTGTACCATGTTTTTTTAATTATTTTTTAATTTATTAGTAGTTGTTGATATAAACGTTTTTTTTTTTGACATAAGATTTGACAACTAACTAATATGTCAATCATTCTGTCGCACTTCAAAACACGGAGATTTATGGCTTTAATAGGTAAACTCCAAAAATATAAATAAAAAAACGTAACAGATATTTCTTGATTATAGAGCGATACGAAGTTCGCCGGGTCTTCTAGTATTTTATATAATACTGTTAATTATTGAAATGAATACTCACAAACAGGTATGCCAATGAGATCCGCTTGTAGTTGCATCAATAAGTCATTTGAAGTCATTTTTCCATCCACATGTAACTTTGACAGCGGCATACCACAGTCTTTATTCATAGCCTCCAAGATATCTCTATAATACATAGTTAATATACATATTAATTGTATGTTTGTTACACTATGTACTAAATAGGTTTTGGCAATATTGTTTTATAGTGTTGTCATATCAAAACAATTTTTTCTATAATATGAACCTCTGAATAGATAAGAGTTTAATTGTCTTGAAGAAAATTTTAATATTTTTGTTCAATTCTCAATCTGTTATCAAAGTTATATATAATGTAAATAAACTATAATTTCTATGATAAATAAATTATGATTTTAGAGTAGCTTAGATAGATACAACTTCTTTTGTAACATATTAATTAAAAAAGGACAAATTTATTTTAGATTACATTTATATATCGAAAATTACCTTGTTTGAAAACAGACAGCCTCCAAAGCAGCTCTTATTATATGATTCTTAGTAGTGAATGCTGTCAAACCACAGATAATACTGAAAATTAATACAAATACACCTTAAACATACCTTAGACATGTTATAGAAGAAATTATAGACTAATAGCACTAGCTTCATTAATATCGCCAAAAATTTATATAAAAAATTGTTCTTGTGTGAATTAAAAGATAACTCGTAAATTAACATATAGTTTAACTATCATCGATTTAAATTAAACATTATTTCAATAAAATTTGAATATTTCAAAATGATGATAAGGAAAATTAATTCAAATGATTCTACGCGTACTTTATTATTTTTAAAACTGTGATTACAGTTACTCAAAGTACGCAAAGTAACCGAAACATCCGGAGTATGTATTTAAAAAATATCAAAATACGCGTAGTAATCCGAAAACATAAGTTTCACTTAAACAATTATTCACAATCGGTTAATTTAAAACCTACCCTCTAGCATCCTTTCTCCAATATGGCGCATACAATCCATTGAAGGCGGGTACGAAATATACATCCCCAGTAGAAAATACCTGGCCCGCTATATGCTCAGTATCTTGTACTACATCTTTGATTAACTTTAGATTATCCCGAAGAAACTTCATAGCGCCCCCCGCTACCGCTATAGATCCTGGAATAACAATTGCAATGAAAAAATTCCAAAAAAATGTTAATCATACTGTAATGTGTGTAAAATTAATGGTAACTTTGTTTAAATTTGTTATTTGGTTAATTTTATATCAATGTTTAAATGACAGTCGTAAACACAATTAAGAAGTAATATAGGTAGCATATTAATATTAACATATTACAATTATTCGTATTGACACATTCACGACTGTAATCTCTATAGTAAAATTGGTATAAAAGTTGATAATCATATATGCATGAGATAAGTAAACAATTACATGATATAAACGATATCTAAAACTGAACTACATACGACGGACATTTTTTCTTAATTGTTTTTGCTCTACATATTGGTTTTAGTATATTATCAGACAAACTCGAAAATTATCTGCAACAATCTACATACATACTTCTTTAAAACCAAAATGAAATATATCAAAATTATCTATATTTAATACATCTTTCAATATCGACAAATTTATGTCCTATCTTTATTCTACTAATATTATAATTGCGAAAGTTTGTGAGTGTGTGTGTATGTTTGTTACTTCTTCACGTTCAAACGGCTGAACCGATTTTGATAAAATTTTGTATACAGGAAGCTGACGTCCAGGAATATTATATAGGCTACTTTACATCCCGGAAATCCGCGGGTAACACCGCGGGGCGTAGGTAGTATTCCTATATTTATATTAGCATTTATATATTATATATAAGGTATATACCTTCTAGTGCGTATATAGCTGGTGCGTTCGGTCCCAACTTGTACGCCACAGTCGTTAACAATCCATGTGAGGAATTAACTCTTTTCCCTCCAGTATTGTATAATAGGAAACATCCCCCTCTATATGTATTTTTCGCCTGACCAGCCATTAGACAACTCTGCCCTACTAACGCTGCTTGTTGATTGCCCAAGATCTGGTAATTGATAATTTTAGATAAGACTAATTTGTAGATAAAATTTTCATATTAATTTTATCGTTCAAGATGTTATAAAATCTATTCAGATATAAGAAATACATATATGTGTATAAATATTGCAAAGTCTATTCCTGCTATGGGATTTTTTGCAAATTTTAAATCAGCAATATCCCTACTAATATTATAAATGCGAAAGTAACTCTCTCTGTCTGTTACGCTTTCACGCTTAAAACACTGAACTGATTTTAATGAAATTTGGTACAGATATAGAGTTGTCCTTGAGACAGAAAATAGGATAGTTTTTATCCCACATTTTTGAAAGGTTCTTTTGGAAACGCGATATAACCGAACTCCACGCGGGCGAAGCTGCGGGCGGAAAGCTAATATATATATTTCAACTTACCCCAGATATTTGTATACCATCCAATATCGAACCGTTATTTACGACGCCGTAAACTTCAGCGCTACTACGTATTTGTGGCAATGAATCTCTGTGTATACCGAATAACCTGAAAAAAATACATTAAAATTACATACATTAAGTTATTATTATAATTATATGTGCAAAAGTGAATAGAATATTATAGTATAGAGAAATTATAATTGATGGGATTTAACTTTCATACAAATTCAGCGAAGAATTTAACATTTTTTATTAAGTATATAAAGTTATATAAATAAAAAAAACTTTATTATGACAATACTTAATGTACTTAATATTATACATATAAAATATTTACGAATACATAATGTTATACGTGTAAATGAATTAAATCGGATATTTTCATGTCTTTATATATACGAGGGTAGTTGAATATTGTAGTAACCTACCTACATAATATTGGATCCCAATTCAAAGTTTCCAAATTCATGAGCAGTGTTCTTGAAGCGTTCGTGACATCAGTTATATGAATACCGCCTTGTGGGCCGCCGGTTAAATTCTAAAAAGTAATTATTATTAATTTAATATTTATTAAAATTAAAATGAAAAATATATCAAAAAAATCTTTATCACAACACGATTTGAAACTGTTATATCGTATCATAATTTAGTATTGCTTTTGAAACTAAGCTATCGTGTCTGTTAATAGTAGGATATAAAATATTATAATATACAGTCAAAACCGTTTATAACGACCAGTGGCGGCTTTACCTTAAGTGCACTCGTGCGCTGAACCACCAATTCAAAAGATTTAAAAATTACAAAATATTACTTCATCTTTATTTTTAAATTACCATTTTAATATTTATTTTTTAAACATACAAAAACGTATAAAAAATTAAATTTCCAATTATGGTCAAAAACTTTGAGCGCTTTACTAAACTCATATCGTGCGCTTCGGCGAGTGCACGAGGACTCCTAATACATCTTGTATGAGACACGCATTAATACGCCTGACGCGTGAGACAAAAGATAGTTCATAGAAATGTACCGAGTAACGAGTCGTTCTCGAGCGCCGCACGAGCGGCCGAAGATTATCGAGAGCACCCGATGTATGACGAATCGGAATTGAAAAGAATCAAAACTTTACTCCGAAATGCTAAATGCACGTTCTATGCTTCGTATTGAAAAAACATTTATACAAACAATAACCGATTTTAATAAAAAGGTGATTGAACATTTCGGTTCAGAAAAATGTCATCGCATTGATTTAATGTATAAAAAATAAACATATTTTATGTCAATTGTTGTTTTGTTGCATTTTCTAATTTAAATATTTTAGTAAAGTGCACCACCAGTTCCATAACCCACCAGCCGCCACTGATAACGACATTGTTTAAAACGACTAATCGGTTATTACAGCGAGATAGTATGGTCCCATCCGAAGTCCTAGTAAACTATTCAGTAAACAAACGGTTTATAACAACTATATTAATCAGCTACAACGATAAACCGCTCCTTGCCTCAGCAAAACAAAATATGCAGGTTTCAAAGATCTCTCTCAATCTACAGATGAAGATGACAATGTACCACTTTTTTTTTATCAGATTTTACTAAGGCACTTTTCAGCGGCAAAGTTAAATATCAGTCCCATCGTTCCCTTAATAATAAACCCACAACAACAATAAACATAAGCCTTAAAGCATCTAAAATAATTCTAAAATTTATAAATTATGTATATCTTATTTTAACTTGAACTGATAAATAGTTATGGCTATCTCTGAATTTGGTATGGATAACGCATTTTGAAAAACTCCTATATGCTTTAAATTAATGCCAAATCTATGTATTAGCTCTCTTCTTTTGGCAGCATTTCGAACACATTCCACAAGAAAATGATATATGTTATTCTGAATCCCGCATAGATCACAATTCGGAGAATTTAATTTCTTTATTAGAAATCCATATTTATTTGTAGAAATGTGTCCCGAACGCAGTCTTAGAGCCATAACAACGTAGCACTTGCTGAAATGGTTACCCAGTTGCAAATATCTCTACTGCTACAGAACAAAGAATTGAGATAGAGGAATTTATTGGAATATATGAATGTCGCCGTGTGCGCTTTAGCTACTGAGGAAGAAAGTCTAGCAGAAGACGAAGAAAACGAAGAACAGGTTCAGCCAAAAACAATTTCCGAGACTCTTAACGCTGTAACAGTTTCGGAAAAATTTGTTGCATTTACTAACAGTTTGATATTGATATTCATACCTTGAGGAGTATGAAACGTAAAATGCTAAAAATATTTGAGACTGGCCTAAAAAAAACAGGCTAAAATCACTGATTACTTTAAAAACTAGTGTAGTTTTAACTGTAAGCAGCTAAGTACATTTTGTATTCTAATTATTTCGTAATAAATATTATTATTTCTTTTCTGACTCGTTTACATACATAACCTATACCTATACTAGATAAATATGTAACTACATATAACATATATAGCTACTGTATTTGTGTATATGACTGTATTGCTTATAACGACTGTCGAATATAACGTCGGCAACTATACGGTCCCTTTAATATCGTTATAAACGGTTTTTACTGTATTTGAATGGTTTGAAAATTTATACATTAGTTTATCCAATATATATAATGATTAATTATTTATATGTAACTCACCCATATAATCCAACTATCAACAGTACCGAACAACAATCTTTTATCTCTACTAGCTCGTCTAACTGTCTTCACGTTATCTTTAAGCCACCTCATCTTCAATGCACTGAAGTACGGACTGATGGGTAATCCACAAATATTCTTCAGATAATTCTTATTTCTATCCGGTACTTTTGCTAGTATTGCATCCACTGTTGTATCTGTTCGTATGTCATTCCATGCTGAAACATATGAGAAGAAACTATTTAGTATTCAATGTATTCATATGCAGGTGCCCGGTCCATCGTTGTAGGGAGAGGAGCTTCAACAATGACTGGGACTTGTGACCCAGGTGTAGGTTTAAGGGTCCCTATATAACGCGTTAAACGCTCACCTCCACTGTCCAAGCTCCTCTCTCTACCTAACCAAATTTTAAAAAACCTACTAGGGCTGCCTTTGAAGTAGGCTTATATATTTGTAATCTCAGGATGTATAGACATCATGTAGATAATAGATGGCGCTACTGTTACGTTAATACATATTTTTTTGAAACATACATTTTTTTATATACCAAATTTAAGATAAATAATTAGAGATTTAAGATACAAAGACTAGAAACATAAGTTTAACGATGAAAACTTTATTATATAGCAATCACGGCCTAAACCTATATACCTGTATATTATTTAGTATGAGTTTGTATGATCACACTACATACGGAGCGTTGAGAGTAGTTTATTCATATCTATTCACATTATAGTATTATTGTAAGTTAATGAATGAGATACGTGAAACTTGTCGTAAACGTATTGTTACATATATACTTTGTTGTAGTTACAATTAAAATCCTTTCAGTAACTATAACGTGTAGTAGGTAAAAAGAATTCTTAATTTGAAATGGATTAATTATACACGTGGAAATTGATAAAAATATAATTCTATATTCAAATAAAACAACGATTTCTTTTTTTTTGGTATAAAACTTACTGCTAGCTTACTTTGTCACAACATTAATTTAAATTTTGAATACTTTTGAGATTATACAAATATTATGTATATGTTACTTACATATAGCCGGATGGAGTGGCTCGCCTGTGAACTTATCCCACGCTATAGTGGTCTCTCTTTGATTTGTTATACCCAATGTCACTATATCTTCTTTCGAGTAACCTTAAATACAATACACACATACATATATTATATGCTAAGTCTTTACAAAAGTTTTGTTGAAAACATTGTAAAAAATAATAATAAAAAATAATAATTTTGTGAATACATAGTAAAATAAAACTATATTACATTTTACTAGACAGTCTCGTTTGCTTAAGACCACGTTTCTAATAAACTTACTTTGTAGAAGAAACGTAATTTAAAATTTAGAATGACGTAAATATAAAGAAATTTGAAAAATCCAGTTCAATTTATATTATTTTATTTATTATTTTTATTATTTTCTTTTCCCAACCGGTGGTAGTGTCTCAAGTGACCATCAATAAGAAAGTGTAATGCTTCTATATTGAATAAAGTTATTTGAGTTTGAAATTCAATAGACAGTTAATTTTAACTATTTAAATAAAGTTACCTAAATCATTTAACTGAGCGATGGCGTTCTCAGAGCATACTTTAATGTGTTCTAATATTTCGCATGGATTTTGTTCGTTCCATCCCTCTTGCGGCTGTACTTCTACTTTGTTTAATTGATGCGACGCCAGTTCCTCTGAGCTCTCAGCTTCGTATAGCTATAAATAATTGCAAAACTTATATTAATATACATTTATATGAAAAAAAGCTAGTATACGTAATAGTATATCCAGTTATAACCGGATAAACCCGATAAAAGTGACAAAGTGTAGTGTATTCCTAAATAAATCCGTACGTAGCTTTAAGCTGATAGAATTCTATTTTATGTCAAATGACATTTACTTGCACTGTTGACCTTTAATGATAAATGAGATTTAGATTTTAAAATAGAATATACATACATGTATAGAGGAGACATTTTATATATAGTATACTTCATAATTATGTATATAGTCTTATGTACACAATGTTATGTCATAAATAAATACAAGAAAAAAACATATCACGCGAATTGGTTAAATATTTTCATTTCCGTATGTGAACGATCAAAACAAACTGAACAATACACAGAAAAAAACTTCTCAAGTTCCTTCGATCGTGGGTAAAATTTATACGTAACATTTAGACAATACATTTACCTAATTTAAATATTTTACTCCAAAATTGCTTCAAATTTTAGAGTAATCAAAATATCAATAACTATGTTTATGTAAATTTTCTTGCCATATATGTATATGTATAAGTAGGTATATTATGTTTTTATGTACCCATGGTTCATGTGGTTTATGTACAATAAGTAAACATAATATTTAACACAAACTATAATTCCTATGTTAAAAATAATAACAATGAAATATATTGAATTAACACTAGTACGTTAATGTCCAGCTACATAAGATTGTATTGAAAACATCGCAAAAGATATAGCCTTGAAAATATGTGAGACTGTAGTCGATCTTTTGATATAAAAAAAATTATATATTAGAATCTGTTTTTTGACTTTAATTTGATGTTTTCGTAAGAAAAACACTTAAAATGGTCTCATTTTATGTATATATATATTATATATAAGATTCAATAACTCACCACAAATCTAAGAGTCCTGGTTCCATCATCTATGACCCCGACCAGCGACTTCTTTTGACCATCTTTGACGGGCATTTCTTCAACTGAAACACAAAAGTAGTAAATTTATATCCACTGTAATACAATACACAAAAACTACAAAAAATTTGTTAAAGTGAAATTTTTGACGCAACTTCCAAGAAGGTTGCGTTAAACGTTTAACGCTCTGGGGGAGGGGATAAAAAGAGACAGAGAAAATGCGTGGCGCTCGAACGCATGCGGGAAATCAATTGTCACTTGTAAGCAAAGTTAATAAAGTTTATGTACAAGAAACACAAAAAATTCCTTAAAACCAATTTCTAACACCTTCCCCTTTTCATTTCAGCAATACGAAATTTCACTTCTTTCGCATGAAGAGAGTAAACACACATGTCATTTTTCATATAATTTATCATAAGAATGTATGGTCAAATGTAGTATAGAGGGTTTCAAATCTTTCCATTCTATCCATACTTGTGTGTCGATAGACTTGTAGTAAACATACTGATTAGAATACATTTCATATACTATGGGAGTTTACATATATATACCTAGTTAAATATATAAACAAACAAATTCTTACTCTTGTTCACGCAAAGCTTAAATTATAATAAAGTAAAATAAATCAATTTATTACCTATTTAATTTTTTCAAATGATTTTAATTGCTATGAATCATGATGCAATTAAATCATGCAATTTTATTAGCCAGAGTCATGTGACATCTATAGTGTTACACATATACTGTATTTATGTGTGTGTGTTCGTGTGTGTATGTGTGTGTGTGTGTATGTGTGTCTATATGCTGTTTTCACGTAACATTCAACCATTAAACCTCCATTACATACACCGTTTCTAGATAAAAACTTGTGTCAATTTACATATTATCGATTAAAATGTATAAACTACATATATGTAACCTGTTTTGTTGTTGCCGAATATTCACCTTGACTCGACTTGTTTAACGTAAACATTTTAAAAACAAAAAATTTACATAACTGCATATATACGTTTAGGTAAATACCAAATATTGAATAAACTGTCCTATTTGTGGTATTTTTTTCTATAAAATTAATTAATTTGTCTGTATTGGTGATATTTTTATACGGCTTCATTAATTTGGCTGGCTTTTGACATATCTATAATTCTATACCCTTACCCCTTAGTATAAGTTCGCATTACTTCGCGTTTTTTTATATCGAATACGTAGTTTTTATACGTTAATGCTATAATCTGATACGATTTATGAATGAAAATTAATCTTAGAATATTATATTCACATCACGTCTGCCCGTGATCACGGTTGCTGCAAAGTAACCGAAATGAGAGTATGTAGTTTAAATAATAAAAAAAAGAGTAGTATATGCAAGAGTATTAGTTTAATTTCAACTTAGAATAGGTATATACAGATATAATGACGTCGAGATAAACCCAATCATTAAAATATAATACTACATAAGTGCAAAGGTTACTGGAGTTAATCGCGGAACTAAAATCATATAGAGACAAATATATCGACAATATCACTGTCTTTCAAACATCGTCCTACTTAAATATATGTTTAATGCACTTTATAGAATGAAAAACTTATGCAAACAAATAATAATTTAAACAATGTTATATATTTAATTAATTGTATGCCAAAAATTGGATATATCAAGACATAACTTCTATGCATTCTATGGATTCGTGCGGGTGCCAGGTCCATCGTTATAGAGAGAGGAGCTTCAACAACCGGGACTTGCGACCCAGGTGTAGGTTTAAGGGACCACTATCTAACGCGCGTTAAACATTCACCTCCACAATCGAAGCTCGTCTCTCTACCTAACCACAATTAGTAGAAAGTAAAAGAAGTGAAAACATTTAGATTTTTATTTCTCTAACATATATAGTCCGAGTAAAACTGCCTTTCGAAACTAGTATAATTAATTAAATGTACTACGAAAAATGATTACGTATATAAATTTATTCGCCTAACTCTCGTTGATAAGATAATGCCACATTGCTAATAGTCTTTGAATATTTACAAAATAATATTTTGCATATAAATATTAATTGTTAAAACGTCATGCATATTTTATACAATAATTATAATAATGCATGCATGCATAAATTATTTTAATGAAAGCTGTTTACATGTTAAATTCACAATGAAATCCAATACCTACATTTACAACTAAGAAATATTTGTAAATTTAGAATGCGTTATTAAGTCGTATGACATTGACATAATAAATAATTTAATTAAAATTTTAAATATATATATATGTATATATAAATAAAAATAATATTTAATCCAGACTAAACTGAATATACATTCAAATATAGTTGTATTACGATCAAGAACAGTTACTAATACGTGCAGAGGGTTTTCCCCCGCACTAGTTAAGGGGGTATACCCGTTATGTATTCTTACTACGTCTTTTTATCCTCGACTTAACAAAACATTGTAGGTATATTTTAATACATTTATTTAAAAAAAGTTATTATTTTAGGCAGACGAAATAATGTGGAAAGAATAACTAAACTAATTAATTCATATTCGTGAAAATTAAAGGCTAAATTTAGCGAAACTAACAAAGCAATATAAAAATATATACATACTGTTATATATTTTACATAATAATAAAATATATGATACATCATGTGTTATCTTTTACGACAAACGCTTATCCTTATCATTCTTAGGATAGTGATTTTAATATAATCTTTTAAGCTAATTATTAGCAAAATTTTTCCGTATAGTATGATATACTAGCATTGACAGTTAAACGTCATTATAAAAAGTGACAATAATATTAAATTTTTTCATCACAAAGTTTTAACTATACATCCAATGTGAATTTTTATTATGCAAACTTAGAACTATGGCTTATCGATTTGAAAAGTATTTTTGTGCGATATTAAAATTATATGATAAATTTGTTTAGTTATCAATTATTATGTTAAGTACATTTGTATATCTCAATACAAACCAATGTCAAGGATTTTAATGAATTAATAATTATTTTATGAAAAAAAATTTCGACGACTTCTTGATGAGAAATATAAACAGAAGTTTCAAATTTCATTACGAAAATTTTATAGCACAATAAAATGTACGTTAACTAGTGATTTCCCACGGATTGCTTTGTAAATAAAACTTAAATTACCTGTATACAAAAGTATTCAACAGTTATTATGCTCGTGTTAAACAGACATACATACATCAGTAAATATTTTTCATATATACGAGATAGGATAACGCTAAGACGATAAATTATATGAGCTCAGTACAAAGATCATTTGCTATAGTGATTATAATTAGGTATAATTAAATCTCACAAGTAAACGCTTTTATTACTTAATGAGATCTAAGACTCGCGAGTTTTGTTCATTTAAATGAAACTAATATTATTCGGATATACTACGCGTGCTTTTATTACATACTCCCGACGCGGACGTTTCGGCTACTTTTCAGCAACTGTAATCATGGTCAGATCTCGCCTCGTCGTCGAAAAATATTTAATTTTAATGCTTTTATTACTTTTATTAAAGAAAATTATATTAAACACACTATGTTCGTCATGCGGTTTACCTTATAAAGATTATTTTCCAGGTACAGATATATTACTTTATCGATATCATTTTACGGAGTTCGAACGGAAACTTAGTACGAGTAAAAATTCGTATCTGTCAACTTACACACTGACAGTCGGACGTTTTTTTTTTTGTTAACAAATCTTTATATCTTACAATTAGTTTGAATAGCAACTACATATGTATTTTAAAGACAGTCTTTTCAGACGGACTACGAATTTTACTATCCGGGTCGCGTTTACGATGATTATGTTCGTGAGTAAAAAATACTATATGTATATATATATATATGACTAACACATAGGTATTAAACACACAAGGCGACTACTGTTTACATTCGACGATGTACCGATATTTGAACTTTGCCTTATAATTGGAAACTGATAAGTGTTGCTAAATCATGTAACGTATAATGAAATAAATTATATATACAATTTTATCATGAAAAATTATTAAATTACTAATTTATTAACGTTGATATGAAAAATTATAGACTTATAGATACAATTAATCGATTTTGTTATGCCAGGAGCCTTAAGGCTTTGTTGGCTTTTATAAGTAGCTATAAATAAAACACTTCTTAAAGGAAAATATTATAGTAAAAAAGTATACTATTTTTATTTAGAGATGATGAAACATATTATTTTTATAAGAAACACTAAAGTTATAAGACCTAATATCGTTTGAGTGTTATGAAAAAAATTGCATTTCGTCAACCCGTGATCACGGTTGCTGCAAAGTAACTGAAACGTCGGGAGTATGTAGTTTAAGTAATAAAAAACGTATAGTATAATATGTATATGAAAATATTAGTTTCATTTAAATTAATATTTGCAAAATATCTTTATTTTCTTGGTAAAAAATTATATAAGTGTGACAAAGTTCAAACGATCAACACTCAAGCTATGAATTGGCACAAATGTATGCGAATTTTTGGATATATTTTTCATACATTGTCCACGGTAAAGTCCAAAGAATAACTTCACGAATACAAAGTACATATTTGGATTGAATTCTTCTCCAAAGTTGTCGTCTTTTCAAGGCCACTCTTAATTAATTCTGGCCTTTTTAATTCCAGAGCCATTAAGAAAGTAGATACCCCAACTTAATAAAATGGAAGTCTACAAATTTAAAAAAAAAAGAAAGTACTTATATATTTTAATTTTGGAAAGATCATTCAAAGCGGTCTTATAAATATTTATCGTTATTTAATAAAAACCGTTACTTAAACATAAAAAGTACTCGCGATTGTATGCGCAATATTATTATTATCTTATGAATAAATGTGTAAAATTATACTATTTCTTATTATGGTTTTAAACAATGAATACATTATTTTATTTATTTATTGTAAAATCTCATAAAATGTGTTACATTTCATTTAAGAATGTAGATAGGTTTAAGTCATACGGCTTGTGCAAAACAACAAACTATTAAAATATAAAATCATTACCGTCATCCATAATGATGTAAGAATATTGTCACTAAATTTAATATAAATCCAATTTATAAACAACAAAAAGAATAATACGCAATTTTACGGCGATTCGCGCGCAAAATAATGACACGTCCTAAACCTTTCACTGCTAAAAGCAAACTGGCCGGTGGAGGCGCGGCGGCCACACACCCGCGGGCCGCGACCCGATTCCATTCAGCCATGACGTTATATTACGTCATCAGAATATAACATACGTATCTTTATTACCAAATATAATGGAATAGCGGTGTTTAGCGGCACTTTTACATCCAAATAATTGATCATTAAACATTAAAAACATTTACAACACAGTTTAAATTATACAGCCACTGCAATTACGTAAACCCACAATATAATCTATATGAAATATTTAGTGACATTGAAAATTTTATCATACCTTCCGAAAATCTCTTCTGTCGTTTCAAAATCGGTCTTACACTCATATTGATTCAAGTATTAGATACACATCGATGAGCCACAACGCAATCACACATACTAAACACTAAATTTAGTTAAACATTTAGCTCTGAGAATCTTGGCGAGACAATAAAGTATGATAAAAATAGTCAAACTAATTAACATAACACAAATGTATGGGGGATGATACGTCACGGATGAATATTTTGAATCTCAGTTCATTGATTGAGTACACGTGTTGTTTTATTGATTCATATACCTAAACAAAAAAAATACAATGGTAACCAAAAAGATTCTATTAATAGTAAGAATAATACGATAATTTCACTAAAAACGAATATAATTTAATTTTTTTTCTGAATACAACTTAATAATAATGAATACATAAGTATATTTGCTATTTCCCGCCAAAACTTCGCTAACGATTTATTTGACAGGACATAATAAAATAATAACGCCAATTTACAATTATTTTCACCGACAAAGATTTGGTTTATATGTGTATTTTGTTTGCAATGCTTCATATGACTAAGCAAATGCTTTATTAACAAAACATTTACAATTAACAAGTAATTGAGAGGAATACACAATACTTTTGACACATATTAAACCATACAATCAAAATATATCTTTATTTTGAAGAAAGCACAATATTTTTACTATAATTACATCAAAAAGGTATTTTTACTAAATAACAAACCAAGCAAATAAAGTTTATTAGTTATGAGCATTAAAACATTATTTTATTAATTGATAATCAATATAATTAATGCAGAAAAAATAAAAATATTGTTATCTAATATAATGTTAATTGAATCGTGTGTAACGACAAATTTGTGTGATAAAAGGTCACAGCCAAAGTTCAAAGGATTATTAACGGAATAATATTAAAATATTCCTAAATATTAACGAGAATACATGATTTAATTGTTATACATAAGAATGCTTATATTATACAATTTACATTGAAATTGATATTGGATATATCTTTGAATAACAATTGTAAAAACATTCATGTACAACAATATGTAAGAAAAGTTTTGATTTATTTATTCAAACAATACAATATTAAAAAGTCTAAATAATATCTTATTTCAAATTTGTTCCACAAGCATCCAGAGATTTCGTCATAAAATTACAGGAATTCCGTTAATAGTTTTTCATTCATGAATTATGTTATCGTTGCACATTATCTACCTATATTAGGTAGGGAGAGGAGCTTGGACAGTGGAGGTGAGTGTTAACGCATGTTAAGGAGCCCCTTAAACCTACACCTGGGTCACAAGTCCCAGTCACTGTTGAAGCTCCTCTCACTACAACGATGGACCTGGCACTCGTACGGTAAATACATTGAATGATAAGAAGTTTTGTCTTGTATATTGTGTAGTTATAGAATGAGAATTTTGTAAACCCTCTATATGTAGTGTTTTGTTATAAATCTCATGACAGTGGTAAGAATATTGGACTTACATAGAATAGTCTATGGCTATGTTATATTCAAGTTTTTTAGTATATACTTCATTAATTTATCTATTTTAAATTAAAATATAAGTATCCGATTTTTTTTATTAAAAATATTAAATTTTAATACTCTTTCAAAATTTTTGTATAATTTTTTAAAAATTTTAGTATTTTTCAATTACATGTTAAAAAAACTAATTATATGATGAAAATAAGTTTTTTAGCTTTGCTGGTATTTTTTACATTATTGTGTATTATTTTTTAATTTTGTAACAACTTGTGAAGTACTATTTCATATACATAATCATATTAATAGCCAAGAAATGTTTACTGTATCAGAAGTTATTTAAATCCTTAATCATAAAAATCCTCACTTTTTTTAGTCAGAACCTTTAAATTAGTGAAACCCCTTTGTGTTTTAGTTTTTTTAATATAACTTTAGGTTTTATTGACATAAAATAATTGTGTGGACACAATATAGATCAGAAAATGATATTATTAAGTAAAAATATATATAAACTTTTTAGTTGTTAAGCTAGTTAAGCTTTCCTTTTTCACCAAATCCCATATTTTATTTTTAATATATATTTTATTTTTATTAATAGCATTATGTCTATATGGACTATATGTCTAGACTATCTTTTCATATGTAGGTCTTTACAATAAAAACTTGAATGTTTTTTTTTATTGACCACTGAGTAATCACACAACTGAAATAACCGCAAACATTCTTACGCGTTTGTGCAAAAACAAAATCAAACCAAGGCCGACATATTACGTAAGCATTTATTGAAGAAGAAAATATTTTTTTGGTAAAAATACAATATTACATAAATAGATGCAGTAATAACCAAGATCGAAACGAACAATATAAATATATTTCTTAATAATAGCACTTACAATTTTATAAACAAAACAATCATATAAATATATAAAAAGTCAATCTTAATTTTATTGATTTTAGATATATTTCCTTTCGCTTTTTTTTTATATACACTATATTGTTGAATATAAGGTTAAGAAATAACTTACCCCTTCTTTCCAGATATATCCTGTTCAATTGTATAAATCCACCGCACTGAAGGATTTTTACGCACAAAAATATCTAGATATCATCTTAGTAAAATGTTTAAAGACAAAATAAAAACAGTAATTTATAGTATGTTGATACGTTTAAAATTATTTATGCGAAATTAAGCACAGAAGGATTACCTACTTAGTCCTATTTGCGATACCGTATGAATCGCGGGCTTGCGCCTTACGACTTTCAAAACCACAGAGTATTGTAATATATTTACTTAAATCAATTTATTTATTTATTAACCATTGCATATACACTTTTACATAATATTTTAAATTTAATAATAAAAAATTAAATTTCAGTTAGTTTTTTAAATTCTAAATTTGGAAACTTCACTTAAATTCCTATTATGAATACAACCACGACATTTTAGTTAAACTTGGTAGATAAACATTCATTATAATTGTTCAATTAAAGTATTAAAATCTAATTTAATTATTTTAAGTTAATTATCTCAAATTATATACGTTGGCATTAAAACAAAATACTTTCGACTATAACACGGCTTTGTCAAAGTCACTGTCCACGTAAGATATGACATATTAATTCGGAATCACTGACTGATTCTTAAACGAAGACAGAAATATTCATATTAGGGTTATTGTTGTATATAAATTCTAATGGTCATTAATACAAGAATACTAGTGATCTATGAGTAATATGACTTCTCTGGGCCACATTCTTCGCAGTATAATTAATCGTACTCAGGATTATTGTTTACTATGTCAGAAACAAATAGAGGGAAATCCTATAAATATACAAGACGAAGTTGTATTGAAAGAAACGGATTCTAATGCTTCTATAAAGATTTACGACGTGCTATCCCTAGTACTGGGATATGAAGTATGTAAAGACCTTTTATTTTATATTGTTATATTAATAAAAATTAAAATAATTTTTCTATTACAGATTTCGTGTTCCATGTCAGCCCTCGAAGTTTTATGTAAACAATGCACACATTCAGCTGTTAATTGTTACAAATTTATTGTGACTGCGAAAGCAAGTTTCGAAACACTCACCACAGCCATTAGTAACCTCAAAACATGTTTAGAAAATACACCAGAAGGTATCGAGGGTAAAAAATCTCTATACATCACATTAGATACAAGCAACTTCGCGACTCAACATTATTATGATAATCAGAGTAATAACAATTCCAGTATAGCCCTTAAGAATTTTCAATCTTTATTTATTTACAATGATAATACACAGTCGTCAAACAAAACTATCAGTAGGAGACATGTTGGTAAAAGAAGAGATTACTTTTCAGTACCAATTAAAACAAGTGAAATGCTATATGATAAGAATGATAGGAAAAATCTGAAGTGCAAAGCTTGTTTGAAACTCTATCCATCATTATCTAACTTGAGAAACCACTTTATAAGAGTCCACGCACCAAAGGATTATAAGTGCGACATATGTCAACGAAAATTTGGTTCAATAGCACTCATAGAGGCCCATAAAAGTGAAAGCCATTGTACAATTGTATGCAGCGAGTGTGGAAAAACATTTCACAATAGACACACATTGAAAATGCATGAAATAGGACATTATTTGAAGCTCGTCTGCCAAGATTGTGGTAGAGTTTACAAAAGTCAGACTACATTCAAAAAACATATAGATTTAAATATATGCGGCCAAAAAACTAGAGCGTCTCCGGCCGATGCGAAATTCACATGCGATTACTGTAATAAAAAATATACACAAAAAGTATCATTGCGAGTACACATTCAATATGAGCATGGCAATTATAAAAGTCACGAATGTAAGTGGTGTAAGAAAAAGTTTTGGGCGCAGAGTAGATTAAAAGCTCACATTGTTAAACACACACAGGAAAAAAAATTTCAATGCAATATGTGTGGCGGCAAGTTTGTTACCAAGGAGTCCTTACTGTATCATACAAGAACTCATACAGGTGAAAAGCCTTATAAATGTGAATTCTGCGACAGCAGATTTCTATCAACTTCTAGAAGGGTTGATCATATGAAACGACATCATGCCGACCTTATTTACCAGTGTCATATGTGTAACATGAAATATACAACGCAAGTGTGTTTAGAGAAACATATGAAAACACATAAGAATGTAGATAAAAGTGTAGAAATACCGACTTCAGAGGGAGTTATTCAAGTTTCAGAGGATGAAATATATTTGGATATGTCCGATGAAGATTATATGAATCAACATGTAGGTTAATTATTACTATAGTTGGTATTTTAGGCACAAAATGAATTACGTTTTGTAATTCCGACTTAGAATTTGTTTGGGAAAAATCATGAAATTCTTCATTGTCTTTGTTTTTACTAATGAAGTTATAATTAATAAACTACTGTAAATATTTTCTGATAAATCTGGTTTTATTATACAAGACATGAAATACTTTAAATAAATTAAATAAATTTAGTGAAGTAAATAGTTGTGTATTTATTAATATTATCGTGTAAAAGTCTTCACAAGTTTGAGATTACTGATTTTATTAATAAGTCTCGAATAATTTTTTTTAAATAAATGAGTTTAAAAAATGTTAATTGTTTTTTTAAACGTTTTAAATAACAGTTGCCTTTGTATTAATATACTTATTTATTATAATATATTTATCAATCGCAATGGTTTTAAACATAAACTAAGCCTAAACAACTGCTATTCAATGCATATATTCAATACTGTTTTGTTACCGTCAATCATTTGACGGCAGTCGGTTTCATTGACAGATTTGACTTTTAAAGTATGTTCAGTGATATGCTGCCCTTTTTCATGTTTTAACAATATTTAACTAAATTATGTGATACTAAAGGGTTATAGACTGTTGAAAATACAAAATGACGTTTTTAGAAGATACACTCATCGTGTTAATATCACAAGTTAGTTTATATCGATACTATTTACGTGTAATTTGAATTCCGTTCACGATTTTATAAGTAAGCTGGTTTAAATTGTAATAAATGTGTTTTTCAGGCCATATTCTTCATAGGCGGCTGGATATTCTTTGTGAAACAACTTTTTCGTGATTATGAAGTGCATCATCTACTTGTACAGTTAATATTTTCAGTTACGTTTGCCCTGAGTTGTACAATGTTTGAACTTATTATATTTGAAATCATCGGCTATTTGGATTCCAGGTGACATATAGAATATATATTTCAATATTCTTATATCATAAATTAACTAATTTGTATCTTTAAACTCTTCATTGTATTAATTATTGAATGGTTTAAGGACCAAAGATATTTGCTACTAATAAATTATTATCATACTGCCTATATTTTATGTTTTTTACCAATAAATTTTTAGTTGTTATAATATATCAATATTAATTTAAAAATATGTGTAACATCTAGTATAAATTATGTTATTTTCTTTCAGTTCAAGATATTTTCACTGGAACCTCGGTCTTTATTCCCTTCTGTTCATGGTAATAGCCCTCATACCTTTCTACATTGCATATTTCTGCATCAGTAATGTAAGATTTGGTAAGACATGAGTTTTAACATATTTACCTATCATATATTGTCAGGGACAGTGCAAATTTGTGTAACTACCATTGGATAATTCCACATATCCATAATAAATTAAACACTAAATAATTACCTTAAAATTTGTAAATTTAGAAAATAATTCACCTTAAAATTTCTTCTGATAATCTGCTTCCAATGTAGATATGCAGAATTATCCAATGCTAGTTACACAGATTTGCATTATCCCCAACAATATCTTATAATAATAATAAATTATGTTTACAGTCTCCAAAAATATAATAAGGCCACTCACTATAATGGTTTGGTTTATATATTTGTATTTCTTCTGGAAAATAGGAGATCCATTTCCAATATTAAGTCCAAAACAAGTAAGTATAATAAAATTTATATACAGAAATTTAAGTAATTTTATTCTGATAATAATGTCTTAATACATTTTATTTGGGTTTAAATTGTGACATAATAAATCATTGCAATTATATTGAAGAGGCCTTTTTGCATCATCCTCTTTTGTATATTAAATAATTTAAATAAAACTGAGGTTTTCGAATGTAATATCACATTTTTTATTATTTTAAAACTAAATACTGCAGACATTTCCCAAACTAAGAAATAATTTTTAGTAAATGACAAATAATAAGACCAATAGACAGACATTTTCACATAATTTCCTCTTGATCATAGTTGCTGCAAATTAGTAACCAATATATTGGCAGTATGTATTTAAAAATAATAAAGTATGTGATAGTACATATGAAAATAAATAATAATATTCTTTCTTAAATGAATAATATTTATATTGTAATGTCTGTACAAAAAGTAATCAAAGTTAATTTTTTTATAAATAATTTTATTAAAAACAAGGTAGGCTTATATGTTATATGATGTAATCAAAATTCGTATCTTTTGTACACATTTTAGGGTATATTTTCCATTGAGCAAGGTGTATCGCGTATCGGAGTGATTGGCGTTACTGTAATGGCCCTTTTATCTGGTTTCGGTGCCGTGAACTATCCTTATACATCAATGGCAATATTTATAAGGTACTATTATCATCATTTACTTATTATCATAAGTTACTATTTATATGATTATTATAAACTTACTATAAACTTTACTGAATGTCTATTTAAATACAATGCGATGTACCCGGCACCCACATTGTGAATCCATGGAATGCTGGGAGGTTTTGTCTCATTAATTTGCTGAATATTATTACAACTTTAATTAATTTCCTAAGAACATGAGAAAACTTGATACATATGGAAAATATAACAAAATATACTTTGTGATTTCAGACCAGTAACACAATCAGATGTGCTATCAATAGAGAAAAAATTGCTACAAACTATGGACATGGTTTTGGTTAAGAAGAAACGAATAGCTTTAGCAGAGTCTAATAGTAGCCGGAACTATATGAATCAATCGGTTGAAAACAGAGGATTTTGGTCAAATATTTTATCAAGTGTCGGAAATATCGCTAATCCTTTAAGCCATAATGCTGAAAGTAAGTATTATGTCGTATAGAGAACTATATATAAATAAAAGTAAAATAATATGTCTATAATATGATACTTAATGATAGTTATTGCATAGACAAGCGAAATATATTCCTCTATATTCACTACGTCCAACGAGACATGATAAAGTCTGTAAGCAAATTTTCATAGTTTATTAACATTTCTAATTTCTTTATATATATATATTTATTTAATTTGCTAGTTGAAAATGCTTGAAAAGTGTGGTCTACAGCATATATACGTGTGTATACATATGTGCGTAAGTTTAAATTATTCTTATATATCTAACGTATCTATGTTTTAGATATAACTCAACTTCGTCAAGAGATCTCAGCACTTGAAGAACTAAGTCGACAATTATTCTTAGAGGCTCATGATGCTCGTAGTATGAGAGAGAAAATAGAATGGTCTAGAACATTCCAGGGAAGATACTTCAATTTCCTTGGTTATTTCTTCTCTCTGTATTGCGTATGGAAGATATTTATTGTGAGTTTGTCGTTTTGTTACATGATAACACCTGAAGTTGCATTCACATATCGTCTATGAAGTAGCAACACCTTCTAAGTGTTGAGAATCTAATTTTACACCAGAAGAAAAAAACTGTAAAATACATACGAATGAATGAATTTTGCCACTTAGTAGATATTTTCATATAGCTCAAGAAACTGTTTGGTAAAGAAATATTGGATAGGAGTGAAGTCAATCTATGCGAATATGAGTTTTATGTCTATTGTAATAAAAAAGTACTTTTGGATTAAATTGTCATTTAGGAGGTATTGGTACTTCATCGACGATATATGTATATACTCGCTAGCTTATGAGTCTTAATAATATTTTCTTGACATGTTAATGTTTCCACAATAAACAAAAATTTGTAAATTTTGTGCCATACAATATTTTTTTATAAACTTTCATGAAGGATATTCAATAAGTATACAACTAAATTTTCAACAAGAATTCAATAACTTTCTTTCTTGTCATTTATCTTCATATAACCTTTAGTATAATTCTTCATATAATTTATCACAGATATTTTATATTTTCATATGTCCGTTATCACGGTTGCTGCAAAGTAGGTAGTATGTTGCTAAAAATAATAACAGATGATTAGTAAATCCGAAAAATATTGGTTTTATATCAACGAATGCTCTTGAAAGTCTTATATTTAATTATATTTTTCTTTTCAGTCGACCATAAATATAGTGTTTGATCGTGTTGGTAAAAAAGACCCAGTGACTCGCGGCTTGGAACTTGTGGTGCATTGGTTGGGATTGAATATTGATGTTTCGTTTTGGTCACAACACGTATCATTCATATTAGTTGGATGTATCGTCCTTACTAGCATACGAGGGTTACTACTTACTTTGACTAAGGTAATGTTGTATTTACTTATATTATGTACTAGCTTTCGCCCGCGTTGACTTCGGTTATATCGCATTTCCAAAAGAACCTTTCAAAAGTCTGGGATAAAAACTATCCTGTGTTCTTTCTCAAGGTTAACTCTATCTCTGTATCAAATTTCATTAAAATCAGTTCAGTGGTTTAGGCGTGAAAGCGTAACAGACAGAAAGACAGAGTTACTTTCGCATTTATAAAATTATTAGGGATTTTTATGTGTTATATATATTGAACAAAATGTTTGAGAAGTTCTCATATAATAGCTATGAAATTAACATCAAAAAGTTGATTGTATGTAATCTATACAGGGTGACTGGTGAATTACTATCAATATTTAAGGAGAATACTCGGTACATGATTCTCATTCGAATTATGTAAAAAAAATAGGTACTTAATTTTTGACCAAATTTCCGTATAAATAAATAAAGTGTGGACACGTTCCAAGTGTTCCAAGTGTGTGTGTGTGTGTGTGTGTGTGTATACCTAATCTGTAGGGTGTTCACACTATGCGTAATTAATTACATAACTTTTGGTTAACTTTACTTAGAAGTTTATTAATATTTATGTTATATTAATTTTTATTTTGTCATATATGATCGTCAAATATCACGTCCTTAAGTATCGATAGTAATTCACCAGTCACCCTGTATATAATAATAATAATAATGTCTTATTTTACAGTTTTTCTACAAAATATCGTCGTCGAAATCGTCAAACATAATAGTATTAATACTGGCTCAGATTATGGGCATGTATTTCTGTTCATCCGTACTATTAATGCGTATGAACATGCCGCCGGAGTATCGAATCATTATAACACAAGTTCTGGGAGATCTTCAATTCAATTTCTATCACCGCTGGTTCGACGTCATATTCTTAGTTAGCGCTCTAACAAGCATTTTTACTTTGTACTTGGCTCATAAGCAACCATCTGTCAATTAAAATATTTATTATCTGTCATCTGGATTTTCAAGATATTTATTATCTGTGTAATTTAAAGTAACTGTCAACTTTTTGTAAACATAAATGTCAACTTATGTTGTGTGTATATAAGATATTCGAACACAATAAAATTGTAAATAATACTTAATTGTACGTTGTAAGGCAAAGCCGGGCTGAGTCGCTAGTGAATAAGACTGATGCAATCATAAGAAATGTATTTAATAAATAGGTATGTCAAATAAATGTATTGTTTTCATTTCATTTGGAGTGAATTTATTAAATTATATTATTTAAGTCAATAATATTATTAATATCTTTAAATTCATAATTTTTAATAATGATACTGAATTAGTTATCATTAGATTTTCTTTTTACATAACTAATCATAGGGTTAATGAAACCTCTGGGAATATACTTTTACTAAGACTGTAAAATAGGTTTTACTTGATAAATGTGTAATCGTTTACTCTATTGATATCCCTTGCGAGGTAAACATTAAAATCTTATTTGAAAGGTCAAACTGTCAAGTTGATAAAAAAAATACCGGTATAATAAATTACATTGTAAAATCTATCTGTGTATCAAAGAAAAACTTAAAAATGATTTGTTAATCTTTTTATATATATACATATTAAATGAATATTTTAAAGACAAGTTCTGGTTTTGTACGAAAACTATTTTTCAATGAACAAAGGATTTTTCATTTCTTTGGTATTATCAAATAACGTAATGTATGTTAGGTTTCGTAAAATTACCTACAGAAGATTTTTCGTTTAAAAATAAACAATGTTTTTATCGGTAAATACTTCATGGTTTTTAGACGTATTATATATAGACATAAGTGTATGACGTATGACATAAAATATGTGAATACTTTTAAATAGTGTTGCAGAACCATCGATAGTTTGACTATCGATAGTTGATCTCGAAAACTATTCAGAATATCAATAGTGCTATCGATAGTATCGTCACATGGTAATACTAATGATAGTATCGATGGCACTTCTTAAATAATACTTTTGAATGTGGTTACACTATCGATACTATCGATATTTCTGAACTATCTGAATTATTCGATAATATTGTAAGTAAATTCAAAGTGATGTATAAAATAAAAGTAATAGAGACCATAGTTGTATTTAATAGTGGTTATTAAATATTCCAAATTACTTCCCTTATGATAACAACCAAATTAATAAATGTCCAAACATTACATGAGAAATTCAAAAATCTACTGACACCAGTTGGGGTTTGAACCCATGTCATAAGCGATCAGAGCCAATACTCTATGCTCTAGCTACTACAGCTTGATCATGATCTGTCTCGACCAGGGAAGTTTCGTCCGATGAGTGACATACTATCGATAGATTATATCAACTATCGACTTTACCTTTACTATCGATTTAACATCAATAGTCTATCGATAGTGAACTGTCGATAGACAACACTACTTTTAAATTTAAATTTCAAAGTATGTACCTTGATTTTCTTGTTTTGTTTATTCACTCGTCTAGGATAGTTTGTTGTATATCTCGGTAAGTAAAAGGTTACGTAGTAACAATGAACCAATAATTCTTTGCTAAAGAAACATAATTCTAATATTTTTAAATCCATTATTATTTTTGAGAAAAAAGTTTAATATTATGAAGACATTTATATTCACGATTATAAAATGGTCTTCAATATCAATATCAGTAAAATTAATAAGTGTTTTAAAATTAATATAGTTACGTAAAATTACGTTTTTATTTTTGCAGAAATGTTCAATAAAATTTCATATATTTAATTAATAAAAACAGATATTTTTTGTGTTATTCTATGTTTAATTTTATACAGTGAATGATCTAAGTTCTAACCCTTCTCGAAGAAACCTGCTTATTCTTTATATACTAAAAATTTTTTTACATGATTTTACATTATAAAACATAAGTAGCTTTAGATAAATATTCACTGCTCTTCTCATATTTTAATACATATTATTATATAAAAAATATTGTTTTCAGATAAGTCATGGATTTCACCGGCAAAGTAGTTTTAATAACAGGCGCTGGTTCGGGAATAGGAAAGGAAATAGCTATTCATTTTGCAAAATTATCTGCTAATTTAGTATTAATAAGTTCCAATGTAGATAAACTCACAAAAGTAAGCGAAGAATGTAAGCATTTATCCAATAGTAGAGTGCTTATTTTGCCTTGTAATTTACGACAAATTCATACTATAAAAGATGTTATATCTAACGCTAAAAAGGAGTTCGGCAGAATAGATGTAGTCGTTAATTGTGCTGGAATTGCAGCTATAGATGGAATTACAAGCGTAGATGTTTTAGATAAAGTAGATGATGTACTTAAAGTTAATTTCGAAGCTGCTGTAGCTATTACACATTCTGCTGTGGATACACTAATAGAAAGTAGAGGATGTATTATTAATATTGGAAGCATAATGGGAACTATGGTCGGTAAGTATTCAATAGCTTACAATGTGTCTAAAGCCGTATTATTACAGTTCACGAAATGTATAGCTTTAGAACTAGCCGATAATGGTGTGAGAGTTAATTGTATATCACCCGGATCGGTGAAAACAAATATAATATCAGATTTCATACCATCGGAACAACAAGAAAATTTTTGGGACAGTTTAATAGATGATTATCCACTGAAACATTTGCCTACAACCGACGATATTGCTAACATGACAACGTTTTTGGCAAGCCACAAAGCTAAAAGTATTACTGGTTGCGATATTATTGTGGATGGGGGAAAAACTCTAACGAAATTTCTGCATCAATATTGATGGACCAAGAAATCTTTTTATTATGTAATTTATATTATTAAATTTTATTGAAATATTTTGCAATTTTTTATTTGAAATGCACTTTTATTTCGGAATAAATGTTTTTTTGTTAAATTAATGTAAAAGGAAAATCTTTTATATTCCATATAAATTCATATAATAGCATCTGATTTACTATATTTAATGGGTTATATAATATGTTTAATTGTTTAATTTAAAATAAATTTATTGAGAAAAAATATATCTTTTAATCAAAATGTAAAACTTAACAGTCTAGGATTTAGTGAATAAAACAACAGATTAATTAAGGACTTTATTTATAACACGATAAATTATCTTACATAAACTATATCGAAAATGTTTAAATAGAAATCTTGGAAAGGCCACTTGCATTCAAGAAGAATAGATAGAAGGAAGCGAATTCAAAAACGACCAAAGAAGTAGCAAAATATTTATTTATTAATTTATAAAAATACTTAACAAACATTTCGACGACATTAAAATTTTGTTTAATTATCGTTTAAAATTGAATATTTCACAAGATTTATAACATTTTAGCGTTGTCTACTTCAATGATCGTAAGTTTGAGCATTTAACAAAATGGCGCTCATAGCCTATATTGCTGTCTTTGTCGCACTTCATAGTAATGAAAGGGACAAAAGCTTTGATAATCCTACTCTCCCATTGCATCTTCGTATTGTTTTCTGAAACAATCTCCCACCGGGAAGAAGTCCCAACATCTCTGTGTATACATGTTCCATACAAATGTCTCTTGACCTGAAATGTTGTTACAAAATTAAATATCAGCTATTCTTTCTACTACCAAAGTTATCGGCAGTGAATTATAAGGCAAACTTTAACAACTTGAACTAATTAAATTTAAGTAGAATTTCTTTCAAACAAACGGAAAAGTGTATTTTTTTTCCGAGAATAGGCCCGAATAAAATGTTATTGTGAATCTTCTAAGAATATCTAAGATAATCCAGTAAGGTTGGGATAAGTTTAATAAAAATCTAAAATTGTCATACAAAAACTGATTTCTTTATAATTTATATCGTAATCTTAATTTATCAAACGATGTTATTTTCCTACCTAGTTTTTCTTGTTTTTTATTCATGAGAATGTAAATTATCTTTTAACTTGCCTTCTACCTCTCGCCTATATGGACAATGAAGAATAAATTAATAAGTAAATAATATATTAACCTGTATATTCTGTGTCCGGTTTATTGATGAGATGCATGAGGAAGAACATGTAGTTAGCGAGGTTGTGCTCGCGTTGGACGTGGGTGTCGAAACCGTGTGGCACCTGCATAGAGAAAAATAAAACATTCATAAGATATTAAGAGATAGTGTAGTTATACATATATAGACAGACAGAAATAATGTCGTAAGCATAATATAATAATAAATTTGTTGTTATGTGATAATGTAACCAAGATCTATACTTTCGTGTTACCGGGCATCCGTACATATGTACATCCGTATATCCGTACTTCCGTACATCAATGCATTTGTACATAAGTGCGTCACTGTATTGATACATCCGTACATATGTGCCTCCATACATCCGTATATACGATCATCCGAGCAACCGTACATACATGTTTCCCATACGTCCCTGCATCCGTACATATGTACATGTATCCGTACATTCTTGCATACGTACATCATTACATTCATACATCCTTCTATCTAGACATCCACATTTAATTATAACGTCAATATCTGGTTACCGAGCTTTGCTTTTTAAGATTATTAGTATATATCTTGTGTCTTTTTTTTATTTCGTTTAGGCATTTTTAAGTGAACACATTAAAAAAACACAAAACAATAGAAATCAACATTGAATTTCTTAGTCTAATCTCAAAACAAACACTCATAGATTTTTTCTTACTAAACAACGCCATCTGCTGTTTTGTCGTTAAAGCAATTCGTAAAAGCAATTAGCACATAGTAGTATTACTATTCACCAATAGATGTCAGGAAGAGTCATATTTTAAACGCCTGCTTTTTGTTATTATTTTTTCATAGAATGACATTTTCTAAAAATGATTCCTAGCTAGATCGATTTATTGCCCCTGAAGCCGATTCCGAGATTCCAATTATATATATACAAGAATTGCTCATTTCAAGATATAAGATTAAGCTATTCACACGTACCTTATCAAAGTAATCTTTATTAATGCCGCATATGAAGCAGTTCGACTCCATGTCCTCCTTGACGGACTCGAGCTGGTCACGGAGCTCACCGAATGCGTCGATAATCAAACCTGGAATTATTTAATAAAATCGAAGTAATAACCCATTAGTGAGTAATTGAAATAGTTATAAAACAGGTTATGTTGGAGTAATTTTAAAATAAAACGTTGCTGCTAGAGACCCATTCCATACTTTTATTTACATTATATGTGGGGATCCCTTTCTTTTATGTATGTGCGGATATATATAAATAAATTGGTTGCCATTAACAATTCTTTGGTAGTTCATATAGCGACATTTTATATAAAAATTAAGTCTTTAATTACGGAATAACAACTTTTGCGATAAAATACAGATTTAAATATCAGCATACTCCATATAATCAGGGTTATAAGCCATATAAGCTGGGAAATTACAAGGAAGAAGAAAATACTCCATATAACTAGGGTTAAATATAAACTCAGCAAGACAAAATATAAGCTAGCAGAAAACTCCATATATTAAGGATTAAATACATATAACGTACCCTGCAAGATAGCGAGCAGGATGACAATGACGAAGAAGAAGAATGAGATGTCGAAGATGATGCGGTAGACCTCGGAGTCATCACCATCAGGAGGCTCCAACTCATCACCGATACCACCACCAGCTCGGACACCTTTATACAAGTTGAATACGAAGCACTGGGGAATGGAATAGTCATTAGAAAACATTGCAATCATTTAAATCAAAGAATTTATAGTTAAACTGGCTCTGTCTGAAACATGCAATAGATGTGTTGGTTTTTATGTTAATAAAAATATATAATAAAGTAATTTCTAAAAAAAAATAGCCTAAGACCATTTTTATTTAAAAAGATAAACATATTCAGAAAACGAATACATATAAATAAGACGTATGAACTGCAAATAGTTTTTGTTCATTTGCGATGGCTATTATTGTATAATAGTTATTTAAAATGTTTAATTAGATTCACAGTGTGTATTTATAACGTGATTTACATTTAAAAATATAAAATACACATTGGCAGTAAAATTATTATGCAAGACATTTGTTTTATACCTTAAGTGATTATACAAATACATATGTAATTATATTATCTTTTTAAACCATTTAAAGCGAAATCAAGGTTTTATTTAACAAGTTAGTGTGGTTAGAGAGAATATATTGTTACAATTGTTGGGTATAAGTCAATTATTGACTATCAATAATCAATATAGTTACAGAATTGATTTCCTTTAACTTGCTATTTATTTGATGTTAAAACATGTAGTAGTAATTAGTTTAAGCCTATGACTTTGTCCGTTTGAACTTCGAAATTGGATTCGGATAGAAGTTTATAAAACATACGAGTATTGCTAACGCCACCATGTAAATGTGGTATTATACAAAATACAAGTTTCACGTCCTGTTTTTTTGGACTATATGGAATAATCGAGTACTTTAACCTACATCATTAGAAGGATTCATTAATATACATTCAGTAAGATTTCTCGTGAAAAGCAACGAAAATCCGTGCACTCATAAGTCATAAGTCTTTACAAAATTGCGCATTCACAATATTGGTAGGTTTATGTCTATTGACTCGTCATAGATTTTACATTAATTTTATAGATATTATAGTGACTTAATTGACTATATAGTATCATGTACAAACATTACAAGTGTCTAGTGTGTATTGGTAAACTTATCCCGCGCACTAGTGTTTATTATTATTGATGTTCATTGTCCATTCATCAATAAAAAAAATACAGATTAATTTAAAACCTCCTTTTGTGAAGTCGGTTAGTCAGAGAAATTCGTTAAAGCTTAATATAATATGTTAAATATTACCGTCAGCATATCATGACAGTTCCTATTAACTTCATCGTCTTCTTCCTGGACGTAGAACTTCCTGAAGAAGTTGAACGCTATGACGGTGTAGATGTAAACTATGATTGTCAGTAACATAACGGTCAGCACCAACTGAAAAATAAAGAAATTTATATCTTATACTACATTCTGATAGTATTGATACGATAAAAGATTAAAAACTGAAGAGTTTTTAAATAAATTTGCGTTTTGTTTTGTAAAATAACAATATTTCATTGTATTTTTTTTTTCAAATATAATTGATAGGTACTTTTGAATAGCAATTTTTAATGCCAATAGAGTATGCTTGTGAAAAAGTTAGTATCGATTTTAAATAGAATGTTTTTAAATGGTAGTAGGTCACTCGTATAATATCAATAAAACATTTTTATTATTTTTCGTCTTAATATAGTGTTCTTATAAATTACAAATGAATAAAGCAAAATTGAGCTTATAATAAAATTACTATTTGAAAATTAACAAATTTATTTAAAATTTGAACGGAGAGTATGAAATGAGCAATGATTTCTTTAAATTTATAAATAAAGCAATAAAAACACGATATTTTAAATCACGATGTTGAGTATAAATTTGGTTTCCATTTGATTTTTTCTAATATTAGCACAATATTGGTCTCTTATCAAAAAAGTCATAATTTTTGAACATTTATAAAACCATATAGAAAAATACTTACTTGTTTTCCATTATGAGTGACAGATTGCAGAATAGTCCTCAGAGTCTTAAAACCAACAGCCACATCGAGCAGATGAGCGGCGAAGAAGAAATTGTTGAAGTTACCCATCACAGAGAAAGAGAAGTACCATAGAGAGTATAAAAATGAGTTATCAGTTATCGTGACACCAGCCTTCCACACTTGATAGCGCCAGTCGATGTTCAGAACACTGGAAATTAAATTCGTATTAAATATTACACGTAATTTATATCTAGAGATATTTTTTATAAAGTATAAGTATGTAACGATAATAGTTGATACTTTCTAAGAGTATTTAGACATCACTGATTAATGCATTCCCAAAGAGGGTTGATGTCAGGCAGGCGGCCGGTCGTAATAACAATTAGCCAAAACTATTCACAACATGTAAGGCAGACCCTGGCTAAGGATGGGTAATTACCAGGTAGAAGAAGAAGATAACTTACAATAATTGATAAATTGGAAAAAGACTGTTTGAAGTGGATGATTGTATATGTATTTGTAAATAATTATTTATTATTTGTCTACACATATACTACACAACTATAAAGCATATTTTGTTTATAACCAAGGACTTAAATGACGGCCCTTACGAAATGTCAAAATTTATTATTTTATCGCAGTTTCACACTTTTGTAATTGCTGATGGTAATAATTGCGCCATAATTGCAAAGCTAATAATGATATATATGTATTTACTTTGTAAAATATTATAATATTTTGAATAAACTTTGTATTACTTACTAATGAACAAATCCTTTGTTCCCTTCGTCCTCTTGAGCGGAGAAAGAAGTCTTTTCCATTCCCAACATGTTCGATATAGAATCAAAATCGTATGTCTCAGAATATTTCACTCGTACTTTCTTTTTAACAAACTTATCCCAATAGTTGACTGGGAATGACCTGTCAAAAACAAAATATGTATTTACGAGTCATGGTGAGTTGAGAAAATTGTATATCGCATTTATTCTTTTAAAAGATCTAGTGTTTTAGAAGACATTTGTCTTAATCAAAATGTCCAAAACAAAATTCAAAAAGACAAAGAAAAATAAGTTTACTTCGCTGATATAACAAGTTTGTCCCAGTGACTCTTCAAATCATCGTCTTCGGGTTGTTCCGCAATGTAGAGACCATCGAATTCTAATTTTCGTGCAATTTCTTTCTCCCTCTTAAATATGGCCAGTGGAACCTGAAAGTGACAAAGACCATAGAGTTATGTTTTATGAAGATTGAAGATGTAGCCTCACTTTGCTACGATTATGGAGATATTTATTATGTACATAATTTGAGTTTTATCTTATTAGAAAAATAAATTAAATAATATCTTAATTTGATGTTGTTAAAAATGCTTACTTTCGTTTATTTTTTTGTTCTCAATACAAAATCATACTAAGTAAGAGAAGTAGCAAGACACCGTTGAAAGGATTAAAATAAATACCATAGGGTATAAAATTTCTATTAAACAATAATTTTGTCTGTAAAAATAACCATATTATAGATTCATTACAAAACTATGTAATTAATAATAACATTTATAAATAAACATTCTTATTGTATTATCGTGTGTTCTTTTTGTGGGTGGTTTTAAATTTACCTTAAGGTGATAATATCCTATGAGTATAGCCAATGATACAATAGAGTGCAACATAGCGGCTACGTTGATGACGTGCTCCATATAGAAGAAGTCTTCATCTATCAACACCACTTCAAGACCATCATCATCTTCTTCACCGCTACCACCTAGTCATGATTGAAATTATGATTATTATCATAGGGTTAGAAATTGATGAGCTATCCCTATATAATATTTATAAAATTGTAGGTTTTATTTTTACCAAGGACAAATTAATTAATCATTCAACAATGACATGACGGAATTATCTTCGAAGGCGAATTATTATATTTGTGACATCAAGTAAATTATACTATATTTTAATAAGTTTTAGGTAATTTTTTTCTGTAAAGATGAGTGGGCATAAAAACACAACACTTTTTTAGAGTCCTCATAATGGCCACTATTCCTGTTTGGTTATTGTTATTTGGTTCAGTTGTTTGTGAAAAAAATGTAAATGAAATTCTTCTATCCTACTAATATTATAATTGCGAAAGTTTGTGAGTGTGTGTGTATGTTTGTTACTTCTTCACGCTCAAACGGCTGAACCGATTTTGATAAATTTTGTATACAGGAAGCTGACGTCCAGGAATAACATATAGGCTACTTTATTTCCCGGAAATCCTGAAAATTCCGGATATCCGCGGGTAACACCGCGGTTCGCAGCTAGTTATATAATATTTCAATCCTCACCGTCTCCACTACCCGAACCTTGTCCTGAACCAGATCCACTGATGATGTCTCCCATTCCTGAACCCTCGCCCTTCTCAACTTCAAGAGTCGACACCTGAAATTTAAGTTGAAAAATATATGTCAAAGGAATTAATTAATAAGAAGGATCTTACATACAGAAATGAACATAGTGAAATAATTTACAAAATAACTTGTTGTTGAATTAATATTCGTCGAATAGCAATGATTGCTAATAAAGAAATTAATAGTCTTTTAAAATGACAAGTATTTCATCTTAGTCTTATAATATTCAGCGTTTACAATATCAACAATGTGATGTCTTTGACAAATAAGTTTTTACCTTGTAGAATAGCAGCACGAAGTTGATACAAAATGCAAGCACCAATGCCACATATTTTAAGTTGTAAAAGTTCCTCGCAAGGAATGATACCGCTCGCTTAGTGTACTGTGAGAGGTCCACTTGAGAGAGAGCTGAAGGAGCTGGACCTTGCACCGCCTGGCGTTATAAAATTAAAAAAAAAATCAATTTATTACCTATGACAAATATCATACATGTGTGTCGTTTTCGCATATGGCCAAAATTTTTAAAAAATTCGGCTTATGCATAAGAATTCTGGATTACAAAAACTAAATAAGCATTTATTTTGCATAGACTGAATTAAAAAAAATTTACTAATACGAAATGAACGAATTACGGCTAGATTTAAGGCTGAAATGTTATGTATGTATATGATGTTTTACCTTCTTCGAACGATAATTTTTTTTCTCACGTCCTGGCTGCATTCGTAAATGAAATGTGTATTTTTATGATGCTTATATAATAAATATTTTAGAAGCTTCTAATGTAATTTCTTATTGCCAAAAAAATAAGTTATGATAAGCTTGCGATATATATTTTTGTTTGCTCTGGCAGATAATTTAAGCTATTTTTTTTTATATCAGACCTTTTTGCTCTCAGCTTCTATAGCAGACATGGCAGCTTGTTGTACAGCTTGGGCTTCCAGACGTTCTTGTGCTTGTTTTTTGGCTTGTTCTCCTCTGAAATGTAACGTAAATAATATTTAACACAAGCTTTTGTTTCGAGCTCAGAATTGGATTTAGAGATAAAAAGAGCATTAAAATACTGGATAGTGTTAAAAAATTGGTACCGACATTTATCGCCTGTACCGTGAAAACTACATAGAAATATGTCGTAAGCTTAAAATCTAAACGTTGTTAAATTTACCTATTGCTCTCTTAACTTACATTGAAATAAAAATTTAAATTTATGATTTTAAATAAATTTAAATAAAACACTTATTTCTTCTACAGCAAATTATTAGTTACTAGAAGTACTATTTACGACAATGAAATTTTCTAATCCGCTACTAAGATAACTCACCCCAGTAAATCAATAAGCGACGGTGGTTGTGTTTCTTCTGTGTGATCGAGACTTTCATCCGGTGATACTTCAGCCTCTTCGCCCGATGATGGAGTAGATGCGGTAGGAGATTCATGAGGTTTCACTTGAATCCTGGAAAATATAAGATAATGATTAACCTTTTTGCAAGTCTAAAGACTTTGAGAAGTTTAGACAAATACAGTCAGATTAAAATAAAACTTTTATATGCCTATTGCTAAAGTGCATAGCGACGAAAGTGCTTTTTGACGAAAGTACTTTCTTCAACGCTGGATTTTAATAACTACGTTTGTATAATATAATTTAATGAGGTCTTGAGCTAATTGAGTATTCAATTAAATGAAACTAATATTTTTGTATTACTACGCATATCTGATTGACATCTCTTCTTTGATATTGTTGTACACTATGTGATATATTTTTTTGTCATTATAAATATTTAAAGAATAATCTGCATATCTCTTAACAGTTTTAACTCTTACTCTTGATCACGGTTTCTGTAAAGTAATCGAAACGTCGGGAGTATGTAGTTTTAAAAAAACGCGTAGTAATCGGTAAATATTAGTTTCATTTAAATGTATATAACTTACTGCCCATTATCCTCTTTGGTTATATCCAGTCCGAAAGCCGAGACCTGCATTTGTCCTGTGTCATCTGCTGCTGGAAGTGCAGGCAAATGTCGAAGTGGACCTGGATTTGATAATAATTGTTTATTTAAGTACACTTAGTGAGAAAAATGTTGTGTTCGAGATCGAGATACATATAGTTAATGTGTCTTTTTGTAAAATCAAATTTTGTATTACAAATATGACTAGTTGTCGTTACTGCTTTACCTAAAATTTTGTGTTTTTATTGAATAATTTGTGTGTATAATTTACATATATTTTAGGGGTATATTCGTAAATTTCACTATTTATAATTACATATGTACATGGATTATGAAATTTATTACGAAAATAATAAAAATAAACCTGCTGTTAGTCCGTAAGCAATTTATAATTGAAACTTATATAATTAGTAATAATATTATTGTATATCGAATATGTAAAATCACGTTTTTAATGTATTAAATGAAACCTGCTTTGGCATTTAGTTTTGATAGTTGTTATATTTTGGTCACTGTCATTCAATTAACGTTTATATTTTTGACAATACTTTAATAAGCTGACTTATATTGAAAAGGATTATAAATATAATAGTTATATAAAACATTTTAATATGATCTATAGATTTCTAGCACTTGTTTTTACAGCTTTCCTATCCGTGTGTGTGTTTGCATTTATTCAAGGAGCATTTAAACTCATAATGAGAGGAAAATGATAACGATATGATTAATTCAATTAATTTAAACTCATATTAAATCAGCGAGCAGTGACCAACCAGCCAAGCGGTATACAACGTGTACGTCTTACTCATAGTTCCCTTCTTCAACTGACCCGGTTTCTCTTCCTCAACTATTTCAGGAGGCGTTTCAGTTTGAGGTCCACGCATCAATCCCAGCAATACTCCACATATATACCTGAAGTAAGATGATTTAGACTACACAACATATTCTTGCATAGCTTTACAAAGACATATATCTCTATATAATTCTTCATCTAAATGCAATAGCATAAATATGATCAATTACCAGCATTATAAAGAAAGGAAATGTTATTGTGGAAGCACTAAGACTATGGAAGTTTTAATTTAAAAGACCATTAGTGCATATGTTCATGTAAGTGTATACTCTTAAGTTTAAAAAGATGAACTTTTGGCCGATTAGTTTTGGGATTTCATAAGGATTTTTAATTGCGCTTACAGTAATAAATGTATGTATGAATGTTGTGTGATATTATTCTAAACCATGACTTTCAATGTCGTTTTATATTTGGTCAATAAATGAAGTGATTTTTATGTCGTTTTATGCATTTAGGTGTAGTTAAATATAAAGAAAACTTAGCTCAAAATCTAGTGAAGCAAAAGGACACTGTAAATCTCTCGACTATACTTGTGTATAGTTGAGAGATTTACAAGTCAAGTTTTATTTTTTTATTTATTTATTTGAACGGCACATCGACAGTACATACATTAAGCACTTAAAACTAAACATTTAAAACTAAACACTAACTGATGTATGTACCAATTATGGATGTACACAGCACTGCTAAAAATTACTGTCTAGCTTACAAAAATATTATAAAAAAACAAGTTAACAAAAGAAATAACAAAACTTTATAAACTAAATAACAAAACTATTACTTAAAAAATACAAATGAAGAAGAAAGAATATCAAACAAAAATCAATAAAGTTTTCAAATTTATATGAGTTCTATTCAAAGCTTTTATCAAAAAATCTAAGCCAACTATGCAAAATAATAGGCTTGATGCATACACGGACAAAAAAAATATTTAAATGATATATGACATTACCAATGACTGTGCATCGATAACGAAGCGTGAAAATAGACATTTTTAATTATTAACAATATTATCTCTACTAATATTATAAATGCGAAAGTAACTCTGTCTGTTTGTCTGTTACGCTTTCACGCCTAAACCACTGAACTGATTTTAATGAAATTTGGTACAGAGATAGAGTTGACCTTGAGAAAGAACATAGGATAATTTTTATCTCAGACTTTTGAAAGGTTCTCTTGGAAACGCGATATAACTGAACGCCATGACGACAAAAGCTAGTATATAATAAGTAAATGAAAAATCACTGTTTGTTGATCCAAATTTTAACCAAATAAGATATTAAGATTGATCAGACTTCGGAAAGAAATTATAATTTTGGAATAATCGGATAATCAGTTTAATATATACATACATAGTTGAATATAAAGGAACTTTAGTATATGTTTAATAACTTTATTAAAGCTTACCTTAAGACGATAACAACACTATATCCTAGATAATAGAAAAGGTAGAAGAACAGTTTGAAGAATCCAATGAAGAGTTCGGATGGCGGCATCTGTTGTAGATCAGCGATTTTGTTCTTTATGTTGGATGGTGATAAAGATGAGAATGCTGTGGAGATTCCGTCTTTAACTGATTGGAAGCCGCGACGGAATGGATCCTTGCCGGCTCTAGAAGTGTAGTAATGAAGGAATTTAAAGTTAATAACAATGTTGTTTAATTATTGAAATATATATAATATTCCACAAACGAGATGTTTTTTTTAGGTCAAAGAAAATTCATACTTTAAATGTATTTTACAGTAACATAATCAATTTATTAGAAAACATATTCGTCGGTTAACAGAATATGCTGATATTCTTCTAATATAGATATTTAAGTCAGTGGTGACCTAGTGGTTAAAAGGGCCGCCTCTCATGCGCGAGAGCGCGGGTTCGATTCTGGCCCTGGCAAGTACCAATGTGATTTTTCCGAGTCATATGTCCTTTCTAAGAGTATTTAGACATCCCTGATTAATGCATTCCCAAAAGAGGTTTGATGTCAGGCAGGCGGCCGGTCGTAAAAAAAATTAGCCAAAACTATTCACTACATGTAAGGCAGACCCTGGCTAAAGCTGGGAAGTTGCCAGGTAGAAGAAGAAGATAGATAACTAAGATGATTTTTTTTTCGATTAGAGCCAGTCTTTTGTATAAAGTTTTGATGACGATTTTTATTTATGTATTGTATAATTTTATTATTTAAGATTAAAATTAATTCATATTACGCCATATTATTTATTTATGGTAATGGTAATTATGCACAGAATAATTATATATAAAGGTATATGTTTTAGGCTTGAATGTTAATTTTATATTATACATATTACATAAAAATATAAGTGAAACGATTCACCACCGGATTAAAGAATAATTTCTTAGCAAAATATTAATAACTAGAAGACCTGGCGAACTTCGTATCGCCCTATAATCAAGAAATATCTATTATGTTTTTTTATTTGTATTTTTGAAGTTTACCTGTAAGCCATAAATCTCCGTGTTTTGAAGTGCTACAGATTGATTGACATATTAGTTCGTTGTCAAATCTAATGTCAAAAAACGTTTGTATGGGAAATAGAAAAGGGCTGTTTTTATGGTTTTCCCAGTAATTAGTCAATTTTTTTCAGCTTTTATACCTTCCCTGAACCTCCACGAACATTTCAAGACTACGATAAGATAAATCCGTTCAGCTGTTCTCGAGTTTTAGCGAGACTAAGGAACAGGAATCCATTTTTATATACAGGGTGACTGGTGAATTACTATCAATATTTAAGGAGTATACTCGGTACATGATTCTCATTCGAATTATGTAAAAAAAATAGGTACTTAATTTTTGACCAAATTTCCGTATAAATAAATAAAGTGTTGACACGTTCCAAGTGTTCCAAGTGTGGTCGCGTGCGGCGGCGTGCTGATACAACACTACGCCGCCGCCGCGTCTGTGTGAGTGTGTGTATACCTAATCTGTAGGGTGTTCATACGATGCGTAATTAATTACATAACTTTTGGTTAACTTTACTTAGAAGTTTATTAATATTTATGTTATATTAATTTTTATTTTGTCATATATGATCGTCAAATATCACGTCCTCAAATATCGATAGTAATTCACCAGTCACCCTGTATATATAGAAGATTAAAAAAAATTACAAAGTCCCTCTATGAGGTATCAATTATATATGATGTACAATTGAGATGATGAATGTACAATGACTAGAGTCAGGACAATTGGAATGCAATATTTATAGGTTCGAAACCTACTTACGTATCTCAATTTTTGACTCCATAGCTATTCTATTCTATCTAATTATAAGTATTATTTTTATATTTTTATTTTTTCATCAAATAATTTCGTTAAACTACATTGAAAAAACTTGATTATTTCTTTAGGGATATATATAACTGACACCGTAATGACATCATGAAATTTTGTTCGAATGTCCTAAAGACGTATTTTTCATAACTAGTATATGGTAAATTTCCATAGCCTCTAGTATAGTATATACATTACCTTTCTTCTTCATCATCCCCCATATAAACGTGGTAGGCTTCCCTGTTCTTGGGCCCGCCGGCAGATTCCTCGGAGGCAGCCATGAGGCCTGATGCGTGCGTCATTTCAAAGATCGCGTCTTCACAGAAGTTAACGAAAGCCTCAAGTTTTTCTTTATCACCACCTTCCGTTACAATGCTGTAGAAGAACGCTCGCTTGGATTCCTATAAACCCAAATAAAACGTTATTTTCTTAAGTTCTGGATACTTAAAACTAATTGTAACATTACAAAAGTTTATAAACGGAATTCATATGGTTTTTTATGTGTTGGCCATTATTTAATGCAGTTTACATACATATATTTTCTTATATACGTGTACTGAAATATATATATAACAATAGTTTTTTTGTTATATTTTTAATATTCCCATTCCGTTATTTTGTATTTTCAGTAAATGAACATTCGAAAGGCGACCTCTAGCTAAAAAAATATGTATGTATATAATGTTACACTACTATAAGCAGTAATATGTAATATTTGATAGTTTAAAGACCAATTATATTAAAAACAGTTAAGGAATAAATATTTCTAACAATCTTTATCATACGTCATCAACAAAGGTCAAATTGATACGTTTTCTTTTTGCTTAACAAATTGCTGGTTATAAGCCATAAAATTAGATGTTTAGCAACTTACAGAAATAACTTGGTATAATGATAAATACATAGTATGAAATTTACCTTAATCTGCGGTTTCTCCCATTGTTCAATATTAGACTCCTTTATTTCAAAGTACACCCGTTCAATCCTTTTTGAACCACCCATGATTTCAATACGACCCAAAAACGGTTCAAAGTAATTGAGTACTGAACCAGCTGTTTCAAGGAAACGAGCTAACCTGAAATGTAAAGTTTCTTATAAGTAAAAAAAACTATTTAGTTTTATATGTTAATCTTAATATATACATAGAGTTTTGCAATGTTATATCATATTATTTATCACATAAAATCTTTCACTTATATAACTTTTGTTATGTAGAAATACCATTAAGCCTTAAAAATGCATGCACCCTTAGGGTTATAATCTGTTCGATACTATTAATGTTTAAGAAATATTCTCTATGTGATTGTAACCTGTTGTGTTTGCCTTAATAAAAAAAATGATTAAAAATCTAAGTACCTCGGTTCATTTGGCATATGTTCTGATAAGTTCGTCAGTAACACAGCGAGGTTAAATCCAATCTCTTTGGCAGGTTCGTGGAAGCGATCACAAAAACCGACGTAGTCCAATTTTCCGTCATGATTTATTTCACAGCAAGCTAAAAGGAATTCTATTTCTTCACTGAAACAGAAAAAATATATTTGGTATCATTGATTGCATTTTATGCTTATATGAAAAACAGTTTATACGAAGTAAGTTAAGAAAATGACGGTTTTCTCCTACTATATATCACAGAACGAGATGTAAGACTTTTGCGAGTATTCATTTAAATGAAACTATATTTTTCGGATTAATGATTCAAATCTCGTCTGCCGGGATCATGGTTGCTGCAAAGTAACCCAAACGTCGGGAGTATGTAGTTTATAATCAAAAATAAAAAATCGCGTAGTACATCCGAAAATATTTGTTTCATTTAAGAAATTATTGTTATATAAATCTTATCCTTGAAACTTCCTCAACTTACGGCGTATAACTTTTTTGTTGTTCCATCTTTTCCTTGAAGTCTTTGGGTAGAACCCAACCATCGTTATTGGTGTCTATTTCTTTGAAACTGGCACTGGACGTAAGATCCTTCAACTTCAAGAACATATCAAAATACTTCAAGATCAATTCCACGTTAGATGCGGACTCCACTAGTGTGTCTACCATTTGTTTTCCGATTGTACCTGGATATGAAATAGTAAAAGCTTTAATAGTTTATTAAGTGTAAATTAGTAATTTCGAAATCGACGATATTAAATTTTGGATTGCTAAACAAAACTAGTTATTTAGTTAATACAACGTACAAAAAGACATTCCAAAGGAAGACTCTATCATGAAAAGTAAGGTGAATATTAAATTATTACTTTTGTTTGATTTCTTTAATTCTTCAATATTTTTTTTATAAAACTGTTTTAAAATTTTCTTTACTATAAGAACTTCCATTAAACATAGTAGAAGAATTTTAGGAAGGAATTTATTATTTTTAGAAAATACAATGGAACTGGTGGTATTCATACCATTAACGACGTTTCCTTCCAACATAGACAGCATCATAGTGATCATGTCTTTCTGCAAATTGAGGAGTTCCTTCAACAGGTCCACTTGAGACGAATGCTTGGACAGTTTGTCCTGCATGTGAGAGAACAGGAAAAGAAAACCACCAACAGCATCCCATAACCTATGGACGGAACGGAAAAATATGTATGTAAACTTCTCTTCCTATCCATATAGCCATATTTATGAATGAATAGTAATATAAAGCACAATAAAGTCAACTTTTTCCTATGATATTACCTGGAGTGAGCTAAAGCCTGTTGATTTTGAGTACACGGTCCCTGTATGACCTCAGTGAGTGTGTTGAATACTTGAGATGCCACTTCGATCGCTTTGAAGAAGTTTGCCTTTCCCGCAGGGTCGATTAATTCCTGAAAATTATTAAAGAGATCAATAATAGTATTAATATTTAGTTACAGAATGTTGAACTTAAATTATGGAATAAACCAAAAAATGCTTTAGGAGTTATAAAACAAGGATAATCTATGAAATGTATATTTTATTTGTATGATCTTAAAAGCAAAAAAACATATATTTTTGAATATATTATACTCTTAACCATGCCGTTGGTTTCGTATTTGGAAAATTTACTCTGATCAAAATAGTATTAGAATATTGTTATAAATACCAACCTTGCTCGAATAGTGCCAGTAGAAGTCCATGATGGATTCTTGGAGCCTCAGTAGATAATCAACCGTACAGATGACAACGTTCACAGTGGTCGTATTACCGGCTTGAGTACGAAGATAATTCTGCCATTCTGATTATTTGAGGAATATCATTAGTTTAGTAACAAATTCACTTAAAAAATCCGTTAATGAATATTCTTCAAATATTATGGATGTCGAAATGTTCAACAAACTTTCGTGTTTTTATTTTTTTTAAGTTCAACGAAAGTTGTGTGCAAAAACATGACGCGAACAAAAATTATTTCAATAGAAAGCAACCAACCAACATTTTCAATGCAATATGTAACTGATAACAAGGGCTTCATTCAGATCTTGAGTCTCTATTCCACATGTTTTTAAAACTCAGTTCTATCCATTTAATTTCAACAAAATATGCAATGACCCTATAATACCAGCAAAAAATATATATAATGATTTACTATAATATGCCTTACCTAAGTTGTGTCCTTCACAAGTCAGTTGTATGAATCTAAAGAGAGCGCATGTGAATTCAGCATCGTGCATATTCTTTTCACCAGCAGCGCCTTCTAAGCCCACACCCAGACCTGAAGATATAGGAAAATTATATTTATGTTAATATGTTCTATGAAGTTCAATATTATTAAAGAATTCCTTTGAGAATGATTGTTATACTCGTAATAAGAGGATAGTTTAGCTAATGACAGTGTATCTTGAAAATTTCACGTCAGTTTTGTGCTAACTCAGAATAGTTTAAATTGTTTATTGTTAAATTGTATTATTTATTAAAAAAGATTTACAAATCTATGTCGATATTTATTTTAAGAGCACACAAGTTCTGTCTGCCAACTAAGGAATAACTTGATGAACCATGAATCTGATTATATATCAGAGAATAGGAAATAAAAAGGGTATCAATAAGCTTATTAGATACATACATAAATACTCTTACTATTTGCTTGTTATGAAGGTATGAAATCTACTGAATACAAATATTTAATTTAATATAGCTTCAATGATCACGTAAGCAACAAGGACTTTTTATTTATGGATCTTTATTTATTATTCACAACAAATATAAGGAATAACTAATTAAATAAGTTATGACAGACCTTCAGCCTTCGTATTTCTTTCAAAAGCGTCCAAGTCAAGAACGGAACAAGAGTTCATAAGTCCTGCTATCGAAGTGAAGAAACCCACGTCTTTTTTGTCCTTCAAATGATTCAGCATTCCCTGAAAAGTCATTCAGATATAAATTGGTCTACATATATTGACCTTGTACCAGACTGCTGTTGCACAAATATTTTATATATCATATGAATTTTGTTGCAAAATCTGTAGAATACAGTAATTTGGTCCCAAGTAAACAAAGTTGTGGACAATTTTATTACAAATATGAGTAAACGTGAGCAATAATGCAGAAACATAAAGAAAAAAGTTACTGACCATTTGTATATCAATGTTTCCGCCTCTCAAAATGGATATTCCAAGTTGGAGCGTCTTCATAACCATTTCGCTGGGGAGTCCTTTGGAGGCAGATATATGTAGCAATACCATCTCAGCGACGCCACGGTTTGCGAGACGAGCTTGATGGAACAACAACTTTTGTTTTTCCATTTCTTGTTCCTAAGATATAGAACGTCGGGTTGAGGTTATTAACATTACAGGCAATACTGGTTAGACTTTTAAATATATTATCATATTAAATTAGTGTTTCTATAAGTCGAAAATGTTTGATTATATTTTAAGTGGTACTATAATCGTTTTGTTATTTATTTGGAAAGAAAAAATGGGACCATTGTTTATTTTTGTTTCATAAGTTTTCTTTGGTGAAGCTATTTTGTTTTACATATTGTATATAACAGAATTCAATCACTTACAAATAGATATACATAATCGTAGGATTAAAAATAATTCACGACATACATACCATAAAAGTTCCCATAGTCTTCTGCTTGCAAAAATCACAAAAAAGTCTAATAAAATTCCAGCTAAATCTAATATTTAATAGTGTCACAATACTTACACTATTTATAAGATAGGTATCCTTTGCAATAATATCAACACAATGTATGAGAATAATTATTTATAATTTGAAGTACGTTACTCACATGTATGCTGGCCTTTCCTTCTTCCTCCCCCCCTCCTCCCGCCTCCGGTTCTCCTCCCGCTCCCTCCTCTTCCTCGCCTCCTTCTTCTTCCTCTTCACCACATGACTTAGCAATGATGTGAGCATATGACATGTACAGTGGGTCCTCCTATAAATTAATTACAAGGCGTTAAAATATAATGTCAGGATATTAAATGAAAAACAAAAAATAAAATCAAAATTTCATGTTCTAAATGTAATTTTTGTTCCAATTAATATGTTGATAATTAAGTGTTCTTTTTATTAATTTTTTATGTCCAGTTTATGAATATGTTCGAAAGTTTTTGTCATTCAAAGCATATACAGGGTGACTGGTGAATTACTATCGATACTTGAGGACGTGATATTTGACGATCATATATGACAAAATAAAAATTAATATAACATAAATATTAATAAACTTCTAAGTAAAGTTAACCAAAAGTTATGTAATTAATTACGCATCGTGTGAACACCCTACAGATTAGGTATACACACACACACACACGCGTGCGGCGGCGTGGTGTTGTATCAGCACGCCGCCGCACGCGTCCACACTTGGAACACTTGGAACGTGTCAACACTTTATTTATTTATACGGAAATTTTGTCAAAATTAAGAGCCTATTTTTTTTAAATAATTCGAATGAGAATCATGTACCGAGTATTCTCCTTAAATATTGATAGTAATTCACCAGTCACCCTGTATATCCACGGGTGTTGCTAACACTATTAGATTATTAACTATTGCTTTTCTGGTTTTAAGTTTTTGGGAAGTTAAACCAGTGTTCTAGCAATTATTATCAATTTGGGTACTAGTTATTTATGCCCAACTTAAAGCAACTTATATTTTTTTACCTGTAGCGCTCCGGATCTTTCTGTCATGGCGCCTCTACAGAAAGTCGTAACTAGTTGCGTTAAGGGGTCTGGTTTTCCTTCTTCTTCTACAACATCACTTTTCTTCAATTCTGCGTCCTCAAACGATTGCTGAAGAAGAATAGAGATATAAATATTATAGCAATTCCTGATCAAATATTAGTATTTGATTCTACACACTCCGCCAGATTTCATAGGCTCATGCGGAACAATTTTAAGTTTTATTTAATAAATGCTCACCGTCAAATCTTCAATCATGACTTCTTGTCCAATGTTTTCCTCTTCCAACCACAACTCGTAGTAGGTTCTCGCGAAGATGTTGCAAGCTCTATGTCTGTTTTACATAAAAAGACATTTTAAGTACATACATATTTGATTCCGTTTTTAAACGAATATTATAATTGTTAGTAGCCACTTTAGATATATATTTTTTTCATTACTTTGATTCAATTAAGCATTGAATATTTAAAACTAATGTTGCTTAATCCTACGGTCACACGATAAACACGAAACTTTATATAGTATTCTATTCATGATTAGTAAAATGTTAGGCTAATGTTCGTTCATACAAACCGGCTGATTTTATACAGATGTATGGATCTCAAGCAAGCGACAGCGGCACGTTTTCGAGCGGCGCAGAGAACACGTGTCCAGCTACTTGAGCGAGGAGCTGGCTTGGTCGCCTTGTTAGTACATGCGAGTAATTGTTTAGTTTGGGGAATTATTAGTATTAGAAAAAGGAGCTATTAGGATAGAAAACGCTTTATTGTATACCACACAAAAATGATTAAAATAGACAATTTAACAGAAGAAATATAGAAGTTTAAAGGCTATCTTATCGCTAATGAGTTCTTTCAACATTTTTCTTCATAAGTCATAAAAATATGCTCTTTATATTTATTAGTACCTTTCTTTTGCAGTGAAATGTAGGGTTAAGGTCTTAATAGGAAACCTTTGACTATAGACGAATATGGTTTGATGATCAATATGTTTAAAATAGCAATATAATTTAGAGGTTTGTCAGAGGTATTGAAAGTAGTTGTAAAGGGTTTACAGATATTATTAGTACATGCCAGTTAAACGTGGAGATTAAAGATGAAAAGATTACATATTATTAAAAATTTGAGGGTTTGATCTCATTGTTAATGTGTTTACTTATGTCAAATCTATTGTTTACTTTTGATGATCCCTGCTAGATTAATAATAATTACAGACTAAGATTCACACGAGCGTAAGTTAAACATTGAATAATATTTACAATTTATTCAATTACAAAGATTATAAGAAAGAAAAGTTTTAAGACTATCGAAGAAAGAGTTTCTTATTAGAATTCAAAATAGACAACAAAATCACATTCTGTTAATGGGTAACTAGCAAAACACACGATCACAAGAAACCTTGGCAGAGAATGAAGTGACGTCTGTCTAAAGCACGCGATGACCGCTCTCTTACGTTGTATGGATACCACTGAGCGGTAAACATTCTTACTCATTTGTTGGGGATGGTCAATCTATATCAACAATTATGACCTTAGTTTTATCATTATCAAATAGTTTCAATTTCTATTAAATCGATCGTAAATTACTTGCAATATTCCCATATTTTTGTCAGCGTATTGCGATCTAAATTCTTCACGATTATTCCCAATTCAATTGAATAAATACCTAATCGATATAAAAACGACTGATTTTTTTCGCATTTTGTACTCACCATATGCAGTCCAAAAAGTACTTTGCTCATGGCGACGATTCTTTCGACGGTGTCGTCAATAATTTTTGCCTTATTCTCAGCTGTTTCTACTGTGATTGTAGTTTTGCTCTTTGATCCCAACTTGCTGTAGAGATAGTGCTGCCAGGACATTTCATCTGCCGGATCAATTTTATCCGGCAAAGTAAGTTGAGTCTTCGCAAATTCAGCTACATCTTGCTCGGACATTTTCTATAGTATTACAAAAATGTTAATATTAATTATACCATAAAATATTACAAGTAAAAAATAGTTAAAGCTAAGTTTTGATTTAAATTAGAGTACAAATAAATGAAATATCTCTTTATAAATTATTTTTATTCTACCAGAATTAGACTTTGGTTTTGTACATAGGCACTTAGCTTATCTCATTATCATCTTAGGTGGAGAACATTCCACTATTTGCTGAATACTATCGATTAGTTTTGTTTTACTCACTTTAAGGAACCTATCCTTGCAATGTTGCACTAACTCTTGCTCTCTCCCTGCGAATAGGTTAAGTCCAACTGGTAGCAGTCTCTTCAGACAAGCCACCATCAACGACGCCTGCACCTCCTTGTCTTTATCACGTTTCTTATCACGATGCTTCTTCTTTTTCTATAATATTATTGCTTATTTAGGTTGCATTACTTAAGGCATAATTTGTTTCATATTAACGGTTAGTTTATGTCATTGCAGTCAGTTAAAAATCCTTTTCTTGATCTCCCCTTTTTGTATTTGTTATAATGCTTTTTCTTTTCATATCGTCGGGGATAGTGCAAATCCGCGTAGCTACCATTAGATAATTTCGCGTATTTATTTTTGAAGCCGATTATCAGAAGAAAGTTTCGGCTGTAATATTTTCTAAATTAAAGACTTTTAAAGTTTTTTTTTCACAGTTTGTAATAAATTAAACACTAAATAATTACTAATCGTGAAAAAATATCTTAAATGTCGTTAATTTAGAAAATATTTCAGCTTAAACTTTTCTGTGATAATCTGCTGCCAATGTAGATACGCGGAATCATCCAATGGTAGTTAAGCGGATTTGTACTATCCCCGACGACATGATTATTATTATTTATATTTAGTCGAATACATTAATGCCACTATATTTATTTCTATGGAAAAACTATTTTTAATATTAAATTATTTATTTACTTATTTAATTCGGTTATATTAAAGCCAATACAGTCAAGTAATTCTATTTAATTCGAAAAATAATTATATGAATTTAAACTACTTTCTACATACTTATAAATGTGGTTAAAGTTAAGCAATGTGGCAAAATAAGCGTATACAGAAAAATACTTGGAAATTATAAAATGTAATAAATGCGTAAAATTAATATAAAAAGAATAAATACCTACCATCCGTGGAATAAAACTATAGTAAAAATATGCTAAGGAAATTTTAAAATTACTAATTATTTCGTAAGTTAAATTATCCATATGTCTTCACGATACAAAAAAGTCTCATACACATAAAATATACAAGGTATCGTATAATAGAAAAAGTCTAGATATATTTAGCTGTAAAAATTCTTACAGGTAATTTAAGACAAATATTAAAGAAAAGAGCATTCAGAAAGAAAATATAGAAATAAACGAAAATAAAGAAAAAGAAAAGATAGAAATTACCTTCCCACCACCTTGAGGTGTGCCATCGACTATGGTGGTTACTCTTCTAGTCGCGGTAGGCATAATCAAAACCTTTGCAAACGAAACCTTATTACAATCACATAAAGAATACATTGGCTTAGCGCTGTCAGCTATTTGGCCATAAAAGAAAAGAAAAGAACATGTAGTGCCAAAGAAAATTGTGACGATGATTCAGTTATAAAGCATATTCTGGCATACCATATTGTCGATCTCGTTTGCTGAAATGAAGTTTTGTTCTTCTTTGAGGAAGTACTGGCTCTTGGACCAAATGTTGAATATCTCTGCTACGTGGTTGTATAACTCCTCGGCCTCTGTGTTATATAATTATATTGCATTTAATTTTGCGCCAATTGTTTATTACCACATTACAAAATTCAAACTTTTTTATAAACGAACTGATCGTAAGTAGTTTCTCTTAGTATGTATATTATAATATATTTCCATAATTTAAATATAAGACATTATTTTTATTACCTGCAATATTATTCCTCAGCCAATGATTTCTTTGTAGATCGACGTATTTTATCAGCAGAGGATAGAAAGAGTAAATGTCTCGCACCAACAGCTGCCAATCTTCTTGAATTTGAGATTCAACTTGAGAAGTGTCATCCGTTGATGACTGAAACAATATAATAATAACATTAATAAAAAAAATGAGCATTAGACATAATTATGTATTTTTTTTATATGAATTTAAGACAAAAATCTTTTTCGATTATTTTAGGTTGAGAAAAACATAACTACGATAACATTGTCCAACAAAAAAAAAAATTGAATGCATACGAATGACCTAAAGCAGATATTGGGTTTGAATACTAGATATAATTTATAGTTCTGAAATAAATTATTCTAACCTTAATAAATCCTCTCAAGCTCTCTTCTTTATGGAACATGTTGTCCGTCCTCTTCCTCACTCTCTCAGCCAAAGGCAGGAATGATTCCCTAAGAAGTTCCTCCGAACTGTTTATTATAATTTGTTGTGTGTAGGTCGCAATTCTTGTCATCCAAGGAGCACTTTCATTACCGATGTTCTTCTTGATAAGCTTAAGTACATTCTTAAGCAATTGATTCATGTGTTCAGCTGTGACCATTGTTACGTGGTTCCTACAATAGATTGTTTGAAAATAAGGGTAGAATTTTATTTGCTCAAAATATTTATTGTATTACGAGACAGAATAACGTTTCTTAGTAATGTTTCCAATCGTTTTATAAAGATTCTTAAAGGTATATTCAAAAGGACTTACCCTCCAGTCGGAGTAACATTATCAGGTCCTTGCGCCCACCAAAACGGCAAATAAGAACAAAGCAATGGTAATACTACATCTATTATATGAGGCGCTTCGCTATACGTCTTATCTGATTCGACGAAATGGTCCACTTCATTTAAGATGGTTTCTAAAGTTGGCATAGATTGCTCCATTTTTGCCATTATGTCTGTGAAAAGAAGTTTAATATTATATTTCATGAAAATGATCATAAAATAAATATTGATTGTATAATATACCTTGAGCTTCCAAAGAGTGGTCGGCGATTCTGTTCAAAAGTGAAAATTGATTATGCTTATTGAGATGGGGTTCGAAGAATGCCACCGGGAAGGTTGAACTGAAGGCACCAAGACATGAACCCTGGAAGTTTTACATGAAAATAATACAGTTAGTTTCTGAATTTCTTATGCGAACCACCAAATTTTACTAAGGTAAGGTATAAGTTATGCTATTCATGATAAAATAAATTAAAAAGCATTGATTGTTGAACCTAATTTAAATCATATGTTCTTCAAGTCTAAAATATTTAAACTATTAACTAATATACTTTTATATTTAATAATATCCATATGACTTTACTTATCTACTAATATTTGTTTCAATTTTAATTCGGTATAAGCAAAATTTTAATCTACCTTTCTTCCGATAAAGGTTTACCATAATGGTATACTTTCAGTCTTATTTTTCGCTGTCCAAGTACATGACGATATTTCTATTATACATATAATCGGTTAATGTTTCTTTCTTCTTAGGTTTGTTGTATTTTTTTTAGTTAAATTCAAAACTTACCAAAGCCGGTTTATGTCTTTCAATCTCTGTCTTCAAATACTTTCTGTCGTGAGTAAGAGTGACATCAGTGCCAAGAGTGTATAAAGACCCAAGCATCTTGTATGACGCCACTTGTATTTCATCCACTGTAACAAAATTATATTTAAAATATATTAAAATTCGCTACACAATGTAGTAAAAATCATTGACTTATATTCTAGATAATGTTTTATTTAATTTACGTCTTTGAAAATCTAAATAAATTCTTAAAACATGCCAATAACCTTGTTTTGTGTAATTATTATATGTATTATATTCTGGAATTCATTAAAAAGATGGACAGTCAAAAAAAATATGTATTTCCTTTGTTTTTTAGGATGCATACATATTCTATTGATTTGTTTGTAGTCCCTGATTAAGATTCAAATCACAATATCTATTAGATTTTTATATGTCAAAGATTTTTTAGATAAAAAAGATTTTAATATAAAAATTGTATTAATTAAAGAGATCAATGGATTATGATAAACTATTTCAATCATTTAATTAAGTAATTATTATTATAAATAACATTTGTACTTCTCATACAGCTCATAATCTCATCTCTCATAAAAAATATCTCTTAACATCTAATGTTAAGAGATATTTTTTATTATAGCATATATTTCATTTGTTTCATTCATTCAACTACGTCATAATGTCTTTTGATTTATAGAATTTTACGACAAAACTTGCCAATGAGGAAAGTATGAATTGCTTTCAAGCATTGAAATCAATTTATTTTCTGATAAAAAATAATGTTGTATAAAAAGTGTTTTTATATTGCATGTCTCATTTTTATCATTTTGGTAAAATTACTAATATTTTGAAATATATTTGTTGTTATTTTTTATGATATAATTTAAATGTGATATATTTTAGATCGCAACAGGGGGTTGCATTGCTCAAAACGAAAGTTATAGAAAAAACTTAGGCTCAGAGTTAATGAAGAACATAACAGAAGTGAATAAAACATTGAAAGATCTCATAAAAAATTATAAATATCTGGAGAATATATACAAAGCTGATGAAAAAGTGCAAACTGATACTAGTGGATCAGAAATAGATGAGAAATTTAAACAAATGAAAAGAAAAAGGAAAGAAAAGAAAAAATCACACAAGAATACTTTAAGCCCAGTCAGTCTTAGCACCTTGTATCAAGGAACTGCATATATATTCGATTCTAGAACTAGCGATGAATTGCAAAGTAAGGACATAAAAGAAGAAAAAGAAGATTTAGAAACTGACCAAAATAAAGACAGCAAAATAGAAGAAATTTCATTAGAGGATAAAAAAACAATTTCTGAAAGCTCAAAGGAAGAGGAAGAAATCTCTGAAGACGGAGAAGAAATCCAAATAGACATTCCAAAAGTAAAACCAAAAAGGACAGCAAGCAAAACCAAGCCGCAAAGGGTCAATAATGTTTTTGGTAAGAAAACCAGGTTTGATGTGTTACATGGTGAAATGGCTAAAAATAGAAATAAATCCAAGACACGTTTAAGAGTTGGAAATCAAAGAATAGTTTATACAGAACAATTTTCCCCACAAACATTTTGGAAGGATATTGTAAATAAACCTATAAAACTAAATAGAGTGATGTCGTCGGAATTAGCAAGTTTAAAAGACGAAGATAAAGTCAACATTGTAACTTTGACGGGCAATATGAAGGTAAAAATTAAAACATATAATTCATGATGTAATTAAAGTAATTGAATTGATTAGTATTTGAAACTTCGTACAGAAAGAAGATCAACAGAAGTTAAACAATCAACTTTCAAATAATGCTACTAAAAATGGTTCGATTTTAAGGAACTACGGTGATGCGTGTCTTGTAATGCCTATCAAGAAATGTGAAAAGGTATGTTTTATATTTAAATTGACTTTATATATGTATTAACATTATTAATTTTACATAATTAAAAAAAAATACTAAGCAAATTTAAGCTACGATTAAATAATGAGTAGGAGGACAAATAATTGTTTTTTAAGTCTCAGTATTATTTCTTTTCTCTGTTATAAAATTTCACTTTTAGGCCTTGAAAACCGTTAACAAAAATGTTTGCAAAATGAGATTTAAATGCAAGTCTGAATTTAAGTCAGACTTTATCGAGAATTCCAAAAAAGGATGTCAAAAACAATATATGTATAAAGTGGACGAAAATTCTGAAGAAGAGGAAACGACAACAATCACATCTACGACCGGTAATAACGAGGAGGAGGACATAAATGAAGAAGATACCTTCAGGAGACGAAATGGAGGTAAAGTTTAAAATTTTACTTATAATGGCTTTTGTTAAAAAAGTTACGTAAATAAGAAAAAAACTATTTTCAGGCAAGAAATTGAATGACGGTGGAAAATACAAACATTTGAATTCTCCCAATAAAAAGGTTATTAAAATTATTAGTACGTTTTGAACAACTACAAACAATTAAGATTAATCTAGAAAATGGCACAGAGTTTAATATATTTATATTTTTCAGCAACCCATAACTAATCTTAACGAAAATACGAATTCTTCCGTACATCATTCTAGCCTTCGTGATAAGTATGAAAAGCAATGTCAAAAAGAATTGAGAGCTAAATGCATTGGGGCTGGGGAATATGCTATTAAAAAAACTTGCTCAAAACACGAATGTGACAAAAAGAAGGAGAAAGCATTAAAAAAGGCTTGTAAGGAGGAATGTAAAAATTCCTTTGTCATAGACAAAAAAAAGAGCGATTCGAGTGACGATGGTAGCGACAATGACACTGACAGTGACAGTGACAGTGACAGTGATTAAAACAAATGTCATAATAAATCTTTTTTAATCTGATACTCGTATCTTCTACTACCTGGCAATTTCCCAGCTTTAGCCAAGGTCTGCCTTGTATGTGAATAGTTTTGGCTGATTGTTTTTACGACCGGCCGCCTGCCTGACATCAACCCTCTTTTGGAAATGCATTAATCAGTGATGTTTAAATATGTACTCTTAAAAAGTACATATGATTCGGAAAAATCACATTGGTACTTGCCCGGGCCAGGATCGAACCCGCACCCTCGTGCATGAGAGGCTGGCCTTTTGACCACTAGGCCACTACTGACTTTAATCTGATACCTAATTGAAATTCAATTAATTAAGATAAAATCAATTGACAAGAGAACGACTTCAATATAACTTTCCAAATATTACATTCAGGCGTTTTACCAATTAAATATTAGTTTAGTTCGAAATTTAACTTTGGGATATATGTATATTCTTTAATCTAGATTTTTATCGTCCAAATTTTATTCAGATAAATTTCCTATGTACCTATATATAATGTAATTTTATTTTAATTTTAATTATATATCTGAATTAGTATGAATGAAACATAACTTATTCCAATATGGGTGTACGTGAGATACGTAAAATTTAACTTCTCATCCGGAGTCATAAATATTTATTGTTAATTCCGTATTGAAGTTGAATAAGTAATTATTTATTTATTTAAAAAAAATTCATTATTTTTATATTCCTTGCTGAGATTTCATCATTAATAATAAACATTATTATCGAAGTTGACATAACTAATGATTTACTTGTTCTACAATTAGTTTCCTATGGTTTTATGGACCTATTTCTCGACGGATTCTTTTTAGGATCAAACTATTTCTGCACACTTTTTATTTTTTAAACTATATCAGCCAATAGGTTCAGCGTACACGCATGTAAAAGAGTTTGTTAAAGTAATGTCAGTTGAACTCCTTTAAAAATATTATAATCTTCATAATTCTAAATAAGTATTTTAAGGCATAATTGAAACTGGAATCCACATTTATACAAATAATATTATAGTTTTTTAAAATGAATAAAGATTACTATCCATCTGCCAGAATGACAAATATACCTAGATTTTTTTAAATAAATTGTCCTTCTTACTTAACTATGTGTGCAAATCAAATAAAGTAGCATTAATAGTTCTTGTGAAGAAATATAAATTATATAATTCTTGGAGGAATTTTGTTACCGTGGGTTACGATGTCCCAACTTAGATATATACATAATATATATTTTGGAATAAATGTTTTGGAATATATACAACAATCTGAATGATAGAATTTTTGAAATTTTGAGACACGCAGTTTTGAGCTGAATTCCAAAAAACACAAATGTGTGTAAAAATTGTAATCATTCTTATTAATTACAATACTTTAAATAAAAAACGAAAGTTACGATTTCTTCAGCACAGTGATTTTATAAATTTCAAATAAAATAAAAATAGTAAAGTAAAATCGAATATATAATTTACTCCAAGATACAACTACATATATGTTAGTTTATGCAAACATTTAAATAAGCCCCATTTTCATTCCCATAAAAAAATATTTTATATTTCAATTACTTAAACTTATTGATTGTTGTAGGTTTTTATATTAATAGTTAATAAAAAAAATATTTGAAATAAATTCACTGGTATAACAGTTCATGATAAACATCAAATAGTAAAAATTAGAAAGTAACTACTAATACATCAACATAAGATTACATTCAAGTAATGAAATTGGTTTTATCGCGATTTATTAATTTTTCTCCAATAATTTTTATTCTTCATGTTATTCAGAAGAACGTGGCTTTTTCTTTTAATATTATTAATTGCGGTATAACAAGAAAATTATACAAAAGTAAGTTATTTGAAGCGGTTAAGTTGATTTATATTAAATAAATGTTTTTCAGATTCTCAGCCAAAATGTCGAAAGTAATAGAGATGATCTGGATATCCAAACGCGCAGAGGCTTCTTTAAGGACATCGAAAACTTTTTCTCTCGGCTGTTTGGAGGCAATAAAAAGCCTTATAAACGAACAACACCAAGCCCAAAGATAACTAAAATGTTTAAAAAAGTCACTATAAAAATTAACGGTAAAAACTTACAACCTGCGTGGGGTTCTAATCTCATCTTATTAAGAAATAATGAAAGTATCAATTTTCAAACTAATGAGGTAAATATAGTAGCTATTGAGATATAACAAAAAAATATTAATGTTTCTCATCTCATACAGTCGTTAAATTAAAATCCAGCTCAATAAAAAAATTATTTAGGAGAGGAATATTAAATAGCAAGTTGTTACTTTAAGAAAAAACAGAAAACAACAACTATTTTAATTAAAATTAAGCTCAATGCTACTGATTTTTGTACGACCTACTTGATGTACAATACATTAGTAATACATTATAATACTAAATTTATATAACTGACATGTTGCGATTTAGCATTATTTTATTCGAGTCAATTTTAAATCACCTAACTTCTTGTGTGAGAAAAATTATAATAAAGAACATAATTCGCTAGTATTCTTGATAGCTGCATTGCTTTTTTCAGCTAGCTATAACAACGTGTATAAAGTAGGGTAATTTTTATATAAACATATTTTTGAAACATAAATTATTTTTAAATGCAGACTGAGTATGAGCGTTTAAACAAAAGTGTGATAATTGGTGATGTTGACATCGACATAATGTTAAAAGACCCTTCACTCCAAGCACATGAAGACAAAGAAATGAAATCAAGAAAGATAAACTTCATTGAGGATAATGATTATGAAATAACAGAGAAAAATCTACGCAGAAACGAAAAACACTTAATGATAATTGTGACTAACAACAAAAAGGTTCAATTTCGTTTTAATATTGCAATATTTTTTTATTTATTTTTTAATCTATTTTAGTTATATTGTTTAAGGTTCACGAAGATATGTTAGGTAGTGAAAGCTTATATTTAGGTTCAAATGAAGATTTAACAGAGGGAGTTTTTGGAAAAGATAGTCTTCGTAGAGAGTATGGCAAAGCATGCATTAAAGTAGCTGTACGGAAATGTTACAAAGTAAGTATGGAAGAAAATCATTGACTTATTGAAAATATCATTAAACATAAGGTATCTATAATATCATTTAAAAAAGATGTATATTAAGTATCTATACTGATGTTATGAAGAGGCAGAGTTTGATTGTTTGTTTGAACGCTCTAATCTCAGAAACTATTGGTGCGATTTGAAGAACCTTTCAGTACTAGATAGTCTATTCATCGAAGAATAGGTTATTATTCTCAAAATAAAATTTGAGATCCCTGAGAAAATTGCTACTTTGTAACCTGAGGTGTAAAATCTAAGACCTATTTATTTATATAGACCTTATTATTAACAATAAAACAAAATAATGTACTGGGGTTTTGGAGTTCCCATTAAGATCTAAAAAAATGTCCGCTAGATCACATACCTATCATAGTTTAGTCACAATATCCGATTTCAAGTGTGAAGAAAGAAACTATGTTAAAGATGCATACTTACCTAAATTAAGGATTATTTTATCAAAACTATTTCCGTAAACGTAAAATCCTTTTTGTATCACTCCAATCGGACATTTCGTTTAGAAGTTATCACAAGTATAATACGCTTAGAATTATTAGCTAACCAGGAAAGCGGGACCGATTTCCATTAAAATTTCAATGGCAGATAACTGATGCATATTACATAACATAGGCTTCTATTGTTGTACAGATTTATATGTTTAATTCACATAATAAAAAAAAATCTACCACGAGTTGATAAAGTTAAACAAAAATAATTCTTAGGTAACATGTGATGTTAATAGTCTAAAAAAAAATTACATTACTATTATTTATAAATAATATTTTGGATACGTCCATAAGAATACTCTCTGTGTCTATGAGAAACACTTCATGAAATAAAATTTCATTATTTTTACAATAACATTGGCATATCTTTGATCGTTATTGATATCTGTTGTTACTTTCAGACCTTACATTCTGTGAGAAACATTGTATGCAAAACACGTTACAGCTGCAAATCTTCTTTCAAATCAACTTTCCTTTACGAAGCAAAAAGAAGTTGTATCATTGAGTTTGATCCGACAACAAATTTAATAAAAAAACCACGTAAGGTGGGCAAAAATTATAAAGGTATGTTTTTTAAACCATATTTTTTTATATATTCTTATTACGTAGTTAACTGTCGCAAGAATAGTCTGAGAAATAGTTAAAGCTTTTTATTAATAACTAGCGCCTTACAAGTTAAAAATATATTAATTAAATATTTTTTGTTATATTTTCAGTACGTAAAAGTAAACGTGATACCGCCCTTTATATAACACAGTGCATGCCTCAGCTAGTGAAGGAATATATTAAGACGGTAATATAATATTATTTACATTTCAAATACACAGATAGATCCTATTATAATTAAAAGTGTGAGTTTGTTTCAAATTTGGTATGGCAGAGAGAGGAGCTTGGAAGGTTGGAATGATCGTTTAGCGCGCGTTAAATAGGGACCCCTTAAACCTACACCTGGGTCGCAAGTAATAACCACTGTTGAAGCTCCTTTCCCTATAACGATGGACCCGGCACCCGCAGAGTGAATCCATTGAATGTTAAGAATTTTTGTCTCATATGTACATTACTATACTCCTTTTTGGCTAATATGCCAGTGGCTGGATGTGCTGTGATAATTTCTATTAATGAATGATACATTATGCTTTGAAAAAATCGACATTGACATTAAACTTTCTCTTAAAACAGGGACCTAAAAGATTGAAAAAATCTGAAGGCACCAAACCGGTACTCAGAGGGAGATCTACGAGGAAGTGTCATAGATTATTGAGAAAAAAATGTTATAATGCCTGCTTGTATTCTCTAAGACAAACATGTTCGAACGTGGATTGCTCGAAACAGTTTCAAAGGATCTTTAGAAAAGAATGTAAGAGGGAATGTGGAAGGCAATATTTGATTATTAACGATTCTAGTGATTCAAGCGTCAGTAACATCAGTGATGACAGTGATTAACCCCAAATATAAATTAATAAGATTGTCTATTCCTTTTTTTATATTATTTACATTTAAGAGATGTAAAAAATATTGTGAATTTGAATGGTTTCTACTGCGAAATAAAAATCATATATTAAATACGAGATAACTTCTACATATATCGTAAAACGGTCTTTAGTAGACTATAATTAATTATTGTGAAAAAAATTTTAGGAATAAAATTTTAATCTTAAAATTAAATGAATCATAATAAAATAGATTTATGCAATTCTTCTCATTCTTAATTTTAACTGTAGCTTTCATTTTCATCAGTTCATGTAATTTTCTTACAAAAAAACATGTAACTTCTTGCTTAGCATATTTTTACTGATATAAAGATTCTGGCAGGATTTATAGTCACCTTTATTTATTATTATCGTAATTCTTCTACTCATTAAAAAACAGCGAGGTTTAACATAAGTGGTTATAATATATGTAAGTAAGGGTATTTTAGAAGAATTGCTACTTACGCAATAGATCAGCTCCATATTCACAGTTGGCGAGATGGTCGAACATCGCGGTAAGTACTGGTAGTAGGACTCCGTTTATGTAGCCAAGAGACGTGGAAGTCTTCAAATGGGTACCACGCAAGTGAGCGTATTTACCCTGAAAATAATGCAATATATCTGTTTATATATTGTAAGATACGTCATGTTTGTAATGTATTTTCTGTCTTATATTCACATTGGTTCTTTGTTATTAGTTTCTATGAATCAGAAGACATATAATAGCTTCCAATTAATAAATCATCTGTAGAATCTATGCTACTTAATGGTAACTGTCTTGTTGGGTTGTTTGGCAAATATGCATGATAGTGGGATTAGATTCGAAATGGATGACGTAATACGAAATTTTTTTTGACGTTAACTAACTAACTAATGTATGTATATGCTGTATAATAATATCAATCAAGCTTATTTTGCGAACTTGTTTATATAGTGAAAACACCTACCTCCTGTAAGTTCAATATGGTATGTCCGAGATCGTCTGCGACGTTATTGAAGAAGGTAAGCATGGAAGTTCTGATAAATTCGGGGCAGTTCTTCACCAGGGACTTGGCGTCGATACCCTTCACCAATACTTGGAGACATCTGACAGTTATACGAACGTCTGGACCGAAAGCTGCGAGCCTGTAGGATGAATAATTAAAAATAGAAATATCAACACAACATTTGCACCAGGGCAAAGACTCCGAAGAATATATGTATAAGTTATGAATTAATCCATATCTTGAAATCGTTCTTTGATTTTTTATTATTTTCTTCTATTAATCTAAACTAACCCAATAACTTTAGGATATTTATCATTAAGAATTGGTCATAGATATATATATAGTAGCAATGTTCACAAATAAAAATACTCATCCGAAATGGATATATTTTTTTATTTGTAACTACTGTAGTTTTTTTTGTCATACAAAAGCGTATAAGCTCTACACTAGACTAAAAAATTCGACGGCGAATTCGCAAAAAAAATATATATATTACCTTGATCTTAGTAAACTAGCCAGTTTACAGAATAATGCTGCAACCATCTCTTTTTCCTTAAGACTTGCCGCGCCGACGTTATTTGTAGCAGTCGCCACAGCGATGAAGTAATTGCGATGAGTTGAGAAATATTTTTCCATAAGCGGTAGAACAACCTGAATAAAATAATATTTAAGTATACAGCATTTTCATATATTATATACACTTATTAAAAATTATTTTCAAATTCTACCAAATAAATATTTAATTGGCTTGATTACGAGCTACTTAAAAAAACTACTCTATTGATTACTACTATAATCGTGCATTAACTTACTCTTTATATGATAGTGTATCTTAAGTATTTCAAAAAAACAAACTCTAAAAGCAAAAGTGATCTTTGGAACATCATGCTAAACAGCTGTACCAACTAAAAAAAAATATTCTTATATTCTATTGTTTTGAAGCCATTTAGTTTATTAGAAAGCATATTCTATATACCTTCTTAAAGTATTTTATCTCCAACTTGTCTTGCTTGTAACATAACAAAGGAATAGATAGAGGAAAGGGATCGAAATTCAAGTCGTACTAAGTTAAAAAATATCATTATATGGCTTTAAAAAATATAAATTTATATTTAACAAGAGAAAAATTTGGAAGTGCATATAAATATAGAAGTGTTATATTGAAATGTTAGTAATAAAAATATATGAAAAATTAATTTACAAATAAAGGAAATACAAACCTTAGAGAAGAATTTTATATCTCTAGTACTGGTTTTGAAGCTGGGTCGTCTACTGAATGTTGTGGATGGTTTTAGTAACTTCATGTTGATGGTGGCTCGGTCAATATATTGTATCAATTTTTCCAAAAGCGAGTATGCAAATCTGAGCTCTATTGCCACACCCGTAGAGGTCTGTTCGGTATCTCCTTGTGCTGTTTTGGGTCTGTGTAATTTGTAGCCTTGGTATTGCAGATATTTGAGGAATTCTTGAGATCTTTCTCGATCCTTCTTCTTCTCTTTGTCAGTTAGTAAGTCGTAGGGAACCAGTTGAGGATGAATTCCACCTTAAAGAATTGAATAAGCATGTATTTTAATTGAGTACATAAGATACGAATAATAATTAAATATTGTTATTATTTATATACTTGTAATTCATCTTCTTAAGGCTAAGTATAAGTTTTAGGACACAAAATAAAAAAGTTTCGATCACTGACCAAATAATGATTTATAACAAAAGCCTAGTAACAATTTTTATATTATGAATTACAAAAAAAAATACTCATATTGTATAAGATAGTTATAAAACAACTGAAATGTTGGTTTTGTTATTGACGATGGCAGAGTTATCAGAGTTTTACGAATGCCAGTTAAGCCACAACTGTAGTATTAATTTAATTCTATTTCTTAGGATATGACAGTCAATGTACTGCAGTAGATACATTGTTTCGTTTTCTCAAACAGAGCTTTCTAACATTCTCAAAGAAGATCTATTTGAATTTGCCATAAGCCTTCATACTTTTTTAGTCTTTATATTAAAATTGTAGTATATATTTTTTTATTTTCTGTTGTTCACCTTCTAAGTTAAGAAAAAAAAGTGTACTCAAAGCTAAGTAGTGGTTAGCATATGCTACATATCACTAGGACCTTTGCATTTTTTCTTTTGCTTTGTTGGAAAAAAAAGGAAACGGCACTTGTAGGATTTAGTGAACCAAACTGTACTGGTTTTTTGGACATGGGTTCCGTTTTCCAGCCCTAAAGTTGTAATTAATAGACTAACTTATTTTTTATTAAATAACCCACCAGATAACTCGGCAATAGAACGCAAAATTAAATCAACTCGATCGGATAATCGGTTGCCGATATCATCTCCGTGGATGTATGACCTGAATGACCATTATAGCGTTCTACTCGTTCCGTTCGCTTCACTTATTAAGTATGTATAGCTAATAGAAAATAAGATTTCATTGGTATAATACCTCCATTAGTGACCAGTTCCTCCTTTTTCTTCTTAGCCCAAATGTCGTGAGCATTTTCAGCGAGCCTCTCAGCCATATTCTGCATCTCTCTTGACAGGGTCAAGTTCGTCATGTCCACTGGATGAGGATTGTAATTGAAGGGAGTGGCTGAATCCGGCTGAAACAGAAATTTGTTTCGATTAAATATCACAAACATAGTATGTATCTATATTCTAAAATATTAATTACTAAAACATATATTGCCTAGCTCTTGGATAATATTCAAATGTTTTCTCTTAAATAAATTAATTCCACAATTATATTATTCAAGTAAAAATTGCTTTTAATGAGAACAACATTTTCAGCTGTTTTATTTATATTTAACAGTTATAAATATGGTCTTAAATTAAATGAAAAAATTGAAACAAAAACTGTGAAATTACGATTTTTCAGATGTACTACATGCAATTTTTTTATTTTGTTTTTCATTTTTGCTTACGTTTCGGTTACTTCACAATATTCGTGAACACGGTTAAATCTGATATAAGAGTGTCTTACTAAAATCTTACTTGAAATCTTCAAAAACACATTAACTTTTAAGATAAAGGTATACATGAGGTGAGAAAATAATGTATATTTTTTAAGAAGCCGAAAGTTGGTATGAAATATAAATAAATGACAAAGCCTAGAGAAAAAAATTCAATTTTATACCACGATTTAACTAATCAACATAATGTTAATAAAACACGTTCGTTGTATGTACTTTACTAAAATTGATTTCTCAAATCACCAAAAGTATATCTAACTGCTGTTAAGAAGATATAGAAATTATTTTCACATTATTCCTCTATAGTCATCTCTAAATGTAATTTGAAATGTGTCTGAATTTTTAATGTTTCTTATATATACTCGTATATATGTGTATATATGTACACTTACTGTCAATATTTCCGGTGTACGCTTAAGAAAATATTTACATTATTAATATTTTTTTTAAAGTAACATATGTGTATAAACATAATGTAATAATTATTTTATTACCACTTGTTCCTCCTGGACGCATGTTAAGAAAAATTAATTCAATTTATATGAGATATTTAAACAAACAAATATACACGAATATACTTTGTAACATAAATTTACAATTGTTTTAAACTTATATTAATGATCTATGTCATTATTATTAGGTATTATTTTTATATACCTTTTAAGAGAAAAACATCTTTATTGAAAGGCTGCATTAAAATACAGATTTCGTATTAAAAAAAATAATGTATTGCTTGCTTTTGAGGAAGTTTTATAAAAGAATCGTCAAGAAGAATTTTCATAAAGGAATTGTTTTTATCTTCCCTGTTCCTTTTTAGATGAAACAATTGCTATAATAGTTATTGGATATTATTATGAAGTATACTCACGACTCCAGACTTTGACTGTCTTCTCATGGAACTCCTGTTAGTGCTGGGAATGTCAACTTCCGAATGTTCTACGGACCAACCAATGGCCAGCAATGCCTTGAGAGATTCACGCACCGGCTCTTTGTAACGCTCTTTTTCCTATTAATAATTAGTCAAACATTATATTATATTAATCCATATTACCTAAGTTCATAAGTTATTGTAAATGAGAAAAATAACTTTTAAACGAAACGTTAGGTACGTCCCAAAAGGTATATCGACTTCAAACGGTTATTAAACTAAGTAATCTACATTTATTATCTAATTTATTGTTGAGATTGAGTGTCAGGTTAATGATTAACCATATTATATCTTAAAATTTACATATAGATATATATTTTATAAATAGAAATTATAATAATAACTAATGTTTCTTTATAGATTCACGCATTTGATCAGCAGAATCCTTTATCGTTTAATAAAAGGGTAGTTTCGTTCTTTGATTCTAGTCACTTGTAATGTAATTAGTTTTTCGTAATATAATACTAAATAACTTACGTAATCATTCAGCATATTATAAGGTTTGAGTCTTGGATGACTTTTTTGGCTGTCCGACCAGGACTCAGCATACACCCAACCATTTTCAATTTTTCTACAAGAAAAGAAGAAATGTATTTTGATTACAATTATATTCAAAAGATGACTGGCACGTTAACTTCCACCTTATACACGAACCAAATCGAGGCTAACTGGAGGACGCAACAATATTTAAATTATAAATCTACCCTCATATAAGAATGACGTTACATTATATTACGATTACAACCCGCTTAAAAGTTTCATTTAATATACTAGCTGCGCCCCGTGATGTTACCCGCGGATTTCCGATATTTCCGGGATGTAAAGTAACCTATGTGTTATTCCTTGACGTCAGCTTCCAGTATACAAAATTTTATCAAAATCGGTTCAGCCGTTTGAGCGTGAAGAAGTAACAAACATACACACACACTCACAAACTTTCGCAATTATAATATTAGTAGGATTACATAAAAAGGGGCATGAGAAGAAGAATAATGCCTCGTTCTTTTTAAATTGTTGAACCAATGGGATATAAAGTATTAGGTAATTTTTCACCTTGAAGCCCAAGCGTCATGGTAATGTTCAGAAAACTTCTGGACGATTGTATTGAGATCATTATTGAGTGCCACTGAAGAAGTGTTTATAGGTTGGGGATCGTATTGAGGATTGTCAGCACCTGTAAATTTATTGTATAAAGTAAATCTTTGAAACTTTACTTTGATATTTTAAAATTGTATAAAATCTTTGCCTGTGGTATGTTGTGTTTCTTTTCCGTAAAACTCATCGTCGTAATTCTTAGATAAAGAGTAATCGGGTGGTAGAGCGCATCCTGAAATAAAAATCAAATTTTTATTATCCGAAAGACTAAGAAATTGTTGAAGTAGGTTAAAATTTGCTTGTTTTTTAAATAGCATTATATTTTATAAGCAATCTTACAAACTTATAACCATAGATGATAATTCTAATAATTTACGATCACATCGATTATGTAATAATCAAGATATCAAGTTTTTCGAATACTATGCGCTTATTATTATTTAATGACTACATAATCTCCACTTTTCGGTTCATTTACAGCAACCGTGATCACGGGTGGGCGAGATGAAAAAAGTTTTTTCATTCCATAGTCATAAAATAATAAAAAATGCGTAGTTATATCCGAAAACCTTAGTTTCATTTAACAAAAAATAATTTCATCATTTAAAAAATAACTAGACGAAATATTATAAATATTCCACTAACCAATAGCAATGAGACATGGTAAGGCTTTCCCGAATAGTTCAGGTTCGTAGTCCATTTTGCTGAGGGAGTCAAAAATGTTTGAGAACAGCATCATAGTGAGACGTTTTTCCTCATCAGAAGACGCTCCATATAGACCCTGGCCGCCAGTACTGCCGTAGTATTTAGCGCATCGTTCGTAGTGAAGAGTTAACAGCTATGAATCATAAAGGATATATGATAATTAAATGCTTTTATTTTTATTTAAGTCATAAAGAAAGTTATCCGCATTTGGTAAGGTGCATTGATGTGACAAGAAACGTTTCGTTTTCGAATTATTAAATTTTAAATATAACATTGTTAAGACGTGAAAAGTATAAAAAAAGTAGCTAAAAATATATTTTCATGTACTGAATAATTCAATTGTTTTAATAGGGGTAGTCAAGGTGAGAAGATTATTGTGTAGATTTGAATGATTCTACTATTATACTGCTTATGTTGTGTAATTTTACGAATTGATAGTATCAGGGCAGTTTTAAGAGCAAATAGTATTAGTCTGTGTATGTGAAAATGGCATAATACACATATATTTTAGTCGTACCCGTAGTGCAACGGTTGTATATTCTGATAATCTCGACACATCAACAGTGAGTTTTCTCAAAAGTTTCAGTAACATTGAAGGTTGCATAGCCGCTGTCAACGCTACAAGGAAGTCCGAAACCGCTTCACGTTGACCCTTGGTAAGCATCCTGTTCTTGGATAACCTGATTTAAATAAAAACACTTTTATTATTATATTGGTCAATAGATGAAAGAATTATATTCTATATGAAAAGTATATAACTATGGACTGCGATACCACGGTAATTTGTTTTATTTTTTATTTAAAAGAAAGATTTATAATTTAAGTAGATGAATATAAAGCTGATATTAGCCTTTTGTATTTACGATGATATAAAGCTACAAAATGTTATCTTTAATTAGTTAATAATTTTTTTAAGCATTTATTAAAGAAAATATTGGTCAAAACCTTTTTTAAATATGCGCATAGGGACAAACAAATGACGAGTTTTATAGAACATTACCTATAAACTGTGTGTAAAGTGGCGTCCAATAAGCTAGCGTAATTCTCAGCTTCGTTGTAGAAGTTCGCGTGTTTGATAAGAAGCGGCAGAATAGAGTTACCGATGTAGCGGTTCATAGATAGTGCCATGTCAGACTCACAACCATCATTCTGAAAAAAAAACGTCGAGAGGAACATTCTAACAAGGGAACCCAAAAATTATTTTGATACACTTATGTTTTTATTCTGTCAAAGTCTTCCAATTTTCTTCAAGAAATCAATAGTTTTTCCATTTTATTGTCTAAATTTTGTAAACGGCATGACACTCTCAACTAATGTGTCGTATTTATTATAAAGGTAAGAATCTTACTCTATCCAACATAGTAGCAGCTCGTAAGTCCGGTAAGAAAGCTTCTTCTAGTAATCGATAGAACAACTCCTGAGTTTCGATACCGTACACCCGCTCCAAGAACAAACCAACGCTCTGTTTGTGACCAGGTATTAAACCCGATGGCATATCTAGAACATGAAATATCAACATTATAAAAATATCTCATTCTTTTATAATACAATTTCATGTATAACAGGAATCTTTTTTATTAAAAAACGGTTCCGAATAAATCTATATAAGGAGTTTGTTTAGAGCTTATCGTCTATGTTTGATGGCGCTAATTGGAGATTAATCGAAACTAGGTACACTTGAGTGATTTAGTTTTCTTATTTAAAATACGTTTTTAAATTGCTTATTGTTTGATTTGTTAGTTGAAACCGCTTCAGGTGATCACGATTCAATTTTTTTTAAATAAAATTCCACGTTTGCCGCTAAAAATATATACAATAAATCTATTACTCACCAGATTTTGGTCTTTCCTCACCAGCAGCAGGGTTGTTGAGAGTAAATCGAAGGCTGAGTACTCCTTGAAGGTCTTCGAGTGGTACCAGCGAACGAAGAATGGCTCGAGCTCGGAGTGATTCATTTTTACCCTGGTTTATATATAAATAAATTAACATCTAATTATGTATAGGAACTTGGCCCTTAACAGAATTATTTTTTTGTTCCATAGTAGCGTAGGTTAACGGGCGGGGAGATAATCAATCTAAGTCTATTGAAAAAATAATCAATTTAGTCTTTAAAATTACAAATGTGCTGTCATATATATGTATAGTTCTTTTCTCATAATTGATGTTTTGTTAGATTTATTATATAATAAGTCAATACTCACAAGAGCTATAACAGCGGCATCAGGAGCACACCTTCCCAGGAGATCAACCAGTGTACAATAGAAGTTTAATATGGCAGCGCCAGTGTCAATATAATCTTCATCATCTTCAGATTGAGGAAGAGGATGGCTGAACTGATAAATGAAAATAATTTATTAATTTTTATTTATTTACCAAGTAAGAATTCATTCGTACTGGCCATTATTGTAAACATGCGACGAAAAAATCGTTCTGAACACATTTTCAAGTCAATTATGAATAAATTACTATATTTTCTATTGCAGATCCTCTCAAAAATTGTTTGGAAGCAAAAATATATAAAAGTACAAGATGTTATAATAAACAATATAACTAACACTAATATCGCCCCCTTCTTCCATCTCTCTAAGTTTTCTTCTATCAGCGATCCTCTCACTCATTTTGTTGGCGTCGACGATAGCTTTCAATAAACCTTCACCTTCACCTCGTAAAGCTGGTCCAAGGCATTCAGGTCTTCGGATCAAGAGCCTGATGACGAGGTTAGCGTTTTCTTCTACGCTCTCACCATTTACCTTTCAAAGAAAGAATATGTAATAGTTATTATATTGAGTGGAGTAAATTTTTATAAATAGCAATATTTCATAAAAAACGATGCATATGCAATAGTTACAAGAGTTTTCTATATACAGTAATCAATAATTTTTTTTATACATATAGTTATGACAAGTTTTTTAAAAAAAGAAGTTTATTATTTTTTAATTTTTGTTTTAGGATTGCGTCTTCTACAATAGATAAGAACATGTATTTAATATATTACGAATAGTATTATAGTTATACGTTATACATTTTTCATATTTATGTATATCGTTTCTGTAAACTGTAGTTTTCTGCACAAACTTACCCAGACACAGAATCTAAGGAAGTCTAGATATCTTTCTCCTTCCACTGGATCCCATCCAAGGTCAGGGTAACCCTTTTCTACGAGCTCTGAATTACTCTGAAGGCCACAACGAGAGAGATACACAGCTATTTTCTCCAAGTAGTGCTCTCTGTAATTTTAAATAGATTTTTCCGTTGTTCATACATTTTATGTAAGTTTATTTTCAAAACGATTGTCAGAATATGGATGTATTATATAAAATCAAAGATTTAATGAACTTTTTTATCAGTGCTATTTCGTTTTTTCTAAATACCAGTTTATTAATATTACCTTCTATTTATATAAATAAATATCTCACCGTAAAGCCAAAGCCAGCTCGGTGTTTTCCATCAAACTAGAGTAAGCAACATCAAGTGGTGTAGATCCTCTAAGAGATGGTCTGGATAGAAGAATATTGGAGTTTTCTAGCAGGAAATCGAAATGATCAAACATAGCCTTTTGATTCTGACGACCAGTCCTACAGAAGTAGCAGAGGAAACGACAACACGCGACCACCATTTCATGAGAAGTATCCTGTAATTAAACAAATTTTACATTATTATGTGAATTTTCCTTTGTATATGTTCATTTATTTTTAAATAGTAAAATCAAATTCAAAATTCACTTTTCCACGCATCATTTTGAGTTGTTATACACATTTTCAGATCAATTTGATTTCACGTTTTCATCATTCAAAAGCCTACTACATCTTAATTTCTCTTTATTTTAAATATTTTAATACAAAAAAAAAATATGGTACAAATTCTTTTCAGACGAAAATAACTTTGTTTTATAAGATGATTTTTTTCGAGTTATCCAAACTTTCGAATGAGGGTTTTCGTTTTCATTATCACAGCCACAACATGTCTTAGATTTTTTGTTAATTGAAATTATGCCAAAATTTGAGTAAAACTCTCCTACAGCTTCTTTAATGAAATTTAGGTGTCACAAATCTTCTAATTCTTGTATTACGGAGAGGATGTCAATTAACAGAACTAGAATAATATTTTAGACAATCTGTTTTATTAAAGTAAAGCATTTCACCTTCTCTTTGTCTTCTGGGGAGGGCGTAGCGCCGGCGGGCGCGTCAGACTGCGCCTGCGCACGTCGACCGAGGGTATTCATCATCACAGCCATTACGTTCTCATGCACACGAAGAACTCTAGTGTAAAATATAACATAAATAATCTTTTAAATTATAGTTTATATATGTTAAAATTATATATTTTTTGGGTGAATGGTAAAGGAGTATGAAATAATTTTAAATAAAATAAATACTATTCTTGGATTTGTTTGTAATTTTTTGTGTATAAATTAATTGAAAATAATATATTTATATACCTTATTAGATCAGGATGTTGGAAGAACGTGTGATTGTTGACTAGTTTCCTGAAAGAAACGAAAAAAAATGTCAATATATTTATACGCTTCAAGATTCTTGTCTAGCTTTAAATAGTGTTTCCTAACTAACATTCACAGACTTATTCTTCGTCTGTGTCAAAGATAATATTAAACGATTTAATCGATACATAATGTTGTAATTTAAATAATATCGTATAAACATTTTGTCAAGCGCAAAAAAATTGCCTAAACTTAATCCAAAGAATGCCGGTAATTTAAATATTCCTATGATTGAAAGAAGAAAGATGTAAGTTTTTTTATATAAAATAGATCAGTTAACAAACAATAGTTCCCAAAGCATAATTTCATGTCCACTTACCATAGCCTTTTCCTCATAAGTTCCTCTTCCTCCTGGCTCATTTGTACCGGCAGCAAGGCTCTGATCTGACTTAATCCAACCCACATCTCAGCCACGTCTAATTTCGTCTTAGCATTGATGACGTACGTCTTCTCCAAGGCACGTATAAGCTCGCCTATTGCGTCGTATTGACGTACTAGAAGGCTGCGTTAAATAAAATTATGATTGTATAATTAATAATTTTGGAGCCATAGAAATAGGCCTAGCAAAAAAACTATTCAACCAAATTTTACAATTAAAATAGCTTATAAATGAATGACAACAGAATTTTATGGTTGTTCGTTGTAAATAGCAATAACAAAATAATTTGAAAATGACGCTATATTTGGAAATAAGGTAATATAAAGCAGTCGCATTATAAAATATCGATCAATTGTGTTGTAAAACAAAGAACGTATATATACAAACGAACGAAATGAGAGAACGAATTATATTAGACAATCACGTTGAGAATATTTTATGTATTTATGAAGATATCTTAGCTTTATACTTGTTTTTCGTACCTGAACATCTCTCTCACAAGTTTTGGTGTTTCTATCTGAGATTCTTCAGCCCAGTTGACTATCGTCTGTATCAACACCTTTCGGAACTTTTCTTCTGGTGATTTCTTCGGTGGTTCTTCTATCGCCTGTGACATTATTATACAAGTTTAATATTGGTGTTTGTTTAAATATAAAGTATGTTACATGAAAGGCCACATGTTCTATATAATTATATTAGAATACAAGGCAAATTATAATTAAAATATTCTATACAAATCTTGTATGTATAAAATTACTTACCTTTTGTTCGTCTTCCAATTCTTTTACAGTATTGATAATATTGTAGAGTTTCCCAAAGGCACCTGGTTTTGTTTGTGGTTCCGAAGCTTCCTACGTATTGAAACTTTCTAATTAAAACCGCATGCTAGTTTATGTTTCGTGGATTCTAATTGTGGATGTGTGTGACGTACTGTAGTGTAGGATAAACTAAAAAAACTCAACCTACACGCAAAGTGACTTGTTAAATCTAATCCTAAAAGCACCGCTTTTAGGTTTCAACTAAATCTAAGAGAAACTTTATAGCCCAAGATATTTAGAGTAAGGAAGAAACAGGTACACTAATTAAAATTTCAAGTATCACGTTTGTGTTTGTATAAATATCTATGTCAATAAAATCAACAAAATAGCATCTATATCCAATCTTACATGCGTTTTATTATTAACTTACATCACCGTCCGGTTCCTGCAAAGCGTTCAAAGATACGTGCGTCATCAGGCTTTCATGGAACTCATTCATACGAGTGATCAACTCTTCACCACAAGGACAATTCTCTGGGTCATCGTCTTCCATATGTTTGAAACCTAGTTAAAAAAGAGATTTTTAGTAGACGGAATGTAGATAACAATTTATATATATGTAAATATAACACATTTTGCTGACAATATCTCAAAAATTATACTTTTTGAAGTTGATCTACCGTCAGTTTCAGTATATACCTTAAAACTAAAATATATTTTATATAAATATAAAAACGTCTGTGGGCTGTTCTGACAACTGTTTGCACTGTAATGATATGCAATTTTCGTTAGATATAACTATTAATCATTAACATACTCAGTATAGCATTCATTTGTTCTCGTGGTGGACAACGGAATTCCCTGGTTTTCTTGGCAGCCACTGCGCTCGGAAGATCTGATTGTTTGATCTCAGTATAACGTCTGTAAAAGAAATAAATGGATTTATCAGAAAAATTATATCATTTTATATTTTTCATAAATATAAAATGATATAATAGTAGTAGTCGTAGTCATATATACTATAATTTTAATAGAGTACTATATGCTAAGCCATTTAGAGTGATTTAAATATTCAATAAAAATATATAATAAACTTGAAACAAGTATTTATTAAATGTATATTTTTTTCGTGAGACAAAAAAGCAGCATTTCGCAATTTTTGTTTATGCATAGGTCGCCAGACCTAGCTTTGAAATTTTATATAACCTGAAATACTCACAATTTTTATTTGAATGCTATCACGTTTTTCATTTATATTTTACTATGCTTTCCGAAAGGAACAAAAGTTTTTACATGAAAACTAATCAATACGTGAGATATCAAAGAATTTTTTCGTACCTCAATTGATCAGTCTGCAAATCACCCACGAAGTCATGAGCAAACGCAATAATGGATTCTACTCTGTGTCTTAGCTGGATGTCGTTTAAATGTTGCAATAAGTAACACATTTGTAGTTTAGCACCTTCTGCCATTTTCATATGAAGAAGTCCTTTTCTATGTTCATCTTTCCCTTCTAAAAGTAAAATTATGTCGTATTTTAAACTTATTTATATTTAAATCCTTGTACTGTGAGCTTCTTAAAATAATATCATTTTAAAATATCCGATATTACAAAGCATACGCCTCGATATAATATCAGATATCTTATGAATTGAACTTAATAATGTCGGTACTTAAAGTAAAATGAATTTCATGGCTTTGATAGCAAATAGCCTGTAATGACGGAGCCAGTAGAACCAATCTTAGTTTCTAAATAGTTTGGGAAACTAAGTATAAAAGAGTTATTATATTCAAACCTTTATCGAATGTGGGATCCCATGTTTCTGGATTGATCATGATGAGGAGTTTTTCAACGTCTTCATCTCTCATCATACCAACTAGTAGAAGTCTATCTACCAGTTTAATGAGGGGCCTATTAATAAATAGAAATATTAATCATATATCTATAGAATAGAAGTAAAAAAAAATTTAGTTTTAGTGATTTATGTGATGAAAGTTCTAGTGCAATATTATAATGTTATGTTCCAAAATTTCAAAGGATATAATTAATAAATGTATTAACTTATATTTTAGTATAATATTTTTTCAAATTGGAAGAACTGCACAACTTTGAATGAACTACGAAATTTGTATTATGGAATATACACAGCATGGAGAACTGCAGCATGATTTATCACTAAAATATGTAAAATTTCCTTCGAGCTGTTACATATATAAAATTTGAACTACTTTTTGATATTTCTGAAAAAGTATTGTTGGATGTGTGCCTAGTATAAATACTATGTCACACGAATTTATTATTTAATCCTGTAATACTATACTATACTCAATTAAACAGACTCTTGATATTATAGTCTTGTTATTTCACGCCTATTTATTAAGGTGCTATACCGTAAGCACAGCACTTCCCACTTTTATTTTTGGTATAGGGGCAATATACTAACAGAAATAGGTTTTCATTGCTTCCTCCTACTGGATCTCTGTTGTGAACCTGGTTTGTCTCAACTGCTTCAGCCAAGGCTGTCATAACAAACTCTCGAACAACTTCCAACGGGAACAACGGGGAGTATAAGTTACTGATGTCAGATATACTTTCACTGGAGACGAGAGAATCCATATTAATCTGGTTATCCTTAATAATATTATAAATATTAAAGTAGGTGTTGTTAGTTAGTTTTTTAACGTGATATCACATAATCGAACCTTAAATTTTTTTTGCAAGAATATGTGTTAGAAATTGTTGTAGAAAAATGTAAGGGGAAAACCATTTTAGAAAATGGTTAAGGGCATGTTTTTTAATATATAAACTCAGATTCTTCTTCGATTAGAAATAAAATGGAGACGTTTTTGGCTATAGAACGATTGTTACTTTTAAATTTTAATGCTAATCAAATAAGTAAAAAAATACCTATTTGATTAAAGATGTACAATAGCAAATAGTTATAGACCATAAAGTTTCATTGCTTTCGATTAATTCTATGTAAATTTATTAAAAGCTTCAAGAAAAATATAAAAATAATTGAATTAGAACTAGCTACGTACGCTATATCAGTCATTTGCATCATAGGTCTAACACTTTCAGTTTGTAGTGAACGAAGGCTGTGTTTCATTTCTGGTTCGTCATAAAGCGCTTTAAGTTCTGGCCCTAGAGGAATTACGAACTCATTCTTGCACGCTTCCCTGTAATAAATATAAGGTATTATAGTAATTATAAGTTTTTTGTATTAAATTTTTCATGCCTGTATTAAGTTATGTCAAAATTGATTATTTTCATTCTAAATTTGTTGGATATTTCAGAAATACTTACACTCATCTTGATATTAAGAATAAGAATGACATTTTTTCTATTCTTATTGATATAAAGTCAACTCATTTAATATAATAACTGTATTTTTTGCCACAAAAGTAATCAAGAGAATAAGAGATATTATTTTTTATAATAATATTAAAGCCTTACATGGTGGTTGCATGTGACTCCAAATGCAGAGCTATCAACAAGTCATAGAAGCCTTGACGTAATGGACCCGACATGTATTGTGATTGTATAGCATACAATAATTGCTTCTGATCCACATGTTGACATAGAGCATGGGCAGCTCTGTGTACATATTTTAAAATTTAAATTTTAAGGAAATAAAATAAATGACATATGTTAACACTCAGGAATTACATTAATATTCTTATTGAATTTAAACACATATGAATTTTTGTATATATCACAAAGTTGTATCTTAAAACTATTAAGGTAAGAAGCCAATATTTATCAAAAATATGCAGGTATTATTTTGACCATAACACCCTCATATACCTACTATACATATACCCTCATATATAATTAGACGTAAAATGACCAGTTGAAACATATGAAGTTCTAATAGTTTTATAGGTAAATAATTTATAGTATTATTAAATAATTATGATCAAACTAAATCCCTCATATAAAAAAGTCATTACAACTTGGTTTAGAATCGTAAAACTGTAGAATCGAATATATAATATAATACTTATTTAAATAGGAGTATTCTTTGCATTTTTGTGCTGTACGTAACACCTAATTAATTGTATCATTAATTTATTATTTATATAATTATTTATATTTATATAATTTAAATATTATATAATTTAAATAATTAAATTAACCTGCCAAGTTCAAATTTAGAAGTATTATAATTTTATATATTTTTAACCAAACACCTACGTATTTTCACAACTATACCATATTTTAAGTTGGGTGTATGGTAAAGTGAATTTCGGCCAGATGGACCGTTGACGTGAATAAGGTGACGGGTAGTGGCTGGATGTGGAAGGCAGAGGACTGGGTGTGGTGGCGAGTCTTGGGAATGGCAAATGTTTACCAGTGGATCATGCTGTTGATGAAGATGATTATGATCGATTTCAAAGTGCATCTAAACTTGGCATTAGATTGGATTTCACCCCTTTTTTAGGCAAACAATTAGCCGATTGGAACTTGGCCCCCTTTTTAACAGGCATGTTTCTGGTGAGATTTCAATACTTTTTTTCAAGAAATCGTACATACAATCGTACTATACAGCCGTACAATGCATAACTTACAGCATGAAACATACAGCTACCATCTGATGGCATAGAAATTACCCTATGTGGTATATCTCCGCCAACCACCAAAAGATGCACAATTTCCATCGTTGGTAAATGAATAGTAGAAAAGAAATAGAGTGAATTTGTGCTTTTAACACACACAATTAATTAATCAATAAGCAATATCAAAATTAATCCTTTAGCAAGTCAAATCAGTGATCCATTTAATCGTAATCGTAACCATATACAGGGTGACTGGTGAATTACTATCAATATTTAAGGAGCATACTCGGTACATGATTCTCATTCGAATTATGTAAAAAAAATAGGTACTTAATTTTTGACCAAATTTCCGTATAAATAAATAAAGTGTGTACACGTTCCAAGTGTTCCTAGTGTGGACGCGTGCGGCGGCGTGCTGATACAACAACACGCCGCCGCGCGCGTATGTGTGAGTGTGTAGTGTAGAGTAATCTGTAGGGTGTTCATACGATGCGTAATTAATTACACAACTTTTGGTTCACTTTACTTAGAAGTTTATTAATATTTATGTTATATTAATTTTTATTTTGTCATATATGATCGTCAAATATCACGTCCTCAAATATCGATAGTAATTCACCAGTCACCCTGTATAAGATATCAAGACATAAGTGTAGAAAGAAATAGAAAGAAATGACCATCGATTCCTTATAGACTTTCATTCATATATACTGCAGACAAAACAATATCGCGATTCAATTATACCGCTAGCGCTATCTATCGAAATAAATTTATAACAATAGAAACCTGATTTTTTTTAGGTAAGCAATATTTAATTAAGTTATACAATGTGCATTATGTATACATGACAATATTTTATATCCCTTATATATATATCAGTTCTTAAGAAGCGCCCCACACTTTTTTGCACAATAATATTAATTTAAAAATAAATTAACAAACAATAAATGGTATTTTTGTGAAAACAAGCGTGATGAGCTTCATATATCACTTCTTGAGAAGCGCCCCACGCTTTTTTTTTCAATAATACCATTTATTGTTAATTTTAAACAATTTAAATTAAATTGATTTCCAAGGTTATAAAGGTTAAATTAGTTTCCACGCGGTTTCTTTCATCATTGGAGCGTGTTTTTTAGTTTTTTTTAAACTATATTTATTTTTTATTTTTTAGTTTCATTTATCACCGATTGATAGATGTACTCATATAATTAATTATTAATATTTCATTATTATGTATTTTATTGTGCTGAGCTGAGCGCCTATATAAAGGTTTTGATTACCTGTCAGTGAGTCAGTGCCAAAATTAGCTATTTTCACAGGGTCATATTTCAGGATCTACTGAAGCTTTATCTATGAAATTTGGCATACTGCTTTAGGACTAGTATATGATTACGTAGGTACAATTTTATCTCTGTACTTGCAATAGACATTGAGCTACAGGGGGTCAAAAGTGGGTCGAATTTATTAAAAATTCGATATTTAGAATTGAGGCAACTCACGCTTGACCGATTTCTTAAATTTCTTAATTTTTTCTTAATCTACATATAACACACAACCTGTGTACCAAATTTCATAATGCTAAAACAATGGGAAGTGGCCTAGAGGTTTTGATTACCTGTCAGTGAGTCAGTGCCAAAATTAGCTATTTTCACAGGGTCATATTTCAGGATCTACTGAAGCTTTATCTATGAAATTTGGCATACTGCTTTAGTACTAGTATATGATTACGTAGGTAAAATTTTATCTCTGTACTTGCAATAGGCACTGAGCTACATGGGGGTCAAAAGTGGGTCGAAACGGTTCGTGTAAATATAGTGCACGGCATGCGCCGGCCTGTGGAACTTGGCCGGCGCACTACCGTGCGCTTAGATATGACTCTTGGTGTTTATAATAAAACCTTAGTTATAATTATAATTCATAATTTCATAAGACTTACCTGTAATTGCTTTGGTAACATAAAGCAGCGTATAGAGTGAGAGTGTGTGAATGGAAACTTAATAGTTTGTCCATTTCTATCAACTCTAGAATATCGATGCAACGATCTTCCTCTGCAAGTAGAAAACAAATTATTAGATTGCGTTGGAAGATTATTATAAGAAAACTAATATATGGGAAAAGTAAACTTGTCACGATGTTCATAGCATTAAGATTCTTACTAGGTACACTATGTATCTTTTGTTTCCACAATATTTTTATAACTTGTTATAAAAGAAGGTAAGTAAATACTTGACGTTTGGTTGTTTTCGTAACTGTTTAATAATTTGTATACTCCTTCTAATCAATTAAGAGGTTCTTCGTGTAACATTAGATAGGGTTTGACTTTGAAACCACCAATTCAGGCATAGTGGGTGAATTATTTACAAACCGGGTATATGCAAGGCCAGCATTGACACCGCATCTTCACAGAGCATAGACCAACCACGGATGTCTGACAACTTTAACGCGTGTACTTGAAGAAATTGATTTGGTACCTAAAACATAAGATAGTAATAAAGTTACCTACCATTTTTGTTACGTACGTAGCAAATAATGAGCAAAAAATATAACAGAATTCAAAAATATGTCTTATAAAAACAATATAGTATATAATTTGCTTTATTGATATGTTATAAATTAAATATTTGAATAAAATACTTACTCTAGCCCACTGGTGTGGTTTTAAACATTGAACTTTAAGTCTTGGGGGGAACTGTGGGTTCACATGTTTGTCGCTTGTTGGAAGAACAGCAGCACTGAGTGGAAGACTTGTTGATGATCTGCCGAGCTCGATTTGAAGAATCTCTTTCGATGTCGCTTCAACGAAGATGGCTGGGAAGAGTTTTGTCTCAGTTTCCATCTGAAAAAGTGTGTTTTGTTCATATATATTATAAAGTTACATAATTTACATCGTTATCAATTTACACATATCTGAGAGCTTATATTGTTATTGCTATATTTAGCATATATGTAAGTCAAAACTGATTCCCAAAACGGGCAAGAATCAAGGTATGCGTTCTAGTTCTGAAAACGCTTTAGAAACTGTCTTTTAATACTGAATTGGTTGGCATTCTCACTTAAAGAGTAAATTAAATTCGGTCCAAATTACACTTCGAAAAATATATTTAAAATAAATCACCTTGAACTTAATGCTAGTATCCTTTCCCTCACAAGTAAATGAAACAGTGCCTGTAGAAGTATCCACGGAACATCCGATAAACATGCCTTGAGACGCTCCCTTAGCAGTAGCCTCTGCCATAACTTCATTGTATAATTCATCAGCGCGCACCATGTAGCAAGACTGACGATTTACACTAGAGACGTTAAATTAAAATTATTAATTTATTAATTCTCTCACAGTAGTTAATATTTGTATTATAATTGTTAGGTTTCTGACTACAAAAATATAAATAATGCTTTTCTAGATCGTGATGTGAATGAAAGCAATTGAGGAAAGAAATGGAAACAAACACAAGACCTATTTTTGAGGGTTAAAGTGGGCTCATTATTATGATTTCTAATTCAAACATAGAATGCTATCGTAATTGTCAAACAATTTATCTATTAAGTGGACTAACCTTTCAATAACTCTATCGTAATCATCAGTGATGATGACCGATGATTTAGTGACCTTGTTCTGATTGAAGTCCTTTGAGTGTAGGTGGTATTGAGTTGTCACCCAGCCTATATACACGTGTGTGGGATCTTGACCAGGGAAGATTCTGACAATAATAGAGACTTGTTCATTTTAGCACTTAATTATATACAGTACAACTTAAATATTTAAAATTTACTAGTAGGCAATTCAGTTTAGAATTTTTATATTTATATTTATAATTATATTTAATTTTTATATTTATATTTATATTTATATTTATATTTAATTTTTATATTTATTATTTCAAACATGTCTATATTAAATTATTTATTTATTACAATTATGTTGGTATTTTTACATTTATATCTAAGTTTTCAGTGTCTCATAAACCAGTATTGGTTTTTCTGTACACTGGAATTCATCGTCGTTAACACACAATTACATTGACATCTCAATACATTTATATTTTGTACTTAGTGTATTAAACAATAAACAAAAAAGACATCAAACTTATAATATAATGATACAGGTATGACAAAATAGAGTAATAAAATTAACTAAATATATAAAAACAATATAAAGTGCATAATCTAACAAATAAGTAACATATACAAGGTAAATGTAACCTTATTATTATTTTTATTAAATACATCGATGATAAGACTGTACGAAGAAAATAAAACCTCTATCATCACAATACCTGACTCCATAGAAGTATTCATTGATAAGTTTTAAGCAATCAGCATCAAAGATCTCATTTCCAACGGTCTCTGTAGCAGCCGCACTAAGTGTTGCTGACGTCATTTGCTTACGCTCCTGTGGCGGTGTCGATACGGCTAAATTTGTCTGGAAAAAATAATTAAGTTATGTAATATAATATGTTAAAGAAATGTGAAAAAGTGAAGAAGGAAGGAGAAGATTATATTTATTTATTATTTTATTGTTAAATATTTTTTCCACCTATTAAAGAAAACAACGAAAAAATTATTCTATTTAGTTAACATTTGTTAAAATTCCTATTGATTATGTTGACAGATATTTTTAAACGGTTAGAGTTTTTCAGAATAATAATTAATAGATAGATCTTTTGTTAATAGTTTTTCTTAAGTAAAAGCAGATTAATAAAAAATAATAAGTGTAACATTTATTGACAATAAATTATAAAAGAAAGAACACTCAATACACTTCTTTGTAGACTTACGTTCAAGCCAGTTTGGCTTCCATAAATGTTTGGTCGACTAGGCCTACCCTGAGTGTATCTTTGATTTGCCTTAGGAGAAAATAAAACATCAACAAAATATAGGTTAAAATAGGATAGTAAAACATGGGTAAAACTACAATGTAGGGAAAAAAAGTGAAATCTAATGTTTACTATTAATAGGATCAAAACAATAAAACCATTAATCAGATGTATTTATAGGGGGGTTTTGGAGTCAGAATAAAACGGGGCTTTATGATATAGCTCTTGATTAAAATTAGAAATGTTATAAATTACTTGGGAAATGCGTATTTGTGGATTTGGCCGTCTCATTCCTCCTCTATCTGGTGAGACTTCTGTGTCACTAAATGGATCAGGAGTCTTGGATTTGCCAGATTTCCCCCGTTCCCCGCTCTCACCACGTTTGCTGCGGAAGAATCTGAAAGGCAGAGTTTTTTGATTCTTAAAACTGTATAACAAAAAGAATAAGTTGAAGATAATTAAACGTATTTTTCTAAAAGTTCAAAACATTTTCGAAAATGTCAATTCAATATCCATTAGAAATACATTATTTAGTTTCAAAATATATCTTACTTGAAAGGAGATCTGCCTCTTTTATCTGCTTTTTTGTCTTCTGGCAAATTCTGGGCACTGAGTTCGTACTTGGCCATTTCTGCTTCACTCGTGGATCTATGCATTCCATTCACCGTTCCTGTCATTATAAAATTAAACTTATTTATATATTTATAAATTTCATATTTTGGTTAACTTGACTTTGATAGACTGATATCGTCTACTGTTACTGTTACCCAACTGTTGAGTTTTAAATCCAGTTGTTAATGTCAAGTGTGTAAAATAAGCATAATGAATTTTGATACTATTTATCAAGACTTCTGACTTGTTTTTTAATGTTATAAAAAAATAAGTCAGTAAAAGAATAAGCAATGATAAAAGTCCGAAAATGAAGTAACAGCTTAAGAAAATGAAACTATTAGATTATTCTTGTCTGTGAGATATATTTTTTTTCATATATCAATTAACTATATGTAAGAGAACAGATTAGTATAGGATGTGAGAAATAATGGTAGCCATTATGAGAAGAAAAAGGAAACGAGATTTTAGGACACAAGTGAGTTAGAAAGGTTTCACAAAGTTAGCAAAATATAATTTTGAACCTGGTTGCAAATTGTAATTCTGTACATTAGCTCCCCGAGGTATGGAACCCTTTCTGGGTGGTCTCGGAGGTTGTCGTTTTACTTTCGAAGAAGATGGCATTTCTTCTTGGTTTTCATCATAATGCAGACCTTGAATAAACAGGGCAACACAACGTGCAAGGACATATGTATATGTAGAAGGCATATACAAGAATTTTAAGTTAAGTTACTACGTCATACTTTCATTCATTAGTCAATGGGATCCAAAGTAAAGATTCTTTCAATATAAATTACTGAAACATCAGGGTATTGGTTTACACTATTTACAATGCGGCCCATGTTCACCGGTAAAGTTATTGAAATATAAAAATTAAACTCTTAATTGAGAGTAATTTTTCCTGTTTATTTCGGCTCAAAAAATAAATGTTGGCCATAATTTTACTACTTTCTAGATCCCTTGATCGCAATTTAGGATAGAGCTAGAACTTTTTTTATTATGAGATCTAAGACTTTAGCGAGTATTAATTTCAATGAAACTAATACTTTTGGGATTATACGACACATATTTTATTATTTGAATAACTACATACTCCTGACGCTAATGATCACGTCTCGTTTCGTCTGCTCATGATCACGAGAAGAAAAATTGTGTGTATTAAAATAGCTCAATACATATTAGAACACTTTACGAAAATAAATATAAAAATAAGAGACTCTGAAACTTAGTAATCTTTGGCCTATGATTAAATTAACGAATTAATAGTTAAAAAAATCCGTAATGAACAGGAAATACAAAGTTTCATTTTCATAATATATACTGCCCTTTATAATCGGTGAAATTGAGTCTTAAAACATTTTATATTATCTTATTTATATTTTTATACATCTTTATATTGTATATACCTCTGATATCATTCATAGTGAAACCGCTTCTCATAATTTGGTCGATATGAGCAGGCATTTGCGCCTCTGTAGCCTCTTTCATAAGAATCTGTTGCCTTTCTTTTATTTCCACCCAACGACGCGCTTTCTCAGATTCACTGGAAGAAAAGAAGTTTAATTTATTTCTAATCGTGAAGAAATCTCATTTAAAATCACTAAAACGTTTGTTTGAAATAATTTTATTTTTATTGGTATCGATATCGGAACAGTATGTTTGTAAAACAAAGCGACTTTCGTCAGTTACATAAATAGGATTATGTTCAATTTTGTGTTTGGCATCCATAAAATTAGATAATTTCTGTTGACGTTAATTTTTTTACGTAGCAAATTATTTCTATATATAATCTTTTTTACTATGGATACGTCTATATGATGCATGAATAAGGATTAAAAAAATATGAAAGTATGAAAAAATATCATAATCAAAAAATACTTACTCAATAAATTCAGACAAACAAATAACTGGTAGAGAGAGCCTTAGGAACTCCCAGTTAGCCTTTTCCATCGTCTCAAATGTGTTGTGGGATATTTTAAGACAAGGCGGTGTATCTGAAAATGGATACAAGGCATAACATTATTGTCAGTTCATAATAAAGATATATTTCAGTAAAGAGCTAAAGAATGTGCACTTAGCAATAAAACTGAAAATTTAAATTACTATAATTCAACTAATATATGCATAACTATATATAATATTAAAATAAAAGATTTTTTATATATGATATTTGTAATTTAAGATGCAATTATGAATTATTTCTTTTAGTTCATAGTTCGCTTAGAGCGTATGCAATAATTATACACTTAAATAATACGACTTCATCCTCTATCATACTTCTTACTAAATTAGCGGAAGATGTTAAATAATTTTATGTTCATATAGACAATATAGGGATAAATACATATTAAGCTATAATAAAAATAGTAGTATGTATTGGTTATAATTCATTAATTTCAAGGCTGAATTAATAAATTCTGTTCCAATATTTACCAGAGCCAGCAGGTATTCTTGTTACATCTATTCTAGTGTCGGCCATTTCATCCGTATTTTCAAATATCGGCTGATCCTTTGTGTACCAATGAGTGACGTCACGTTTCATATTCCTATGTGAAGAAATATATGTATAATATTACGTCATAATACAAGATATTATCTTAAATTACTTTTATTTAAATAATATGAAACTTCACATATTTTTAAACAAATACAAACAAATATAAATTATATTTAAAAAGATAAGATGTGATTCAAATTCTTGCTTTTACAATAATTAAGGGAAATACGGACTAAATAATAGGTTTGAGTAAAATAGCATTGTAATTTTAAATGAAAATTGGTGGGTTTTAGTGAAGTCTCCGCCATATTTATAAGTATGTAGATACGTGTAGATCTGTTAAGGTAGACATATTTACAATCTTTCGGGATATTCAGCTTTCTTTTCTCAATTACAGTGGAGTAATAAATTTAATCATGCAGTAGGGGTAATTCAGTAGACACAAAAATTATGTGAAACCTGATCCAAATGCGTGTTCGTAGTGATCACTAATATATCCATGTATTTGGCTAATTACAAAAGATCAATTTACTTGAGGTCAAGGACCAAAACAATAGCTTAAAAGAAACATTTTTAATCTATTTAAGAAAAATACTTCTACTTCCAAGAACATTTTACAAATGATTGATTACAAATGATAACAAAACACAATCTCATTTGATTCGTAATTACTTCTACTTAAGTGAGATAAACTAAGAGTAGAAACTTAATAAAATAATGTAAAAAACCGTAAAATAAAGTCGGTTATTTTATTTTAATTAATTAATTATTAGTATACTTACACACAGAATGGTTCGTAACCTTCTTGAAGACCGCAAGTGGTAAAATATTTCAAAGAATTCACATCTTGACCGTATGAAAGCCTGTGAACATACAATTTTATGTAATATCCTTTTTCCTTTGGATACGTTTCAGGCAAAAGGAATATTTGTAATTTAATATTTTTTTTGCTAATTAATCCCAGAAATCAACTTAAAAATTGGGATTTGGTTTCACAAGAGCGAGAACCCATTTCTATTTAGTCTATAGCAAGTCAAAATATTGAATTAGTAAATTTTTTTCTTACCTAGCTTTTTGTCCTACTCCCAATGTACAAGCTGGCACGAAATTGTCGCCTTGTACATCAGCGAATGTAGTTTCTCCCCCCAAAGCATCCATTAATAACTCCCCGTTGAGAGAAAAACCTATTTAACAAAGTAAAAGTTTTATTTTCATGCTCTGACTGAACACTCACTCAAACAAAAAAAAACTAACAGTTACTTTCGATAAGTATCTTTTTCAAACAATTTATCTAAATATTATTATGATATGATTGTCACTATATTAATTTAATATAAAATCTACATTTTGATACTGCGTTTAAAAATCTCCTAAATTAATTTTAATGTTAATTACAATAAATTGAAACGAAAATTACAAGCTTGTTAGTCAGTACAAAAGCTTTGTTACAATATTACCAAGAACAATACAATAAAATTATGTCACAATGTGGTAGTTAATATATGTAACTGTAGTAGTAAAAATAGAATGCTAACTTCATCGATTTAAATAAGAGTTCTTAAATGAATACTGAATAATCGATGAGTCATCATTCTATTAAAAATATTTAATACAGTAGTTATTAATTAAGAATCGCAAGCAAAATGCTTCTGTTCTGGATGGCATTTTCAGTGTAGGTATAAAAGTCAAACGTGTTTGTTGAAGTGTACATAATGCTTATTCATTCGTAAGTATAACTGTGACTGACCTAAACAGCAAATCAAACTTTCGGTGCATTGAAATAATATCAAATTTTTAATGATTTCTTACGATTTCATGCGTCTTTGGCTAAACAAACGATTTATTCATAACAAAAAAACTAAAAATAGGTATCGATCCCATTTCCATAAAAAAGCGAAGCGAATGCTATGATTATTTCAGAAGCTGACGTATTTTCGGCGATCGAGAAGCTATGAAAATTTTAAGCCTTGCGTGAATACAGTGGCCAGAACATCTTTGCTTCGAAATACATCTAAGACTAAAGTAAAACAACAAAAAAATTATAGAAAAGTACTAATAAAACAAACTAAATTTGAATAAAAGTAAGAAGTTTCACTATTAAAAATGTTTCAGCCACATATCTATCAAGCAAGCTAAGTGTATCATTACTTATCGTTTTGTCTATCAGATCAAGGAATACTCCTACAACGTCACCGACCGCCCATTGCTTGCCAAATGACTCAGTGCTACCAGAGTATACTTTTTCCTCCTTAAAACAATTAATTATTTTGTTTGAACTCGTTAAATTTTGAAAAAAATCATCCTTTTAATTTGTTTTTTTGCCTTAACTTCAATTGTTCCATGCCTTATTTATAAATAATGTTTTTGCAAATTAAAATTTACTTTCGTTTATATAAAACAACGCTTTAACCTAACGTACGTAAGTACAATTTTTGTTTAAAGTTTGTTATAGTGGGATACATTAGATTTAATTACAAAAAAAAACAATATTTGTTTTGCTTGTCTGATAAATGCTTAGTAATCCTCTAGCGAAATAAAGTTCTTCCTATACAAATATACTCATAAATAAGGATCTATTTTCATTAGCTTTAGATAAGTAAACATGTTATAAGAATTTTTGTGAATGATTATAATCAAGTTAGTTTACAAGAAACGGAAATAAATAATTAGGCAACACATAATACTATGGTAATATACAACAGTTAAAACAAACAATTTAATTAAAGGTACTTTAAAAGTAATCCTAACATTGATCAGACAAGTCAACTCACTAATTGTCTGATCAGTAACGTCTAGGAAGCAAGCGACTATGTCCCCAACTTTCAACTGTTGACCGAAAGTATCGCTCGCACCGCCGTGCCACTTCAAACACTGAATGGGAATTAAATTTAACCAAATAGTCGTTTTAACTTACATTTTAACTGATAGATAACTTCTTTAATAAACCTATTATATTTTAAAATATAATTCCTGCAAAGAATTCGATGACTGACACTGTGATAAATATAATTCTGTAATATCATTATATAATCCAATAGTAAACAAACTAAATAACCTAGATCAATATTATTAAATGTATATTTTGATTTAACTAATCCAAACAATAATGATTCTGATCTTAAATTAGGACGTATTAAAATATAAATCTTACATTATAGCCATCAAAGGCCCACGAATTATCGTCTTGTCCCAACATCATTCCGGGCGCCATATCAGCATGAGCCCAGCCAACCTGTAATATAATGAATTTATAAACTTTTTTGCTTTAAACGTATATATTTATAACTTTTTAATGGTTCAAAAGATACTGGTTTTTGGTATAACAATTATTATCAACAACTTCAATCAAACAATTGTATTATGTAAAGATTAATAATGTACTTACTCGCATGGGTCCAGCAGTGAGTATTTCGAATTCAAAATACCATTTCCCAGAACTGACAGCATAGTTTTTTTCAGCTCTATAAGTTCTGAAGTCAACTTGCTTCTGTTTAGACGCTTCAGCCAAAAGTGCTGAAAGAACATTTAAAAAATACTCAGATCAAAGTAAATTAAAATTTTAGTGAAGAAAAGGCCAATGTCCATTTTTGGACTAGCGTGAACAAGTTGCTATCAAAAAAACAAGTTTATGAAAAAAATAATATTTTTTTTAGCTAGCCATTCTATTGTTATTTGAGTGTACATTTGTATTTTATTGAAAAAATATTTTTAAAGTACCTTCATTGATTTGCTTTATTGATCAACGTTTTGTGTTACCAGCAAGATCAATTAACGATTGCGTCAAATCAAATCATCTCGCAGTACTTAATACAATTATAAGTATTTAATACAAAAACAAATTAATAATATTTGTTTTTAATTAGTTTCGTCATTTAAAACGTTTTATAAACTGAAATATGAAGAATGTTAAACGTAATCATATCTGTTTTCGATCGATTTTTAAATGATTTTTTTCTATTGCAACACTAATAAAACAAAAAAGTACAAATTGACATTCATATGTCACAGACTGATTGTTTACATTCGCTTTGTTTACTTACATTGAGAGTGTTGATTTATTGTTGATTTTCTCTCAAAGATTGTTTATTCATTATGGACTCCGACCTATCTTTTTCCAATGACCCCTGCACATCTACGGACCCCGAATTTCGCTCAAACGATGACCCTGGCTTTTGTATTATGGACTCCGATCAAGGCATAAACGATGACCAACCCTCACGTAATATGGACCCCGAAACTAGCTCCATCGCTAACCACGGCTTTAATATGGATATTGAACAAAACCAAAGCGTGTCTCATGATAGTCTGCACACAGAAGAAGTGACTTCCTAGCAATCCGTATCTCTGAGATGCTTAAACTGTGGAACTGATTTGATAGAGCGAAGGCGACGTAGTCTAGATATTAATCAGGTTCAGTCTATTATAAGACAGTGGATAGCTCCTCGACGAGTAAGTGTCAATTCAATTAATTATTTTAATTACTCGTTTTTTAATAGATGTGTATTGTATATGCTATTCCCATAATGCAAAATGAGGTTTTATTGTTTTAAATAATTATAATCCTTATATACTGTTGTATTATAATAAATGAGAAGATGTTTACTCCTAACACATTAGCTAACTTTGTTATAGAAAATAATTTAAATAGAAGGCGGGCAGATTTTCATCCTATAAATGTAAACATGGACAGTTTCATATTTCCAAGAATAGAATATAATGATCTTATATTAATTGCATGTGGAACATACCAACTAAAACAAGGTTGTTCGTATTATGGGGAGCACATAAGAGGCGATGGTTCCTATTCTATAGAAATATGTAGAAATATAGCTAGCGACCTATTGGTTGACTACCCGTTTCCTTTGGCCAACTGCAGATTATTGCATGGAAAAATACAAAGCAGGCATGTAAGTCGAAAAATATATTTTATATAGGGTGACTGGTGAATTACTGTCGATACTTGAGGACGTGATATTTGACGATCATATATGACAAAATAAAAATTAATATAACATAAATATTAATAAACTTCTAAGTAAAGTTAACCAAAAGTTATGTAATTAATTACGCATCGTGTGAACACCCTACAGATTAGGTATACACACAGACACACACATACGCGTGCGGCGGCGTGGTGTTGTATCAGCACGCCGCCGCACGCGTCCACACTTGGAACACTTGGAACGTGTCCACACTTTATTTATTTATACGGAAATTTGGTCAAAAATTAAGTACCTATTTTTTTTACATAATTCGAATGAGAATCATGTACCGAGTATTCTCCTTAAATATTGATAGTAATTCACCAGTCACCCTGTATATATATTATATGAAAATAATCACAATGGTAAAGAAGCTATAAAAGAATATTATTGTAATTGCATGGTTGGCCGAAGGACAGTGGGTTGTTGCTCTCATATAATGACTATTTTGGTTCTCATATAATGGTTTTTAAGTTGGGCAAGGTATCAGGAACAAATTTCAACACTTGTCCAATTTCTTGAACACACATTAATAACATATGATGTCTCAGAATAAAAATAAATCATAAAAAAATTTGTTTTATTTCTCTTTAACCTGTTTTTCCTCTCCTGACAAAAATCTCTTTAAACATTTTGATACAAAATTAGGTTCATATTCTGATTATTACTAGTTAGTGCTTTTAAACTAATTACAAAAAATATGATAAAATGTCTGTTCACGTCAGGCCAAAATCCCCATACTAAGTGGACAATCTCCTTTAAAGTAACACATATTTAGAATAACTCACACCAAACTATCGAATATTAACGAGTATTCAAACAATAAAAACTAATTGCAATTTGCAACCAAAATTTCTAATGGTAGAATAATTGGCCCAAAAATAGCTTTACCAAAAATGTATGCAATTTTTTCTGTATAGCATATCAGCTAGTGGAAATACCTCATATAAATATACTATACAAATATAAATATACTATACAATGTATATACTATTGTGAACAATAATTCTGTTTGTAAAATAACCATGTAATTTTTTAGTGCAATAAAAAGTATATACTATACCTTCGTGCTGTTCCCCAGTGGGAGGATCCAGATTGTATCCATATACTAGTAAGGTTCGTACGGTCTCTGAGGCTGTGTCACGATTCGCCTTCTTGATTGCGTCATCTACTTTCGGGTATGGGACCAAGTGGGGGGATCTATGCATCTCCGTATCCTTAGAAAAGTTGATATAAAAATTAATGTACTACAAATGAAACAAACACTAAAAACATTGACTTTTTGTATATATGTATAGCAAAAGTGGCAAACGAGCAGACGGCCTACTTGATGGGAGAGTATTCACCATCACTCATGGACATTTGCAACATGAGGGATGTTGCAGATGCTTTACCGACCTTGATTGTGGAAAAGGGGAAGGGCAACAGACTTTCCAGCTCATCGAAAGTAACCCTGCCATTAAAGGGTATTTCACGCCGATCTTCTATGAGAGGGTGGTACTTCCCCAGTCGAGCTAGCCCATGTGAATTATTTTAATGCTGAGTAGCTCCAACGTACGTAGTTAATAGTATAGTTATATGACCCAATAGACATGGAAATGCAAAGCAAATGTAAAACCAATAGTAATATTCTTTATTTACCAGTGTAATGATAAAATTGTAATAAATAACTGTACTTATTACCTCATTTTAATTAACTTTACCAACCTCGTTAAGTCCGTATGTCCATCCTTGCTGAATTCTTTCTCTGGCCCACAGGTTGTGAGTGTTCTCAGCAAGCTGGTCTACCAGTTCATCCATTTTTGGGGTGAGAGTGACAGCACTCAGGTCAAGTGGAGCTGGTTTGTAGCCATTGGACTAGAGCAAGAATTATTATATGTTATTAATAAAAATGTACATAATACGATCTATATTAGGTATTTAAATCAAACTTACTTGCATAAACGGATCGTTTGGTAAACGGACGTTACGTATTCTAGCCGGTGGTTTATCAAGACTTATGTAGTAACCCAAAGCGAGAATCGTTCTGAAATATAGACATACATATATTTTGTAATAATACTCTTAACAAACAAAAGAAATAACATATCTAAATAATACCAGTTAATCGATATAAAATTTCTGCTACGAATATAATATCTTATATCTACATAGGCTGTATGGTATATGAGTGCAGTAAACTATATCTATAATTATTTAAAGTGTATACTTACTTAAGTGTTTGTACAGCTAGTTGTATGTCATAACGTTTCTCAGCTGGTGGCAGTCTCTCGAATGGCACCAGGCATGGATGTACGCGACGTGAATCATCACGTGATTCCCCGTAACACCAACCAGCCTCAATCTAACAATACAACGTAAAGCATTAAGAATTATTATTATTTCATTTAAAATCAAAAGTTTTATATACAGTATAAATAAACATTTCTAAGTGCCTGATAGTATAAACTTAATGTCAAAAGTATAATTAATGTTTTTTATATAGTCATAACCTTCTAGAATAATATTTTATTATTGTATATAATATATACAGAAAACAATTCTAAATGCTTTTTATAATACCTTATTCATCGCCCACATCTCATGAATATTTTCAGCAAGTTTGTCTCTGATTTGTTCAATGTATGTAGGGAGAGTGATCTGCAAAATTAGTAAGAAAAATATAAATTTTTATTACAAATTTTTAAATTCATAGGAATAGATATGGAATTTTAAAGTTTACTTACAGATAAAGTGTCAACAGGGGTTGGTACAAAGGCTGTATCATCTTGAACGAGTGGAGGACCGGCGAGTGCTCTTTTGGCCAAATTGCCGAAATAAAAGCAAGGTTCAAGATTCAATATCTGCTGAGGTAAAAGCGACTCTACTAATGGAGAATAACCTTCTGGTGCGGCATAACGAAGACGACCGTGTTCTCCACCAAGAAGAAAACGACAACTGTAGAAAATAAAGGAAATTGCCAATTAAAAATCACATAGATAACCAAATTTACTATACATATAGTAATTCCTTATAAATCATTCAATTTTCTTATAGGAAAACATGTCATGAATGCATATAGAAATATTTTTTTGTAATATATAAAGTTATTTAAAATTGGCGTCCTCTTAAAAAGCAATCCAAGAAATTTGACCCATACCTTTGTATGTAATAAATAAATAAATAAATAAATAAATAAATAAATAAATAAATAAATAAATAATACTTCTTTAGGTATTTTTACCATTATGGCTCCAAGTTGACTTTTTTATTATTGTACTCATATAATTGTTCTATCATGCGCTAGTATTAGTATCACATACCTCAATTTACTAGAACAGCTGATAACAGGGAAGAACATGCCCTCCAAATTGAAGTTGGTGAAGGATCCAGTAACTCTCACACCATTGAACATGAAGTTGATTAATGGAATAGTCAGATCCAAGGCACAACCGATGACGTCACCTTAAAAATAAATTAGTGTTAAAATTATTATAATTTTTCCCCTTTCATCTATTTTACATGTTGGGATTAGTTTTATTATAGTTGGCTAACTTCTTCTTACTATTTTAATGTTTTTTAATTATTGTCTTCTTACTTTAACGTATATTTTTTATTCCTTTAGAAAAGTATTGGAAATAAATTAAGAATTACCTTTATATAATTTAATAAAAATATGTAAATATGTAATTAAATTGCATTTACAGTGTATATTTACAAATATATTTTTTTAAATCTTAAATCAGTTTAGAGATAACTATCTAAGTTACCAAGTAACCAGTTCAACTTACCTTTCCTTATGAAGGGTTCTTCACTGTGGGTTCTATTGACTGGGGTCTTTCGTCCCCCAGACCACAAGAAGGCGCCATCAAATCCAAAGGAGTAGAGATCGTCTCCTACTCCGTTCCCTCCCCATCTCTCACCACCACCAGGGTAAGGGACATAGCTGAACAAATCGAGTATTGCATGAGTAACTAATACAATTTGTATATTCTGATGAGTCAATATTAATATTAAATAGCATGAATATATAAAAATTACACGCAGGAATAATATAAACACAAAAAGTATGAGAAAAATATTCAGTGAAAACAAACACTTAATATATGATAGTTTCGAAATTTCTAATTTTCAGGACACTAAGTAAAACTTTAAGATTCAAGATAAACGTGTATTAAAACTACCGTGATTCTATCAAGACGATAGAATCACAATACTCAAATTAGTTTATTATTTTTAAACCACATACTCCCCACTTATCGGTTACTTTGCAGCAACCGTGATCAAGAGCAGACGAGATAATACCAAAATATTAGTTTTATGTAATAAATACTAGCGAAAGTCTTAAATCCCATACCCAGAAGTGTTCGCCCAACCGATACGTAAATGTGGCATCATATGGGTCGTCTTCTCAATGTGGTCCATCGTCACTTCGAAATACCACTTCTGATAAACGGCGGAACCTTCAACACGACCCACGAAAATGTTTGGACGAACGCTAGAACATAATTTCAGATTATCAGTTGGCAAGGTTGTCTTGTGTAAAAAACTAACCATTGCAATTTAAATAGGATAAATAATAATTGCGAGCAGTCAGTTCAAAGTCTTTTTTCTAATTTAGCCATCGTGCTTGTGTATAATTGGGGGAAATTAATATTTTATACGCATAACCTGCAATTTTTGGGACAAAAGTTTCATCGCTAAATTTTAATTTTTAATTTTCGAAACCGTATTATACATATTTAACACTACATATTTAAAATGTTACATATTTTAATATTTTGCTTCTTTTCTAATAATTTAATGTTTAGTATGATTAACGAAAATAATTGAGATAAAATTAATATCCAATTAAATACCTCGACACGTGATCAACCAGTTGAGTTTGTAAAAGCAGATTTTTCCCTGGTAGTAAGTAGTCACAGATGTTGTTCTGAGATGATCTTACAGCGACACCATTACCAACACACAGTGAACACAACACGTCTAATACTTTGGGATCTCTGCCGTGCTTCTCAAGAAGAGATATTATAACTTTTATATGTTCATCCTGAAAGAAAAATATAGATATATATTTTTATTCATAATTTTATGGTACATGATATTAGTTTTAAACCCAGACACGAAAAAAGTATCGTAATTCTTCTATTATGATTGCATTTTCCATTCATGTTACATCAGTAATTTCGATATTTTAAGTGTACGTAAGCATTAATGTAAAATATCTAGGCTTTGCAGAGTTATCTTTAATTTTATAATATGTTTGTCAAGTTGTCGTTACAAATATAGATGTATTTGTATATTTTCAAAAGATTTTTTCCCATTTGTTATTAAGCACCTCATAACTTAATGTTATTTTTTTAAAGTACTGGAATACTTAACTACATGCATTGGAATGGATTTCAAGTAAATAAATTATTTTTTAAGCAAATGGCTAACAGACATACATTTATTTCTCTATATTGAAAACCATAACTATATTAATGATTCTTATGATAACGTAACATTCACAAGTTATCAATTGTTATCATTTAACCTTTACTGAGATGTATATATATTACTGTAAGTATAACCAATATACAATCCACTGCTTACTCTCATCATATTCAATGCCTCTGGTGAGTCTATTAGCACGCAATGTAATACATCCAACATTCCAGTTCCTTCACCTGAAGCCTGGGACCCAAGACGTGAGAAAAGCCAATTGAGACGGTTCGAGTTAGCAAACTGTGCGCAATTAGTATGGTTGCCTTTTATAATGGCAGCTGGAAAATTAATAAATTATATTAAATAAATACCAACAATTCAAAAACGATATTGTATATGATATTTGTTTTTTTGATTTAAATATCACTACTTTGGCTACACAATTTAAAAAAAAGAAACTATGTTGTATATTTTATATAACTAATTACATATGAATTTTATTCACAATTTACATTTTTATATGCATTTACTTATTGAAATAATTTTGATAATAACATATCAATACATATACTCCTTGTAATATTGCTATAAACATTTTTGGTGTGATTGTTTCATATCCAAAACAGCATACATGTTTTAACATAATTATAACTGTTATACTAACCCAACAGTTGATATAAATATACAGATATCATATCCCAGCTCTGCCCGGATTCGTCTCCAGCAAGGAATCCAGCCAGGAAACCCTGGGAGGTGATGACGTTGATCTTGTCAATGGCTTCCAGTATCAAGTTTAGGATGCCCTCCTCTTGGAAAAGATCCTGTCTGTTCCGAAGAGCACGGAATTTGTTCTGCTTCTCTTCGTGTTCTGTGGTAAAAGATTTATTTACTTATGAATAAAAGATATGAAATAAAATTTAAAGTAAATGGAGGTTATTCGGGATGAACTTATCTCTGTGAAAGATCTTTTTCAGATACCCATTTGTCTGAGAGAGAAATTTTAAGGGATAAGGTTATAAATACTTAAATATTTATATTTCAATAATAAAATAATAAATCCCTACTTATACATATTAACATATTCACGGTTGGCACAAAAACAATAAGGTGTTAATCTCGGTTTAAAAGTAGCAGAATGAGGATTTCTAGTTAGATAAGAAATAACATATCCACAGTGTATAAACACTAAAAGGATTTTTGCAAGAAAGTTGAATTGTAGAAGGGGAGCAAAGAATGCATCCTTGAAATATTCGTACATATGTAGGAAGCCGATTATTAGCCTTTAAGCACATTCAATTGCCTTTTAGAGCCGTGTACTAGCAGAACTATATGTCTAAAAGTCTCTGATCATATATGTATATAAGTGTGTCCAGATACCGATAACCAAGGTAATCTTACCCATATCTTCATCGGGTTGAGCAAAATAATTGATCAAATCCTCCAAGCACATGACCATCTCCCCGAGGTTTACTGATGCGAAGAACATTGAATGACGACGGTTCTCTTGAAGTGTTTCAAGACCACTGTAAAATAATTTAGAATATTATACTTTTAAAACTGTACCAATAAAAACAGAAATCGCAAAAGTTTTGTATTCGTACATATCAATGTTTATTTTGTTTTATAACATTTTTTCTAGTTTGAGTCTAAGGAGTTAGGTGTTGAATAAAGACTAGATCATGTCTACTCTTGTTTATATGAAAAAGAAATAGCTCACTGAAAGATGTTATATAAAGGAAATAAAGTTGTAAGAAAATATATTGTTTACGCAGTAAACTTTTATTTCTAGTTGATGATTTCGCAATACTTGATCTTTATCCAGTGAATAGTATACCAAACAGCTTCAAAAAGTAAATAAAATGTTATACAAAATTTAAATATAATATATAAAGTTTTCTTACTTAATAAATTTGGTAAATAGAGATGAACATTTTCTAATAACTCGAGCGGTTCTTGATTCTTCTTCTTGAGACCTGGAGAAATCAAGTCCATCGTCCATTTTACCTTCTTCGTGAAGTATCGCTTGTTTTTCTTCAACTTTGCCCACACCCTTTTTCTTAGTTTCGTATGACTGAAAAAGAAACGTTTATGTTCATTTACATCTAAAAGAATTTATGATATTAAATTATTTTTCATTTCATTTATTAGGATTTGAAATGGTAGAAAAATATAGGCCAAATTTTGATCTTATATTTTTTTGTAATGAAAAGCGATCCCAATTAAATATGTGATTGAGCTACATCTTGTATAACGAAAAAAAGTAAACCAGAATCATATAAAAATACCGACCTTATAAGACAACCAGAGTCCAGTTTCAGAATGTTGAACTATAACAGTGGAATCACCATATTTGATAATGGGAGCTCCAATCACTTCCAAATCTTTGTCTTCAAGAACAACCTTCTGATCATCTTTCTCTTGGCGAAGACAAAAGGCACATGATGCTGTTGTGGCTTCCTCTCTAATTAACATTTACCCAAAAAAGGGATTGATTATTGGATTAATTCTTAGAGTAACAATTTTCGTTCAATCACAAATAACTGATTTAATAGTTCTAATCGTAGTATGAATTAAATTATCATGGATAGCCAATATGTTTGGGTATAATTAAGTTATTTTTTATAGGAATTCCATACCTGCTAACAAGATAGAGCTCATTCTGATCATTAACTCCCAGATATCTCCCAGTAGTGATGTGTCGTATTCTCATCGGGTGGTACCAGTTAATAAAACCGCCAGCCCATTTCGTACGAGCCAGCTCAAGTCTCCACAGTGACCGTGCCTGTGACATCACTGAACCACCTTCATACACTACGATACTGGAAAACAAATTATGTACATTAATAATTTCTTTAAGAGAAGTACTAGTAGCTGCCTTTTAAAATTTGGTTAAGTAAAGAGAGAAGCTTGGAGGGTGGAGGTGAGCATTTATGTGCGTAAGATAGGGGCCTCTTAAGCCTACACCTGGGTCGCAAGTCCCAGGCGCTGTTGAAGCTCCTCTCCCTTGCAATGCGATAGACGGAATGCGATAGACCTTGCAATCCACGGAATGTTGAAGTTTAGTATCGTGTTATTAAATTATAGGAACATTTAGTTCAGTAATTTAGAAGATAACCAAATATGAAGCTGGGTAATCACTTCGTTCAATGTAACGTCAATATGAATATACATTACTGTATCTTAATCATAACCTCATTGCTTTAAAAATAACTAAAGATCAATTATTAAAAAGATTCAGTGGTTGCACAATAGTTATACAGACAATTTTACGTGCTTATGAGTAAACAATTTTTATATTTCATGTAAGCAGGAGAGCTTACAAGTAATACTTACTTCTGTCCGCCTTCTTTAGTCCAAGTGCTTGGTATTGTTAAGCACTCATCCCCTCCATGGAAGAAACGCAGCACATCTCCCCCAAAAACGTAACCGACGTACTTCATACGTGAAATACCAGTACCGTATGGTTGTACGGACCAATGGGTCACGTGGAACGAAGCGTTTACTATGGAAACTTCATTCTCTTTTGTCGTGTGCTGGGAAACAAATAGTAATTTCAATCAATACCGTATATAATGATTTATAAAAACATTGAATTTTCTTGATTTTGAATCACAATTTTAACCTTAAAACATACATTATCTATTTTACTTACCAAATATCTTTCAGTGGCAACAGAGACAAGAATCAAGTCGTCTCCAACACGAACCTTCTCACCTTCAGATCTGAAAATTGATTACATTAAGATAAAGTAGCTTTCATGTAAAAACTTTATGCATTGTTATATTATGGAAATAAAACTAATATTTTTTCGATTTACTACGCGGTTATAATTATTTTAACAACGTACTCCCTAAGTTTCGGGTCCTTTGCAGCAACTTTGATCACGGGCAGACGTGATTTGAATGTCTGTCAGTTAATCTTTTTATTTATCGTCTACCGTCAATACGGACCGTGATATTAGAAACAATTATAAACGAGGAGTAAATACGAAAAATATACATTTCGTCGGTACGTACTATGATGTTAATAATAATTATTATAAATGCGTAGTAAAGGCGAAAAATATTCGTTTTATTTCAATGAATATTCGCGAACTTCTTAGATTTCACTGTGTTTTATTATTAACAAAACTTAATACCTCTGTTTGCTAGCGGGATGTAATGTCCACCAGCAGGCTTCTCCTTGTGAGTGTTCTTGGAGACCCACATCGAAGGCCAGCTTGTCTTGTGATGATGATGTTGAGAGACAGGCCAGATACTAGATATCAGAAAAAATATACACACATTATGAAAGTTAAATAATATTTCTTGCGCTTTGAGTAATAAGTATCGTATTGTTAGTATAGTTTCCTTATTAGTTATTTCTCTCTTTCAACAAAACCGATAACATTGCTAAATGAAAAAGTTTTTTTTCATATTTCGATATCAAGGTCTTCATTACTAAAATATTATTTTCATAAATGGACCTCCATTCCTTTTGTTTTAAATATACTTATATACGTATACCTACTTTTGCCATTATTATATATGATTTTATTCTACTAATATAGATAATATACTACAAAAATTTCCCTTATTGACATAAAATTTTCTAACTAATAAAGTTTATTGACCATCATCTAATTTTTATTACTGCCAAAACTGTCATTCTGTGTTATCACCCTTATAATAATGAACGCGACCTCAAAATTAAGTATATAGGAGTGGAAATTAGTGGTGTCGATATATCACTATGTCATATTGTAATAAAAACCATAATGAAAATTATTGAAAATGCATGTATTAATTAATTATCGTATGATAAAAAAGAAGAAACCTAAGTAACTCTCACGTATAAATAGGTTATAGAGAAATAAAGAATTTTCATAGTATATTGTTTAGTAGTAATGTACCTAATTTTACTTACCATGTCACTGTTAAGATGGCGTAAAAGAATAGCATTGCCATACAGTAAGGTCCTATGACCCGACCCAGTACCTTTTCCCTGCAAATAATTTTTAACGTATGAAAAATTATAATTTTAATAATTAAAATAAAACGTTTTAAACGATATTAACATTAATAGTGGTTTTTCGTTAAATATATATGTATAGACTATTTTTATATATTTCATATTTTTGTTTTGTATATAAAATTAAAGCTATAGGTATCAATTAAGAATATAGGAAATGTTTAATGCAGATAATTATAAAGGTTAATATTAGTTCAACATCATAAAAATAGAATTTATTAAAAAAAAGTATTATTCCTTTAGTTTTTAATAAAATAGTTATCATTCTCACAATAACATGCTTTTTAGTATAAAAATAGCTGGTATGTTTAAAAATACTGATTTAATAAAAAGTCATGCGTGGTAGATACATATATACATTTTTTTTAATGCATTATAAACGGGTATATCCTATCTATTAAAATTTGTGTACTAAATGTTTCTGGGTTTTGTGCATATAAAAAACATAAACTTAATGTTTCACAAGTAAAAGTTTTACATTTTTTTAAAATAAAATATAAAGGTGCCACTTCACTTGGCGTTGCGTATTCGCGTAGCGTATTCGCCGCATTTGTCGAAATATTTTCACATAGTCCAAATAGCGCAAACACGACATCCACACTTGGCATGCCAACAACACGTTTTTACGCGTTTTCGTTTCTTTGTGTATGTGCCTTATTTGTGCAAATATGTGAAATGAATACGAATAAATCCTCCACACATGGTCTTATTTGACCGAACACGACAAATAAACGCGAAGCGAAGTGGCACCTTTATGAAAAAATATATTACATTTAATGAATATAATAGTTTGTGATAATTTAAAACAATAAATAACTAAGAAAATATTTAAGTCATCTTTACATTGATATTATATAATGAACAATTATTATATTGATTCATCATAAGTTTTGTCATATAATTAGCAATACATTTCTATCAATTAGTGTTAAATTGTAATTTGTTATAAAAAAAGTGTTTTTCCAAAAACAGTATTTATATAATTTAGTATATTTTCCATTTATTTAATGGATGGATAAAAATCATGCAAGTCACGATAAAAATGTATAACACATTATTTTTTGTATACAGTGTAACATTTTTTTCGTGTCATTTTACCGATTTTTGCTTGCACGTGTACTTACTAATAAGTTTTCTTTTCCCTGCAAAAATTTAAACATGGAAGCAATTCGTAAAAAGGGTAATATTATTCACAAATGGAAAAATAAAATGGTTAAAAACATAAAATTACTAGGTGTGTACAGAATGTAGTTACATTTGGTGCTTTATAATAATAGAAACATCGTAAAAATATCTATTTAGTAAGATTATTACAACGTTACAACACAATTTAACAAGCAAATCAACAAAGTTTCAAATATAACTAAATAAAAATCCCACAATGGATAGTTTTCAAATATAACAGTTAATTTATAAAATTACTTTGAACAGCATATACGGGGTGTTTTTTTTGTTATTTAAATACATTTATCTTATTGGAATAAATGAAATTCAGCACTTACAGTTTCTGATCCGGCAGCAGTAACTAGTTCTTGGAGAGCCCTTACCGACAACGCCTGTAAAGTGATAAAAAAATGTACAGCTTCTATGTAAAAATAAATATTTAGAATATACTTTTAATATTTATTTATATAATAATGTATTATTATATAAATTTTTCAAAATTTTTAAGAGATATCCTATTTTTTACACCTGCTATGTAAGTTTAAACCATTTTCACATCGCTTACGTTATTGATTTCGTTAATACAACTATAAATATTCAAGACAACAGCGGTTGTGGCATCACGCCAAATAAGATTACTCTGATGTGACAGTACTCAACAAAAATTCAAATGTATATACATGTTCTACAGTTCCTTAGAACCAAAAGTTCATCGGTCTTATATGAAAACGATTTCACCTGAAATGAAATTTATGTACAAAATGTATAATTTAAAACATCAAGGACACTAAGCGTAACTTAATCTTTGGTAGAACAATTTTATGGTGTTACTATTGAGGTTGTAGTTTGAAACTGGGTTTACATGAAGTACCTTTATATTTATCTTATATAAATAATTTTACCTGTTCAATAACGAATACGCATTGTGATAGATCGGGCGGAATGTTCTTATCAGCAATGTTCTCCAGGAAACAGTGCCGATTACCGAAACCCTCCGCAGCTAAACACACACGTTCACCAGTCGCTGTGCAGGACAGACAGACCATGTCTTCCTGTGAAATATTAATACATAATAGTCATTTAATAATTATGTAGGTAATAATTTAGTTTTCTTCGTCTTGAGGTACTGCAAACGGCGTATTTCCATTCCGTACTGGTTCATGATGAGATTTAAGACTTGCGCGTGTATTGATTTAAATGAAACTAATATATTCGGAATACTACGTGTATTTTTTTTAAAACTACATGCTCTCGATGTTTCGGTTACTTTGCAGCAATCGTGATCACGGTCGAATCGATCGAAATCATAAAATACGTAGTAATTCGAAAATATTAGTTTTATTTAAGTGTCTTTTATTTACAATTATGTTATGAATAATTAATGAAAAACTTTGCTTAATTCATATATTTCTAATAAGTGATGTTTACAAATTCTATTATTGAATGTTAGTGGAAAGATTGCTTTCTATTTATTTTTTAAAAGGTTTGTATCAATCTTGAATCAATTTGTGCAATATATTGTATCTTATACTTTAGGATAAACATCTTATACAGTACAAAATTACAGAAGTAAATGGATTCTTCAACTGACGAAGACTCTCTACTTAAAACATTCTTTTACTGAGAAAGATGTCCATAAAAGACTGGCACTCATTTATAATGGGGTAGAAATCTGAACACATTAAGTTCGTAATAACATGGTGGCTAGCTAAAACCATTCCATAAATTTAGTATATTAATATATGGCTGTAAATTTTGTTTTTCCTTTTTTTGTCAAACACAAGTTTTTCAGATACGATTCAAAAACTTAGTAAGAAATCAAAAAAAAAATCTAACTTTAATCAAATGATTATAATCTATATAAAAATAAAATTATTCAAATAGATAATACAAGACAATTTAATACTTGTACAGTGTTGATCTAACATTTGACTATTTCAAATAAATATCTGTGCCAAGAACGTTGGCCTTATAGATTCAGAAATGAGATGAGTCAGTCAATGAACGCAAATATTTAAGGTAAATTTACAATAAAAGAATTGTGTGTCTAGACGAAAAACAATCTCATAATTAATCTCTTAATTTCTTCGTATGATGTTTAAGTAAGAAAAGGTATTGTAGGGAATTAATAGGGAAAAGGTAGTAAAGTAAATCGGTTGAGAGCTTACGAAGTACCATTGGTTTAGATTTTGAAGGGTTTGAATTGTACTGCAACGATCAATATTACAATGTTTGCAAACTGGTATTTGTATCTATTTTAGAGCTCGTTTAATGTATATATGTTAAATATAAATCTACTGGAAGTTTATATTTATGTTGATCTATTTACGTCATCACTTGCTACATTAATACACTGCATTTCAATGTTATTTATGTGTAGTCATGTTTTATAGTGATGTCATTTAGTATAATAATAATCGAATATCTGAAGGGACATGAACAATTCAATATTTCAGTTCCATTTGAATTAAAACTGAACTATTATTTACATGAATACATATCGAATTAAAGTAAAAAACTCTCGGTTGTAACATTGAAGAAAGATGATATAAAATGGTACATTGAATATATAGGGTATAGGGCTAAGGTGAGTATAAGGTTTAGCCTTTGAATTGTTTTATGTTTAATGAATAATAACTTTAAAAATGTGAACAGGGCTCTGAGTAACTTTTTTATTTTGGCCAAAAAAATTTTATAACAATGTGAATTGAATTCTGATTTTTATTTTTTGTCAGTATAGCTAACAGAATATGTTTTTTTGTTGTTGTGAAAATTGAGTATTTTATTGTATATATCAAATATTTAATGTAGTTGTAATTTTTTTAATAGAATTCCATATTACCTCTCACAAATTTTATAAAATAACTAACAAAATATCTAGAGTTCTTACTTAAACATCAGTGAACTTTTTGTTATGACACTAGTATACAACGGTAGTAAAAAATGTAGGTCACCAATAAGAGACATAACCAAAACATTTTTTGTCAGAAACAAGACAACTTTCGTCAAATTTATAACAAATTTAGGACGTTTTTCCCAGTGTTTCAGACATATTTTTCTAAGAATCGTCACATTTTAGGCAATTTAAACAAATGAAACCTTTTAACATATTTCAAATGTTTGTTCTTTGAGGTTGAATCTAGACGTTATTGTAAATATCTCAGCCTGCATTTATTTCGAGAAAAACTAACAAATATGCAATCAGTTTGAATAGCCTATATAGTAATATTTAATATAATATATAAGTTTGAGGTGATGTTAAACAAACCTCAGTAAAAATTTAAAAAATCTTGTTTTTTGTTTTCGCGTGTTACACGATAATTCACGATGTCTTTTCCATTTGTCTGAATCTATATATAAATAGCATTAAGTTGCCAACTCCCAGTTACTAACAGCTGCTTTGAAATAGACAATACATTTTATTCGACTAATTGCTAACATTTTTAAAGAGTTTCGTTTTTATTTCAGTGGTTAATTGTACGCTAGATTTCAAAGCTCGTATGAGAAAGAATCGTAAAAATTCTGTTAAATTTATTTCTTGCAAGAATTTTAAACATGAATAAAATCAAGATCAACGTACTCGAGAATAAAATTGGGAACATAAAAGTAAAATACAAACAATTAAAGATTAATATTAATTCTTTTTATATATTTTATTTATGTACTGTTATGAACTTTATATAATAAGATTACATAAAATGAATGTAAAAGATTCGTTTTATCGTTCAAGTACTCAAGTATTTAATGTTACTCGTAAAATCCTTTAATTTTCTAGCTTTATGTGTATAGTCACCGGGTCAAGGTAAGTAGGTCATAATGAAACAATATCGTCAATTTTCGTTTAAATAATTTTGTACTTTTGTTTAGGGTAAAGGTTAAACGTGGTGAAATTATAATTTTGTAAATAAAAAGACAAAATCAAGTTACTATATTTAAACTGCAGTTTTAAATTTATTATCCATGATCTATTTTTTTCTTTTTAGTAACATCTAGATTTTGGTATTCTGTTTGTAATGTTGTACCATTTACCAAAAAATACTAGACAAATATAAATTATGTATTCATTGTATGGATCGAGTAATGAGTATAAGACCGATCTTTATATTTGTATGATTAGTGACTTAAAATTCTATCAGATAAAAATTTGTTTTTTCTCTCTGATTGAATTATTCCAAATGTTTGGTAATTTACGACTGAAGAGAATTACTTATCAATTAGATTATGTTTAAATGTGGAGATTTGTTTTATTTCTATCAAATTATATATATTTATAGTTATAATTATTTAACTTACCGTACGTAAGAATGAAACATCATCTTGTTCGCTCGCTCCACCTTCCGCTTCCGCCATCTTTGCTTTTCAAACAAATACACTAACAGAGATTCTTCTTAAAATGCATATCTGTAGCAAATAAAAAACACTATTAGAAGCAGAAGATATACATTATAGTTTCATACATCCAAAATAAATAAATCATTTTATCGTACTGAAGAAAATATTAGTTTATATTAACTTAAATTTCGTAGGTTATTCTAAACTTTAAGGAATTATTAATGTTTAAGGTGTTATTAAGGGCCTGAAAGAAATCCTTATAATTTATTAAGAATGTAGTTGGTTAATGTTAGAGAAAAAAAAATACAATGCAATTTTATCTTAACTTAGATAAAAGAAGAGATTTTATTTCCACTAGTATTTGAAAATAGTTGTGTTTATTAAAAGAAAATGTGTTCTATGTGATAGACATACAGTATAAATTGGATTGCAATGAACAAAAATTAAATATGAAACAATTTCGTATGAAAGCCTTTATTCATGATTAAAGGCGTTTTGACCTTGCACAGAATTCTTGTAAAATATTTAATTAATATGGTAACAAATGATTTCAAAAACTATATATCAACACTTACATTATAAAGAGAATATAATAATTTGTTTGGTTTCTTAAATCAAAAGGACTTAAACAGTATTGATTGACTGTTAATCAATTTTCATATAAGAAAAACTGATTTAAAACCAAAAGTCTGTATGTAAATATAAATAACAATGATTGTCTTATACAATATATTAAAAAGCTTTCTTTATTTAGGCAACATAATACAAAAGAACATAATATAACATTAACTATACTTATATATATATATATATATATATATATATATATATATATATATATATATACATATATATATATATATACGTTATACTAGTACTATGTTTTAATGGCTTTATAAATTTTGATAATTATTTAAAAGCCTGAAAAGAATTATAGGTATAGTAATACTAATCATAAAAGTTTTGTGATATAACTATCACTATAAGGGTCTTTACAGTCTTGACTTGAAGACAATGGAATTCTAAATGAGTGAAAACTGAGACGTTAAGTACTGTTTCAGTCCTTGTTGTAAGCTCGGGGCAAAAGGAAGCGTACATATATACAGCTTCATCTAGATAGAACAATTGAATGTCGCATTTCCTGCGTACTCGTTTCAAAGTATATCCTAAAAAATGCCGATTGGATTATTACTTTACGACTGTGCTATGAGCTAACAAGATTACGATATGACTTAATTTAACAATACACAAAATATTAAAACAATGAATTTTGCATTGTAAAAAGATGTTAATCAATATTTCAACAAAATTGGTTAAAAGAAATGATTTAAATGGTAAATTGTCTTCTTTCTGAGACTTATTTATATCCAGGCTTTCCACCGCTTGTGATTTTCAATAAGCAGTTGTAGCTGTCAAAAAGCTATTATGTAACCTGTTGCCTGCCCATGTTAAATGATAAAAAGTAGAAAACATGCCCATGGGAAACACCTGTTATGAACGCAATTCAGTCGAGCAGTCGTAAAAACCTACTCGTGGAACACAGACCTTTAGAAAACCAGAAAAAGGTAAACAAACCGCGCGCACGGCTATATTTTACTATCAAGACTAGACTCTGCCGAAAATTACCGAAAATTACTTCAAGTGAAACTGCTAGAGCTTCTTTTTTATTGTCTAGAGGAGGTAAAACCGTGTTAAACCAGTAAACGGTTCATGTGCACATTTCCTTTTATGTCTTTAACACGTCTTTGGATGTAAAACTTTCTTATTTATTGTGATTTCTAATCTTAGGGGTGAACATGTTAATGTGAAGGATGGAAATTTAATGACGCTTTAAAATTAGATTCTACAACCATAACTTTATCTATAACCTCCTCCATGTGAGAAGAGGCCTTTGCTCAGCAGTGGGCTACGATAGGCCGATGACAAAACATAACTTGCATTTTCAGTGGACGGTAGATGTGAACCGATATGGAGACTAACGAACATACTCCCTATCCTAGAGATCGCAACCGGGTCATCTTATCAAATAACAAACCGGCATTAAGGAGCCTGCTTGGCCAGGGAGGAAAAGGAAAGGAAATATTCGGATCTCGCTATCTTTTATTACTGAACTCCTAACACAGCGAAAACGTGCCTTATCGTTTGTTGAGCCCCCATTACTTCATTATTTTTTTCAAACAACACTCGGTTTGCCGCTTGACTGTGTCTGATGAGCGTAAAAAAATATTCCAAAATATATGTATAACAATAATGTAATCTTGATTATTTATTAATTGAATAAATTAGTTATTTTAATAGTAATTGAAGCGATTGATATCCGAAGTCAATATTGATGTGCACTCTTATGGCAGAAATATACAGATTTACATTACAAAATTTATTTACTTGGGAAGTTGTTAGTTATTGACCCACATTTCACGCCCTTCGCGTAGCTGAGAGGGTGATTTATGATCTTAGGGGATGGTGAATTAAACATGATCGTGTTACAGGTCCATTCATCACGAATAAGGTAAACCTAAGATGAATTCACTGATACTATTTATTAATTTACTCAAATTAATAATTAACTAGCAGTAAGCTAGTATTAGTATTAGTAATCATATTACTTATTTATTTATTTGTACAGGCTCACTTATTCTGATTAATTTGTATAGATCTTGGACATATTAAGCTAAGTGCGTATGAAATGCACTCCTGGCAAAAATATAAAATGCCATGCAATTATGGCAAATTTTTATTTGTTTTCTGATTAAGCCTTTCATTAGTTTCACATAACAGTTTCTTTTTGTTGGACGTTAGATAGAAGTACAACAAAGTACGATTATTTTATATTATGAAAATGGACTCTCAAATAAATGTATATTAACTTTTTACTGCAAAAACAGAGGCATTACATACAAAAGGCTTTTAAAAATGAAATGTAGCACCAAATAAGACTCGTTGAATACTCAAACGAGTAAAATATAAATATTGCCATAATTATTTCTTTTTTTTTCGAATAGGTTCCTACCATATAACCACCATTTCATTTTATACAACTTAAATGCCTTTTCTAAAGAAATAAAAATGCAGATGGACTTTGTCGACCTTGCATCAGAGGGTAAATTTCAAGATTATTATAATTTTAAAAATGTTACGACTTTAAATACTTTTAGTTTCCAAATAATAATTTTCATTTCAGAGTTATATTTCTCTGAAAGATGAAATGTTTGCTAGCAAGAAAAGTAAAACGAAACCCACTTAATAGCCCATACAAGCTTCCATGAATACTAAGCAAGGATCATGACAAATTGATGGGAACAGCTGTTGAATTTTATTTAAGAAAAGTCCTTGGAAGAATATTCTATTTCATATAACATTTACATTTTTTATTTATCTTTAGGAGAAGAATGCTATGGTTTGATTTTAAATATTTTTTAGTATAAATTGCACATGTTATGAGTAATGCTAGAGAAAATAAAACATTATAAAATTATGTCCATAATTTAAACAATTTTGTAGAATAAATGAACCCCAAATTTTCTTTTATTACGAATATATTTGTTGAATACAAAAAAAAAATTCGTTCGTTAGTTTCATGTTGTGTTAAAATATAAATACAAGTTATTTAATACGTTACACCTTTTCTCAATACTCATGACAATCAAATGTTGGTGTTGATGTGAGGACCGCATATGTTATGATGTTATTTATTTATAGCATTTCCATTTTTAACTCAAAGACTAATTTTGTTTCCACTTTATAATGAATATACGTCATACTGTTAATAATAATCTTATTAGAATAAAACTCTAAGAGAGGGATTTAAGTTTTAAGGCTTATTTGTAATATCGGATTAAAATATGTTCAGTTAAATTTAGATAGAAACAAATTATTGTTGTAGGAATTCTTAAACATTTGTCAACTTTTTAATTTAGAAATAATATATATTTTGAATAATGATGAGTAAAATTTGTGAGGTGTTAGATTTATATGTATGAAAATAAACTGTAATGTAGCTTAGACATCAAAGTAAAATAAAGACTATAATTTATTCCAGAATTCCTCTTAAGACCCTTGAAGTGTAAATGTAGCCAAAATCAAGAGGAAAAAAATTTGCTAAATCTGGATGAAATTGCATTGCTTCTTCTAAAAAAATATAAGACTTTTTGGAGGAGTCATTAATAAAAAAATATTTAAGAGAAACATTCTTTACTTCTTCATTGAACCTGTTTGTTTGTTTTCGAAATACCTGACACTCAAAATTATTGATCAATTGAAATAATATATATTTTATAAAATACATTTTTCTATGTGAAAATTATCTTAAGGATTATTGCCCATGTCGTATATGAGATGTGTAAACAATATACCGATATTAGAAATTTGCGAGCATCTGTTTTTCTTTTGTTTTCACTGCAAAAAGCTTAATATAATTTAATAAAACTTAACCAGCGATAGATGACCTTGTAGGAAAATAAATGAAACTCATAACAAAGCAATTATTATCCTGTAACATTTTTCTATATTTTCAGTACTTCTTATTTATTACCTAACAATGAACAATTAGTTAAAAACGTAAAAAATTATCAAATTTATACTTATTTTAAAATACAACAAGAATATAAGTACTATTGACAAAAAATATCTTAAATTATATAAAGTAACAAAGAAATAAAAGCCTTGTTAAGGGTGGATTTTAATTTATAGTCCTTATGAATATTAATGAATTATAAGACAAAAGGTTTTATTACAGCAATATGCGTTAGAAATAAAAAATATATGTTTATAAAGACAATAAAAATTAAACATATAAAAATAATTCACTACAAACAACCAATATGCAAAAAGGCTTTTATTTTCAATAGCAAAGCAATATAAATTTTAGATTTCCGTAACTTTTGGTTATACGTTTTATTATATTTGAAATAAGTTAAAGATATTGGTCAAATAATTAATTATAAAGGTCCTTTTATATTACATAAGTAAATAAAATAATTTTAACATATCTGATTTTTTACAGAATTTCGCTTAAATGT